TGTCAACAGGATGCAAAGAGAGACCAAGAGTTCTTCTCGGGCTGCACCATTGGCCTTCGCTTTTGATTTCCAAAGCACGTTTTGATCTGCGCCCTATCGAGGAAGCGGAGAGAATCATATCAAGCAGCAAAAGCAATGTCGACAAAGTGCAATATCAAAGCATGTGCCAACAACTCACACAGACTGCTATCGACACGATGAACCACTACTTCTGCGTTCTAGACGGCAGCTCAAAAGTGCTCTTTATCGAGACCCTTTTCGTTGAAAGAGGCACTGCATGGGTACCAAATGACAGCATCCTTCGAACAAGAGCTGAGTTCCTCGAACGGTCCGAATCATTCAATCTGGACAGCCTGAAGATTGGCAATCTTGGAAATCTGTGGTGCAAGTCATCAGCGAGAAGGACGCTCAACAAGGTAGTCTTCGAAGCAAACTCTCGTCTGGTTTCGCCTAACAATTACAATCTGTTCTACGGCTTTCCCTTCGCTTACGAAGCGGATCAGCCTGTTGACATGAAACAAATCGATCTTCTCTTGAAGCATATCAACGAGGTATTGGCAGACAATGATCCTGCTGTAGCGGAAGTTACCTTCTAAACTGGTTAGCTCACCTTGTTCAGAGACCGTATAAGAAAATTGGTACTGCACTTGTGTTCAGGTCTGACCAGGGCGCAGGCAAATCGATCGTGACAGATTTTGTGGGGAAATATGTCATCGGATCTCGATACTATCTGTACTGTAACGATATGGAGAAGGTGATAGGCAAATTCAACGGAATAGCTGCAAATCTCCTTTTGGTTTGCTTCGATGAAGTAAGCAGTTGGGGTGGGGCCTACAAAAGTAATAACAGGTTGAAAAGCCTCATCACTCAAGATACAACAATCCTAGAGAAGAAGGGGATCGATCCCCTTAAGGTACCCGATCTTGCTACCTACTGGTTTAACACTAACGAAGACTGGCCGATCGAAAAAGAGGCAACCGACCGGCGCTACGCATGCTTTGAGGCCTCCGACTCTAGATTCGGAGATCAACCCTACTTTGATTGGCTTTGTGAAAGCCTCACTAGCACTACAGCTGAACACTTCTACCGGTACTTGATGTCAAGAGAAGGCATCGACACTTGGAACCCCAAGCAGATCCCAAAAAGCAAGTGGAGCTCTGCTCTCAGGGAGCACTCGATTCCATTCTGGGCAAAGATGATATGCGGGTTGCTGGACAACGGCAACTTTTCATCAGATTCGAAGACGAAGGTGCTAAGCGCCACCATCTTCCGAACTTATAGGTCCTTCGTAGACAATCAAGGTGCAAAAGAAGATCCGCCGCAACAGAAAGACGTTTTGATTGGTCGGATCAAACGAACACTTGGACTGGATGGTTACAAAGATGTCAGTGGTCGCGGCTTGATCTTTCCAACGAGAAGTGAGCTGGAGAAACGGCTGCAAGAAATTCGTTTGAGAGTCGACGAAGTGCATTGGGACGGATCATGGGCTACTGAGCCAACTTTACTAGTCTCATCGACTCGATATCTGACAACTTCGACTCTGTACTTATCACTTTCGCTCGTAAGTAATCATCGCTGTCCCCCAGTCGTGCAACAGAGTCCTTTCAGCTAACTGCTTCCTCTCAACAATCGAACGATCGTTTTTGAAGTGTTCGCTAATGTAAAGGTGCCTCAAATGATTTTGGTTCAATCGCTTTCCGTTTGGAAATGTAGTTGAGGAGATGAATTTGGTCAAGTGGTTGTCGGACATAGCTTGTTTCGTATCTCCAAGCCGCGATAACAAAGAACCCCTGGGAACCAACTCAATCGATCGTCTGATGTAGTTGTTGAGACGTTGTGAAAGCTCAAACTCTTTTTTACCGTGCTTTTTTGATGTCTTATAAGTTTTAAGCACAAGTGAAAAATCACCACTTGTGCTTTCTCGGAGACAATTGCCTGTGTCCTTGTACGTCTTTTCGGCTTCACCGCAGAAGAAGGTTCCGTCTGCTCTACGAAGAGGAAGTCCGCTGAGATCTCTTCGCTTTGGTGGTTCATGGATGTTCATCGCAAGCAACAAGTGCTGGAAGACGCACTTAACCTCGTCTCTGCTGAGACTTGGACCGTTGTCTTTCGAGTTTGGCATTATATGCCTCCGAATGTGTCTGTTCAGCTTTTCCGCTCTGCTTTTGAGCTCGGTCATGCTTATCCAGTTGGCAACCTCCTTCTCGGTAGCCTTTTGCTCATCGGCCTTCTTCATCTGGACCACTTTCTTGACGGAGAAGCTCTCGAAGTATTTCTCATAGGTGCCTTCCCATCCCTTTTTGTGAGCAATGACCATTAACGGGGTTACCTTATTTTTGAAAGTTCCGGGGTTGGGGTATTTTTGGTCGAGCTTTTCGATGATAATAGATGCATCCTTCATCCAATCTAACGTGGAAGGCAAAACGTTTTCGCCTGTGACTAAATGATAAATCACTCGCACACTGTTTAGGTACTGCAAAATCGTGATTTCAGCCCTCTTTCCGTCTTGAAACAGGTTGCGCAAAGCAGCCTCACCTGATGCAATTGTCCGCAGACTTTCGTTAGCCCCTCCTTTGTCAGATGTGGATTCTGTACTCGATTGAACGGATGCTTCCAAATCCATCAATTGGCAACCCTATATCATACATCATCTATAATAATTCTGGAATCGAAACGGGCACCTCTTTAAGATGCGTCCCCTAGGAAATTCTGCTTCAGAACCCTCGGCTGGCCGGGATCAATGGCCCAGAATTCCAACCTTGGCTGCTGAAGTTTGGGCAGGACGATGGCTGCTTGGTCAACAAAGTTACCACTTTGTTTGGATTCTAGAATCCAAAAGCCTCAGGTAGGAACGCAGTTTGCTAAGATGCACCACCGTTTCAATTCTAGAATCAGATACGTGATATTTGATCTTCAGCTGTAATCCCAGAATTGAGAATATGAAGTGACAAAATATTTCAACACGCGGTCAATTCTAGCAAAAGCTCCCAACTTTTTGTGCATTTGGGGTCCCACAATTGACTGTTAATTTCGCGAAATCGGGACTCCCCCTTCTAGAATAGTGACTGGGATCGTTCATCTTTTCAGAGTGCTTCATGCAGCGGACACTTCGATGAGAGAGGGGCGATCTCTTATAATCGGCTGTCAACAATTTTGCCAGGTCCACGAGACGACCAAAATGCTTCAGGGGGGCAACCTCGGAGGTTGGGCAGCATGATGCACTTTGCAGGGTTTTTATCTGATCTTACTTTCATACAGCTGGTCCATGGATATTGCATGCTTGAAACGAAGCTTTAAGGTGCTGCTTGCACTCGACCATAATCAATCAGATGCTTCGAGCCTCCTTGAAGACACTCGTCTAGAAATTGACGCTGAACGAGGACGCGTTTCGCAAGCAGGCACACGCGCTGGCAGCCACCTTTTCAGAGCACTCAAATGTAACGGTGCAGCTAAAGCACCATGCACTGTCTATGTACTGCTGAGGGAAACGACTAGAGGTTCAGCGAACAAGGAATTCGGATATCAAGTGAAGATCTCCCCGGTGAAGGAGTCCGACAGACCGCTCGGGCTTCCTTTCCAAGGTACTTTCTCATCCTCAGCAACCAAGATACCGGTCGAAGAGCTTGTTGAGATGCATGCGGAAGCATCGAAGGCGAAAAAGAAGCAAGAGAACACCAAGAAAAGCAAAGCCTCGACTCTGAGTAAGGTTGCAAAGAAGAATCCCAAGCAGAAGTCAAAGGCAAAACAATCAACCTCTACAGGCACTTCAAAGGCCACTAGAAAGGCTCGGGGAAGCAAGGCAATAACGTTCAAATGCGTTGCGGTCGACAGCGACTCTGAAGATTGAGAGACGAGGCCTAACATGCTAGATTTTCTTTCCTCTCTGATACAAAAAAGAATGGAGAGAGGTTATACGTACTACGTGCCAAAGCAGCCACGAGGGTTATATAGCTTGCTTCCGTTCATTGACGAGATCGAAGCTCTCGGACCCTTCCGCTACGAAGGCAAAGTAGATAAAGGCCTCAGAAGTCCACTGGACATGGGTTTACTACGGCAAGGCGTTCTGCTTTTGCTTCACCAACTTTGTAACGAAGACCTCGTCGTGTCAGAGGATGACGTCAAGGCCATAATCGAAGCGGGTGTTACGTACGGGGAATGTGCAGGGTATTCCGAGAAGGAGGGAGAGCTTCTATTGTCAATCGCAAAGGGGATACTCAAGGCCTGCAAGGCTGCCGAAGACAGCTAGCTTTGCGTTGGTTTGTTGGAAAAAAAAAAAACAATGAACAATATTACAGAACTTTAACGAGATGGAGACCGGCGGCATAGAGTCTAACCATCACGCGTCTTGTGCCTTGTACTCTTTGCGGAAAGAAGCACCGTATCATTCAAAACGCGCTCTTTCCAAACGACTCGGAAATTACTCTATCGTCAGAGGGCGTGCCTTGGTGCAAATTGCTCCAATTGAAGAGGCAAAATCGCTATAGACGTGACAAACAGTGTGTGCTCAAGAACAAGAAGGTCTGGTATCAGAAACATAAGCAAGCTATCTTGCTACAATCGGCTGCCGAGCGTCTAAGAAATGGAAGGACTCGGAGACCTCATCCAAAGACCATCTCGAAGTTAAAGGAAGCAGGCGTCGAGTTTGATTCTAACAATAGGATTCTTTGCGTAAAGACCGCCACCTCAAATCCAACGGCAGCCATTGACAAGTTCAAAGCTTCGAACCTCAGCGAAGCTCAAGCTTCTACAACTGAAATGGAATAAGCTCGTTAATGATCATTTTGCCGGAAGAAGTTGCCAAGAGCTCGGACAGTAAGGACACTGCCATCTCGGTTGTCTATCAATGCAAACCTTTGCATAGGATTTGAGCTCATAGACAGTATGGACAGCAAGGACATATCGTTTCAGACCGTGGGACACATAATTCTTATTGTCGGCATGCACGTTTGCTTATTCATAACAAAGTCAAGCGTAGAGGACTCTTGTCCATCAATGCACACCTAACTTGGTTCGTAACTGCTTTCAATGCCTACAAACACTTGTGGCCTTTTATCTAAGTGGTCATGGGATTCGAGTTTTTTCTTTGCAAAGCCCTTCTTGTTCATCCTAGCAGCCAAGCTTTCGACGCTGATTGTAAGCTCTCCTGACGCTGCTCTATAATCTTTGAGAAACGCCGCTGCGTTCCCCCGAAGCTGTGGATTGATTCTACACTGCTCGTCGATGAACTGCTGCAGCTTGTCGTTCTGTGCAAGATACGTATCCAAGTTTGCCTGGACAGAGGGCGGGACAGCTCCGATCGACTCCCCTTGCGCATAGAACTTCACCGCCCCTCTCACCAACCACGAGAGAAACTGCTCGAGCGTCTCGTTTTCCTGCATTCTCGCCTTCAAGCCTTCGTCCACAGGCCGGTGCCGAGGGTTGGTCGGCTCAAATCTGGTCCGGCTCACGTAGAGGTTGAGGAAGTCGAAGATAAGCAACCGACGGAGCATAGCCGGTTCGGTGACGTCCCGGAGTTTCGGGGGGTGGTTGGTCAGCAAGATTGGGAGGTTCATGAGCGGAAAAGTCTCCGTCTGGCCGTATGGTGCGCGCGCAGAGACATTCCCTCCCCCCGTGGTTCCTTTAACCGAGCCCGTATCGACCTCTGCCTCCTCATTGTTCTCATCAAGGATGCTGAAGCGAAGCCCTTTCAAGGCATGCATGTGGGGAGTGGGAGCGCCTTTGGACGCCGGTCTCTGCCCCGCCGTTCTCACCACCACGTCCGTGGACATGACCCCGCAGTAGGGTCCTAAAGCTTTCTCCAACATCTCCTTGGTCACGCCCTTCCCATTCCCTGCACAAAAAGCAAAAAAGATCAAGGTATCAGATTCCGATTCAAAAGCAACCAAACTAGAAATTAGAACCAATCGGTGTTCTTGTACCGGGGCCCAGGCTCATGATTTTCTAAGAGATTAGGGCCGTGTTCAAGTTGTCCGACTGACTAGAATTGTGACCTTGAAAGCTCTCAAAAAGTTCTTCTTGTCCTTTACCAGATGCGGACTTACCGCCCAATCCGATCCAGAAGACCATGATCTCGCAAGCCTTAGACCCCGTCATGCCGTAGCCGAGCACAATCTGGAGGGTCCGGATGACCTCCTCCTCTCCGTTGAACACATCGTTGAAAAAGTCTTCGATCCGAGGGGAGGGAAGCTCGAGCCCCTGCACCAGAATTACAAGCGTAGCATCATGAGCTCGACGATGTGATGAAAGCTACACCGCAACTTAAAAGCGAACAATGAACAGCCCAATACTTTAGATTCAGAGTTGCGAGCAAATCTCACTGTGTTCAATGGAAGGCTGCCTAAGAAACAACCTTTGACACGGAAAGCAACAAAGTGAGCAGTGAAAACTTACGCTATAAATCGTCTCTGCAAGCTTCGTGCACATGTATTGTGGGCGGTGGATGTCGAGCTGGCCAGTGCGCAAGTCGATCACTCCGTTGCTCACGTTGAGGATGTCAGGATTGCGGTCGAGCTCGTTAAGAAACGTGCTCGAGAACAACTCTCCCTTCACAACCTTCAACGTGTCCTCCGCGGTACGCCTGTTATTGTAGTCACGAAGCAGCTTGAGCTTCGCCTCGACTATTTCTAGCTTGGCCTTGTCATCTTTGGGGATTTTCCTCTCTTCCTCTCGCAGCTCGCGCCTGACACGGTCGATGATCGTGCTCAGCTGGTGCATGAGGATGTACAGCACTTGAACGTCATGAGCCCGCTCGTACACCTTCCCGGTCCACATGTAGAAGCCCGCCGGAGTGTACACAGTCCTGAAAAAGAGGGCGTGAACGATAGCTTCAATTCAGTGGTGTTTTTACAGATTTTGAACGGTCATGTCCGAGATGTCCGACCTGAATCACGACTTTCTCAAAAGCTCCGGCCAACCAGCCCATGTCCGACATGTCCGACCTGAATCAGGACTTTCTCAAAAGCTTCCAAACGGTCGTGTCCGAGATGTCCGGCCCAAATCAAGACTTTTTCGAAAGCTCCCAAACGGCTGTGTCCAATCCAGACTATGCCGTGAATCTGTGCTTACCTCTTGCAGGCCGAATACATTTGCGAAAAGATCCGGCTCCCACCCCTGTCCCCCTGCAGCGCCCAATAGTCCACGAACTCCTTCGTGACACACCCGAGCACGGCTTCATCTCCATCAGCATCCACTGGTCGCACAGAGCCACGTGCTTCTTCCCCGACACCGTTCAAGTCGCCGATCTGCCTCCGTGGCATGATGGACTGGCACTCGGACGAATTGCAGTGGTAATAGAGACTGCTGCCCTTCACCAGGATTGAAAAGTTGTTGGAACCCAGGTGGTGATGACCGTAGGGGCATGTCCGCTCTCCTTGAACCCGGAAGACGTACAGGTTGCCCTTTCGCTTGTCGAAGCGCGAAACACTGTCGCCGCATTCTGAAAGACAGCTTTTGATGCGCTGCAGCACGGCGATGTCGGGCTCTTCGCCAAAAACCCCCACGACGGGGGCAGGCAGATCGAGGGAGGCCCGCCTTTGGCTTGTTGCTGCGGCGGTCCTGCACGAGTACCGATGTATCGATGGTCAAACAAGCACGTAATCAAGTACGGCAAAAGCACTTGGCCATCCAGGACCCTGAAAAAAGTCTCAGTTTCGATCGGACATCTTGAACATGACTAGAAAGCCTCGATCTTGGGACATAACTGCTTCTAGTGCGGTCGAAGCTATCAAAAATGCGATCTCAAATTTTCATGGCACAGCTTCAGTTGCGCTTCATCCCCTGCAAAAAGACGCGAACGTTGCGTCCTGACTGCAAGCATGGATCAACCGGCCTGATCTGAAGTTGGACCAGACAGAGCACTTAATCACACCGGTGCTGCTCGAACTTCGGGCTGTGGATGATCAGGATCAGCCTAGGCTGCTTGGCATCAAATGCCCCAGACGTACCCGGTTCTTGAACGGCCCCCATTGGCGGTGCCCCCCGCGCCCGGTTGGTCCTCATTCAGGATGGCAATCAGCCAATCCGGACTTGCCATGAGATTAGAGCGGTCGGGGAGGATCTCGTGATCCCACTCGTAGCGCCGGAGCTCGCCGTCAAGGCCCCGGTAGCTGCTGGGTGCCGTGTACAGCATCCCCCCTCTGCCGCGAATGTCGATGCCCACCTTTTCTCCTTTGTACCGAATCCGGGTCCGGTTGCTGCCGTTCCGCAGACGGGCCTCCTCGGACTTGGACAGGGAGAAGAGGACGTGCATGCCCTTGTTCCCCGTCGTCAGGCGGGGCGTGTCCTCCGGGAAGTTGTCGTGCTCCTCGAGCATCTGCTGTAGCGCCTCAAAGCCCCCATCTTTCACGTCGACGTCTACTGCGAATAGGTCGGATTCCTCCGTGATGATGGCGATGGAGTTCCGCCCGGGCATCGCAAACTCCTCGCTCAGGCAATTGTCGTGGTTGGCCTGGCTCCAGAACCCCAAACCCTTTGCGAACCTCCTGACTTCGCCAGTTTTATTGCGCCCCTCCTCAAGGTCGAAGGTGATGGTCACGACTCCCAACGAGTGAAATTGATGTGCGGCGGCGAGGATGGGGTCCAACCAGGGCGCGGTATCCTGCGAGGGAAAAAAGGCCCACGAGACGATATCAGCATGTTGCAGAAGGAGAATGTTAGGACACTTGCTGATCTTGTGGAAAGCTTGCGGCTGACAGCGCCCGTTTAAGTGGGGCCCTTTCGTTAGACCATCCCGAGTAGCATCATAAAACTCTCTTGTCCAAGCTGTCCAACCTTTTTTGATATTTTCTTGGGACACGGATTGGCTGCGGTGCTGACGTCATCAGATTGGCTCTCAAAAGCCCGCGCAAAAGCTTGGACATCTCGGACATGATGGCCGTTCAGGACCTTTGAAAAGGTCTGGATTCGGGTCGGACATCTCGGACATGGCCTGGTTCTGAGTTTGAAACGATCTGCTCAATCTACCCACTAGCAGTCAAAGAGTGCAAGTCTGCTTACAAAGGTTTCTTCCACTTACGGAAGGGTTTGAAGTTGAAGGAGGAGAATCCGTCTGAGCTCCATCATTCGATTGCGCGTGCGGGGCCATGTGAGGCTGCATACAAGAAGGAATCGGCCTTCAATTACAGGCTCGCATAAAGCGCCCCTCTAAAACTTGTGTTCATTCCAACTGAGACTCAGAGCATCAAGAGGTGAACCTTCTGTTCTGCTGTCGTTGGGAGCCTTTGAGAAAATCTTGATTTTGGTCGGACATCTCGGACATGGCCGTTTGGAGCCTTTGAGAAAGTCTTGATTTTGGTCGGACATCTCGGATACAAGACAGTCTTGAAAACTGTGTACAGCTCAAACGGCTCACCGCATCTGAAAGGAGAGGTAGCGCGGGCACCAGCGCTTCCGAGGACGAGATTGCTGGACTTGAGTTGTCTTTCAGACCTTCAGAAAGGAAGTCGACTTTCAGGCGCTTGGCGTGGCGTCGAAAGGGGCCGGGTGATAGCGACATTTCGCCGACCTCTTGGCTAAGATGCATCATGCTGTCAGCCTCGTCTTGGGGGAAGTGACGCGGCGAGTCTTCCTGGTCGCTGCCGACTGAGGATCTTTCGTCGCCCTCTCGTTCACTGGATCTGGGTGCCGGTCCAGACAACATCTGATCACAAACGTGAAGGATAGCAGCTTTCAGAAGGTGCAATTATGTTTCCACAACAAGCAGCTTGGGGGTTCTCACGAGAAGTCAAAGTCTGCACCCTCCATTGAGCGCAGCGCTCACAGCGTTTCTAGCTGTCCTTAACAAGAAATCCTTGATAACGAGCCAGTTTGCTCAAGGATCTGCCGCGCATCTGCTGAGCATAAGGAATAGATGCCTGTCCACTGGTCCTGGTCTGGTTGGAGCTGAGTCTAAGTATTCTCCCAACGATCAGCCATCTGGATCTGCACCCTCCAAGAAGCGCCCCGCTCACCTTGTATGAGCTTTCTGGCCCTCTGAGCAACTTCTGCGTTCTAAAACCCTTGACGGAGAACAGGCCACGAACAGGCGATCAACTGAAGCATCTGCCGGCGCTGCGCAGGCTGGAGAGATATGCGCTGTGCCAGCAGCTTGATGGAGAGGCAGTCAGCTCAAGATGATCTGCCGGTGCTGCGCAGCTTTGGAGAGGTGCGCTGTGCCCTGCTGGCACGGCACTTCAATCAGCAGCTGTCCGAAATGAGACCATGGTGTAGAGCAGCTGGTGTTGGCAGAGGAAAAAGAGGGAAGAGGATGCTTGCAAGAAGGTTGAGGAGAAGCTAAGAAAGAAAGCGTTGGGGAACTGTTTGTATATATGGAGGGGGGCAAGTCCCCTTTTTATAGATTGCCTGAGCATATTGCCTGGCATATTGCATATTGCATATTGCATATTGCCTGGCCGAAAATTTGCGATTCGAGGCGGACAAGCTGGACATCAACAGTATCAGGCTCAGCTCAGACAGCAGCTGAGACTGTGGTGGTTGTTGCAGTTACACGATTCCGACAGTGCCGTTTCCGGAGCCGAGCTCTCTCTCTAAAGAGAAACCTGACTCAGACGTTTGAGCGAGCTCCAGCTGGCAGCTTAGGCGGTTGAGCGAATCCAAATTGCCGGTGATCCGCTCTCTCTGAATGGAAAAATCTGACTCAAACACTTGAGCGAGCTCCACCTGGAAGCTCGCTGAGGCGGTTGAGCGATTCCGAAGTGCCTCAGCTCAGCCGGTTGACCGTTTCCGAAGTGCCTCAGCTCAGGCGGTTGAGCGATTCCGAAGGGGCCGAGCCTCCTCTGAACGTCTCAGGCTTAGGGTTAGGGTTCGCAATGAAGCAATCCAGAGTCAGTCCGGTGGCATGATACGTACGGTTGGAATGTCAGAAAGCCAATCGCGGTCAAAACCACGTCAAAAAACCCAAGTTATTTTCCACAAAACCGTTTCATCGGAAACGCGGTTTACCGATTGAACTTTTTCAACCACCGCCACTGGTCGTTCCGGCCGATCGCGGGGCCATGCGGGAGGGGGGACACGTGCCCTGCGGTGATGAGCGTTTTTGCCACCGATCAGTTGGCATAAAAAGGCAACTGAGATCAAAATCTGACTAAAGACACTTGAGCGAGCTCCAGCTCAGCTCAGGCAGTTGAGCGATTCCGAAGTGACGGTTCCGGGGCCGAGCCCCTCTCTGAAACCTCTTAGGCGTAGGGTTAGGGTTCGCAATGGAGCAGTCAGGTCGGTGGCATGGTACGTACAGTTGGAATGTCAGAAAGCCGATCGCGTTCAAAACCGCGTCAAGAAGCCGACTAACCAAGTGATTGTTTGTCTGTTGGTGCCCCCCAAGAAACCCAGGATCTTTCCACAAAACCGTTTCACCGGAAAAGCGGTTTACCGAGCGAACTTTCTCGACCACCCCGCTGGTCATTCCGGCCGATCGCGGGGCTGTGCGTGAGGGGGGACACGTGGCGCCCTGAGATTGGCGCTTTTTATGCCAACGCTCGGTTGGGGACATGCGCTTGGTCCCTTTGATGGCGCGCGGCATGGCGGCCAACGATTCGCACAACCATCCTATACTCTTGAAGCTTTGAAACCAACGCAGATTTTCAACGCTGAGATGTTCTTGCCAATGAACTATATGTGAAAAGCGCATGCATGATATAGCAGCTGACAATTTGCCAGTCCATATTGACGTCTTTATTTCCATCTCTTGCAACATTGCACGCGTTGTCAACCTGCACCGACAAGCTATAATTTCAAGCCAGTACGTGCAGACTCATGGTTTCACTCCCACTGTTAGATCAGTGCGCGAGAAATTGTCGGGCATGGGGCCAACAGTCTGCACCACCATATGCTGCACAAAAACGCTCTTAAGCAATGCAAATTGACGGCGCTTTGTCCCATCTCTTACGTTATCATGCGGAAAGTGTGCGGCATGGGACCGTCAATTTGCACCGTCAATATGCACCCTGATGCTATAGTTTTTTTTAAAATGTTTTAACGTCGGTTCGGAGCCGTGGTCGGCTTAGTCGACGATCAATCTACTCAAGCCTGCACTAAGCTTGATCTTATTGCAAAGCTTAAGTGCAGAAACTTCCCTACCATATACTTATCTTGCAAATTGAGGAACGAACTTAACTTCTGTTCTCCTCTATCCTCAAAGATGGAACGGAAAGAACTCCTAACACTATTGTATGCTGGGCACTCAAATACAAAATGACTTTCGTCCTCTACCGCGCCTGTTGCACATATCGTACAAAACCTTTCGGTCCGCGGCTTTCTTTGCCAAGCTCCCGTTTCAATAGCCAACTTATGAGCCCCTACCCTAAAGCTGGCAAGCGTGGATAGAAACGGAGCATGCTCAATCTGGTCAAGTAGGTCTCAAATGTGTATCCCTGCTTCACATCACTAAAGTACGTGCAATACTTACGCCCATGCTCTTCCCTCAGATCTTGCATGTACGCAAACTCGGACAATGTTCTAAGCGACCTGACGTCAAACTTCCCAGCAAAGCTTCCATCACAAACTAGTTCTTGGGCCTTTTCGACAATATCAGCAAACCACCCTTTCTCACCAGCGGCCCACATGACCTTGGACTCCTCCAGCGCTAGCCGCGCCAGTCTGTCTTCCGAAAGGCCTAAAGTCCGGTTGACGAACTTGAAGATTTGCTCCCCGGGCCCACCTGCGAACGACCACAGGGAAACGGCCGAATTCGCCGAGAACAGCCTTCGAAAGAGTCGTCCTCTTGACCCTCAGGAGCCCCCGTAAGAACGCCCTATGGACTTTCTCTGCAGAATCACCGTCCCCATTCCACCCCCACTCTGGGCCGTACCCCGGACCCCACACTTCCGCCCCGTACTCAAGGATCGGTTCCACTAATACGTCGAACAACCGAACTCGAGTGCTCAGCTTTCTCACCCCCAGCTCCGTACACCTCCGTTCTAGAGCAAAGGCTGCCTTTCGCCCGGCCGCCGCCAAAGCCTGAGCCCCCTCCCGAAAGCTCCCGTTACAATGGAATTGCACTCCCAGATACCGATAACTCGGCACTATTGCGACGCGCTCCCCCGCATACCGAAACTCGTTCTTCTCTTTCTGAACAGCGACTTGACCTCCGAAAACTACAACCTCCGTCTTTTGAAGATTAACCAGAAGCCCACTCCTTTCGCTGAAACCCTGCAATAGGTCCAGCTTCCTTTGCAGACCCGCAGCGCTCGTTGACAGCAGAACGACATCGTCTGCAAAGGCAAGGAACGGGACTTCGACGCCCTGCAGTGTTGGACTGTCCGCTGCCCTGCACATCACGGCCTCTAACCCGTCTATATACAATCCAAACAGCAAAGGACTTAGCGGACACCCCTGTTTCACCCTGCGGTTGCTCTCGAAAGTTTCAGCGGAAGTCCACCTGTCTCCCCTCATGCGGCAGCGCACGTTAGCATACATGCTCTGCACGCTCCGAAGCATCCGCCCCTTGACCCCAAGCTCCTCTAGGCGCTTCCACAACTTTTCACGTGGAACCATATCGAACGCTTTCTTGAAGTCGACAAAGCAGGCGAAAAGGTGCCGGCTCCTACCTCGCGCCCAACGCTCGATCAGAACCCGAAGCGCCAGCATGTGGTCCGCCCCCCGGAACCCCTTTCGGAACCCCGCTTGTCCCCGCGCTCGGACCAGCCCCTTTTCCGCCCACTCGCTTAGCCTCCTGTTTAACACACTGGCGTACAACTTGCCTAAGACAGGCCCCACCGTCACCGTCCTATAGTTTCCGTAGTCTGTTGGGTCACCCTTTTTGAAGATTGCCACAAGAGCCCCCTCATTCCAACTTTCCGGAAACACCCCCTCTTCCAACACCCGGTTGAAGACTCCCGTCAGTGCCTTGAGAAGGTGTTCCTCCCCCGCTTTCAAGAGCTCAGCCGTAAAGCCCCCCAAGTCTGGACTCTTCCCGTTCTTCAGAGCTCTTAGCGCCACTTTCACTTCGCCCTCCGTGATTGCTGCTTCCAAGCTGTCTGGCCTTACAAGACTTTGCCGCTCTCGCTCCTGCTCCGGCTCCGGCTGAACTTTGGACCCAGAAAGGAACGATCCCGACTGCTCATACAGAGACTTGCAGTGTTTTAGCAGCCCAGCTTCATGCTCTGGCCCTAAACCTTTTGCTTTTCTCCTGAACCGCTTCCAAAAGGTTGCGGGACTGTTCTGCATCTGATCCTCCAGCTTGGCCGCTCTGTATTTGTCGAATGTCCGTTTCTTTCGCCTAACCAGTCTCCTGTACTCTTTTTTAAGCTGGCTACTTAAGTGAGACGGGCCATCCGTCTTCAGGGCTGCTAAAAATTGCTTGCGAGCATCCTTACAGTTTCCATCAAACCAAAAAGTGCTACGGTTTACAAACTGCTTTCTTGATGCTGCCGAAGGGAAAGCGCACTGACCAGCACTTCTAACGGCTTCTTCTAGAACATCAGCTGCTTCTCCAGACCCCATCGCCTTCAAGTTCTTGGTCAGGAATTGCAACTCGACTGACTGAGCTAGCATTGCATTGAAGACAGGGATCCCCTCAGACCTTACCCTTGGCACTGGAATCTGATCAGCCTTTGGGACCTCTATAGCAGGCATCTTCTCGGGGAAGTGCTGCGCACCCACCCTCAAGGATAGCGTCACCACCCTATGATCTGAGTCAGGCACTTCATCTGAGACAACTAAAGTGTCCGCTCGCTTGGCTAAAGAAGCGGAAGTAACAAAGACGTCAACCAAGCTGCTTCCGCCCCCAGCCGGGAAGCATGTGCCCCTGCCTGCTTCGTCGCCTCTAACTCTGCCATTGAGAATCCTGCAGTCCGCTGACTTGCAAAACTCAAGTAGCAACTTCCCTGCACCGTTGACCACTTTGTCGCTAGACGCTCTTGGCGCGATGAACTCTGGCTCCCCCCAGCTCTCTGCGTCAGGAACGTCAGCAAGGAACTCAATGTCCCTTGTGTCCAGCCAGTCACACAAGGAGCTAGTACGCGCGTTCAAATCTCCAGCTAGCACAACTTCCCCAACAGACATTGCTGCCGCTGCTTCCTGGGTCAATTGCTCAAAAATTGCTTCTAAGGAGGTTCCAGCTTGTTTATACCAAGTTGAGGTCTCTGGAGGCAGATAAGCCAGACACAAGAAAAGATCCTGCCCTGCTGAGCCTAGGCTTGGGAATCTAAGCCACATGTGGCTTTCTGAGCCTGCCCTCCATTGTGACACGCCTAAGCTTGCTAATTCCTTTGACATCCAGATGGCTAATCCACCCGCACCGCGCCAAGCAGCTTGATGTTTAAAACTACGCGGCTGCTCAAAAGAAAAGAATCCTTCCAAACATTCTAGCGTCTCTTCGGGCTTGGCCCAAGTTTCCGTGAGCAGAACAATGTCCACTCCAGAACCAACAAAATCTGTTATTGATTCCCACTTTTCATGCCTCCATCCCTGACAATTCCATAATGCAAAGGTCAAATTAACCCTTCTGTTCACACTACCCCTCCCACCACGGCCCCCGTGCCCCTAGCATTTTGTTGAGGTGGGAGCAACCTGACTGGCTGCCACCACCAAAGAGCCATTGATGAACAACCTTCCTCCAACAATGCGCGCATGCTTCTTTTCTGCTCTAGCCTCCTTCATAAGCTTGACTTGATGGAAGTGCTCTGCCAGCTGCCTTGGCGTCCGATCCTCATCCACTCCCACAGCCAGTCCCTTCAGGGTGGGTTTTGCCACCAAGATCTGCCGCCGACCTTGCTCTGAAACAGTTTTCACCAGGATCGCTCGTGGGCGCTCACCCTGCTTTTTCTGCCCGATCCTAGTGGCTGACTCAACCAGATTCGCAGCATTCTTTACCCTCATGCGATCACTGAACAAAGCCACAATCTTGTCTTTGATGCTAGAAGGGTTTTCGTCAGCAGACTCTTCCAACCCTGTTACACGAATGGAGCAAGCCCTCGCCTTCCTCTCCACGGTCTCCCAGACCTGTTCATCCACCACTTTGGACACGGTTCGCTTGACTTCCTCGGCTACATTGGCAGCCTTCAGTGCAGTCTCCTCACTTGGAAACACCTTTTTCTTCACCATGCTTCCGAAGTCCTCCACTGACTTGCCTAGAGAAGCGGCATCTTTTCGCAACCTCCCTATCGCCTCATTGGCTTCATTCAATTGCAGTTTCAGCGCCGCAATCTCATCTTGCTGCGAGTCAAGCCGTTTTTCAAACCCCAAGCGCATCTCCACCAAGGCTGTCTCAAGGCTTTCTAAGGTGGTCACTTTCCCGGCAGCCATGGCTGCATAGGACATCCTGTCAGCCTTCTGGATGCGCCCCTACCGGCATGAGTGTGCCACAAGTGAAATATATGAAGGAGCTTTCAAGCAATGAAGATTGACGACTTCACACAATCCTTACAACATCGCTCGAAAAAATCTGACGTCCCCAAGAAAGTATCGGGTTGGCATGGGAGCTGACAAATTGCATCTCTGCACTATGCGGTGAAGCTTTTACAAAGGTGCAGAGCGACGTCGTTGGTCCATCTCAAACAACCTTGCTTGAGAAAGTGTTTGGCATGAGGGTTGATGGTTTGCAACACCTTGCTCTACAAAAAGCCTCCAATATGATGCGGTTTGAACTTTGTTACAGTGTCGCTCGGAAAAGTATTCAGCATTGGCCCGTCAATCTGCACTACCTTAAAAGCTTCCTTGTATCGCTCGACGGTGCAGATTGACGGCTCCGCAACATGGACTGCAGCATTGCTCGGAAAAGCGGCGGCATAGCCGGCCGTCAATTTTGCACTCAAGCTTCACTAAGAGCTTCAGAGCCAATGCAGATTGAACGCTTTTGTCCATCTTGCGCAAATAAGTGTCCAGCACGAGGCACCACCTCGATTTGCACCACCGTGCTACACAAAACAGCGTTCAAACCAGTGCACATCTCCACCTTCGTCCCATCTCTTACAACAATACTCAAGAAAGTGTTTGGCATGGGCCCAGGTGCACCCCGTTATTGCTCTGAGTATTGGTTCGAGTCATACTTGACTCGAAACTCAAGTCGCTGCGACCAGAAGCAAAGAGAAGGCCCCCTAGATGATGTAGCTCGGACGCGAGCGGACTTCTGCTGCCCTCGCCACACCCTGCTCGAGGTTAGACAAGTACTCCATCATTACTTCAAAAGGTGGCAGGTTGAACAGGGGCTGCTCCCGGCGTACCTCTCTGTATGTGCATTCTCGAAGATCGCTGACTACAGGACCGTGGCTCTGAGGGGAATCGAGCGGGTTCCGGGAGGGGGATGATGGTTGGGGGGCAGGGAATCTTGGAGGGCGGTTGTCGAGCGCCGCGAGGAGTTCTGTCACTGCAGCCGGAGGAAGAAGATCTTAATTTGAAACTCACAACACGAGGGACGAGAGCTAAGCAGCCAGTTCCTCTTATTGAACATCTCAACTCTGACCGACTTCCAGGACTTTTCAAAACCCAAAGGGGGGGGGATCTAAGAGCACTATCCTTCTGTCGTGAATGCAGGGACGCAAGTCCCATAAAAACGCTTCACTCACATGTTTGCGGCATACCACTACCAAAATCAGGACGTAAACCATTACTTGGATTGAATCTAGTGAACAAGATAGTATCGACAGAGACAATCTACATGTCTTCCAGTGTTCATAAAAGACATATGGAAAGAAGCCAGCACCTGTCTTGGTTGACAAAACCCTTCCGAGCACCACAGCAGCAAACGAGAAGCTCGAGATAGACTTCGTTTGAGATGACATTATGATAATAACTTGCCTTTCTTTCTTCGAACAACCTCTGCCTGGCTGCACACCTTCCCGAAATACTGGAACGCCGCGGCCTGGTTGCTGAATACGACTTCCTGCACGAAACCCCCCCCCTCTTCCTGGACGCCGTGGAAGACATGCGAGTCCCCCACCAGGTTGGTCAACAGGACCGGAAACCCGACCCCACTGCGGCCTGAAAGCAGCGTACATCCCACAAATTGCCCAAGCGCTTGGCCACGGAACGCATCATGGAATTCCCTCCAGGCTCTCTCGGTCTTGGTGTCCACAATCCCAGCGATCTACAAAAGGACAGGAAGAGCACAGCAAGGGTGAGCAGGTTGCAGAATCTCATGAACTTTGACAGGTCTCATTAGAATCGTTCATCAGACAAGTGCTTTTTACGTTCCTGCGTTTGAAAACGGAGAAGGCTATGCGTTATCACTAGGATTTGAAGATGGGAAGAAAAGAGAATCTCAGAACAACCAGATACACAAACCCCAGAGTGTGCCGCTATCCGTAATCTGTCACGGGCCTCACCTGTGCAAGGTACGGGCCTCACCTGTGCAAGGTAATTCCGTGGATGCAGCTTTGCCAGCTCAGCAAACTCGGTCATGACCACCGCAAGATCGGTTTTAGTATCCCTCAGCTTCATCCTCTTTGTGGGGGTGGCATCTGATCGGCTGAAGATTTGCCTCTGGCCTATGTCCACGACGGTGAAGCCTCCCATGTGAGCAGCGAGGGCAGCCCGCACATACTCCTCCGCTCTGATCATGTTTGAGGTGTCGTCCTCTCGAGCGTCTGCCAGAACAAGAAAGGAGGAGACGGAAACTCTTAATTCTCCAATGAGCATCAGAACAACTGCCTAACAACTGATGAATACATCAATGGCAGTGTTTGCAGGGAGGAGCCTCCATCCCCAAATTCCTCTGGTTTGGCCCGACATGCAACTCGGAGTGGCCTCTTTGAAAGATCAAGCAGATCAGGAGCTCAGGCCAACATACCTACTTAATGTTTACTGAACTTAAAAAACATGGAAAGAAGCAGAAGCTGCTTGCCTTTCCGCTCAAACCTTGCGCCGCTGTCTGCATCTGCAATGCCTGTGTCGTCTGCTACACCGATGATCGTCTCCAATTTCTCAAACCCCATCCGGACGAGGGCCTCTCTTGCATCCGATAAGTCCATCTTGGAGCCGCCAACCGATATCTCGTCCGCAAAAGCCAGAGACGTCTCCTTCTGTATGGCGCGTCGTAGAAATGCTACAAAGAAACATGCAGTATTCTCACCAAAATGCCAGTCTCTAATTCTTCACCTGACAGGACCTTGAAGGGTGGTTCCTCAAAGCATGCAGCTGGTATATCATACACAGCTGGTCCATTACACCAAGCAGTAAGTCATTTCTGTTGCAACGGGAACCTTCTCCAATCTTGCAGTGATGTGTCTGCAAAAGCTGAAACCAGTGTGTTTTTCAACCCTCACCTAGAAGTTCTTCTGGAAGCTGCAGTTGCGGTGCAGGCTGAGGTGCATCTGCAACAAGAGGAAGAAGATTTGGATTTTCTATGAGCTGTGGAATCCTCTGGATAAGATTTCATTCAATGGCTAGATACATACGGCGATCAAAGCTCTTCGTGGGCGAACTACAGATTGCGAATTCCCGTGGATTATTTTTACTGCTTTCAACCCAGAGGATGCAACAGTTGACTTCCTGAGGTTTAACTTCCTCATAGTACGCTTGAGCATCCTCTTGCCCCAAGTAGAGGCTGCCTTGGGTGCAACGACCAGACATCTTCCGTACCACCCAGCTCAGGGAGGAGATGAGGGCATTCTGGGCAGACAGGTAAATCAACACAGGAAGGTAAAGGGACATACTCCAGAAACAGGCACCAACGCACTGGAGGGATGATGTGAATTACTGCATCAACCGTGAACCCCGGCACTCTGCCAGATTGCAAGCATGCATGATTGCTATTGCATAGGTGTTGAGTTTGTGAGAGCTTCCTTCCCAAAGCAAACCTGTCAGGCTAAGAAGCAGAGGCACTTGCAAAAACCCTGCCCTCACCCTTCAAATTGAAGCAACGCTTTGCCTGACGAATGGCACAACCTTAGAAGCAGAGGGAGCTACTCCAAACAGGCACCGGAGTGGTGTGCCGTGGATCACCACAACCACCATGTGCAGCAACAAAGACTTCCAGAGAAGAGATACAATAGCAACATGGGGGGAACGGTGCAGGAAAGCATGTGACTCACCAGTTCCTGTGGTGCTCGGACTAGCAGCCGCTGCACAAGGCCAAAAGTTTTTCGGCACGATTAAAGCAAAGTTCGCTGACAAGCAGGCTGCAGAGGTTCAGACGACCAGCAACAATGACATGCTAAAGCGAGCTCTAAGTGCTGCGTACTCAGGAGACAAAATCAGGCGAAATTCCAGCACCGCATCTCTGTAAGAAGCACGGTTGCATCGACTTCTTTGACTCACAGAAAATGCAAGCATTCTAGAATTAATGTCTCCAGCAAGCAGAGGCTGCCTTGAATGCAGCAAGCAGGCAAGACCCTCCGGCTCAGGGATCATGTGAACTCATTCAGGCCTGACAGGTGAAACAACCCGGGAAGCAGAGGGAGATGCCTCAGGCAGGCACCAACGCACTGGTGAGGTGGTGTTAATCACTGCGTCCACCATAAACCAGAGAGCTCTGGCACTCTGCCTAAACGCAAGCATGCACGAAAGCTAATGCACAGGTCTGACTTTTGTGGGGACCTCTCTGATTCTAACTCTAAGAAACAACAAGTATTCTTCATCGGATAGAGAGGGTGAGGATTTCACCGACAATGATTCTGAAGTAACAGAAGCGGATGCCCCCTGCATCAGGAAGCAGGAAACTAACCAGCAGTCTGTAAGCGAGCCTCCTTCTCGAGCAGCAAGTTTTTCTCCTGCTGCAGAGCAGTCAATTGCTGCAACCACAGGCGCACAGCCTCCCCATCGCCAGCTTTCTGCGCATCCTTCAGTTGTCCCTTCGCTTCTTTAATTTCATCCGAAAGAGCCGCAATGCTTGCGACAACCTTTTCTCTTTCCGCCTCCACAGACGTCATTGTACTTACAGAGCAACTCGCCTCAAAACAATCGGACGCCCGCAGCTAGCAGGATCCCCCAGCAACTTCTGCTTTCCACATTACTCGCACCTCAATGGCTCAGTGGTAAAGCATTTATCTCCTGAATTTACGAGGTCTACGGACCTTAACCTTGATGACAGTTGGTTGCGAGGAGCCAAGCAGGCTTTCGGACGGACGGATCCTTAGGCTCATTCGAGTCGGACAACTCTCTGGATGTTCTGATGGTACTAGGGTTCAGCACCTGGTCCTTTTACAAATTTTAACGAAGGGGTTGGAATGTAGACTCGGCGCTAACCCGGAAATCTTTAACCCTGCCCACTCTAGCAATTTGGCCCTCCCAGGTAGCTAATCTAGCGGGGGGTACACGTGGCGCGCTGCGATTGGCGCTTTTTATGCCAACGATCAGTTGGTTAATCGGTTCGGTACAATCGGCACTGTACGACGCCGCGGCGCGGGCCTGGCGATTGAGGCGCTTCGACCTAGCTCGAATGGCGGGCGTTCGACGATAAAATGTACAGGAAAAAGGAGAAAAGCTCCCATCAAACGTATTACATTTGTATGAGACTGGCGCGCGGAGGGCGCGGTTGCTGGATTTCGCATCGAACCTTCGCGACTTTGACGGCGACCATTGTCGGTTCGCGTAGCAGGATGCGTCGCCTCAGAAAGCTGAGGTCCGACTTGTGTCGGGCGACCGAACTGAAGTTAATCTTACATGCGCGTTGAATGTCACACGGAAGCTCCTGTCGAGCCGCTAATGTGGCCTGGCGCCCGACGATCGACGGACGCAAGCTCGCTTGCCAGGACCTCGGACAGTTAAAACGATAGCCTGCTTATTTGGTCGCTGCTTCCGAGCAAGGGTGATTCGGCAGCTTCGCCGTCGAAGTCGTGCATGGAAGGGTACCGACATCGAAACTTCTAGACTACGAAACTGAGACCTGTGTGTACAGGCCCCTCTGCCCGGTCGTCTCTGTGCTTAATTCCAGCCGTTCGATAAATCGGAAGAGGCAAGCCTTGGCCGTCGCCAACATGTACGGTACAATTTCATATACCGGTATGTGCGGCTGCTCTGCGGCTGGTACTACGGTGCGCGGACATTCCGTCACTCTAGCTTCAGTGAATTTGAACGGACTCGGAGAAGATTGAAGGACGGAATGGATCGCCGCGAATCGCCCCCGTACGCCGAAGGGCGGCGTGCCAGCGCACGGGCCGTGCAACAAACGATCTCTAATTATAATTATAAATGGCTAGGATTGTGGGTTAGACTAACCCACAATCAGATTAAATTCTCCGTGCCACAAACGAACCTTTATAAGGCTAAACGACCAGGCTAACCCTACCCGTCCGTGAATTGTGACAGTGACTCGGACATTGTCATGTCAGAGCTGTCAGTGTTGCCAGTCTGAGTGATTCATGTTGAGCAGATTTTCCTTGCACTGTTGCAGTTCAACTTCCAGAAGTGGCAGAAGACGGCGGAAGGACAAAAGAGGAGAAACGAGGCGAAACAAGTCGAATTGCTGTTGAATCCTGTGCCGCTGGCATCTTCCTCCATCATGGCTGAGCAACAGCAGATCCCCGTAACTGCTCTGACTGTGGAACAGCTGAAACAGGTGAAGGACACCCTAGAAGCAGAGATTCAGGTCCTGTCAGACTCCATACGCTCGCTGCAGGTTGTCATCCGGAAGTTTGATGCTGCTGCAGGCGCGGTTGATGACCTCTCCACCCAGACAAGCGGTGAGATTTCAACGGTTGGTTGAGTGCTTTACAAAGTTGGTGATAAATTCCCCTTCAGCTTGTTTGAGCTTGAAGGCTTCCTCCTCAACAAGCCTGACGAGGCTGCAAAGACGAAGGCGTCACTTAGCTCTCCACTTCACACGGCTAGCCATGAAGGCGCTTGCCGGGCTTTGTCACCTTTATAGAGCTGCTTTTCAATGCAGAACAATCTGCTGGTTTGAAAGGTTCTTTTTATCATCTTCAATTGTTACACCACCCGCTTGACGGCACTGGAGAGGTCAAATATCTTCAAGGCTTAAGTGCACTGCAGGACTGGGAACAGAAAGCCAGAGACGGTTTGTGTCTCTCGTTGATTGCAGCTGGTATGATCTAATGTTCGCATTACTCCTGTAGTCAGCTCGATTAAGTCTGATCTTCCTAGATTGTCCTTCATGGACCCTGAGCTTCACACGTAAGTGCGCATTCTGCGTGCCACTTTTGGAGCTGTTTTTTGTTGATGATTCTTGAGAAACTTAATCCAAACAGAGCGGTTGTCAATTGAGCAGTGACATGCAGTGGTCGGTGGGAAAGAGCAGCTTAGCGACACCAAAATTGCTGAGGAGGGGCATGCTAATATCCTAGTGTGATCCTTACCAGCAAATGCAAATTTCTATGGAGGCGGGCTGGCTCTGAAAAGATCGTTTTGGTGGTCTTTGTTGGGGTAGGAAGCTCGTTGTTTCCCCTGGTTAAGCACGTTGCAGAGTGGTCTGTTCTAATGTTTCACTGCACCATTTAGCACAAAGTAAGGTGACTGAACAACAATTTGTCATGACCACCTGCGTGTCTTTCTACGAGCAATTGTTTCGTCAGAAGAGGGAGGAAAGGACTTACTCTTGACAAACAGTAGAAAACGGTGGCTGCACGCAGGCAGGCTGCCCCTTATCGTTTCTGGAGCGCATTATGAAGTACAAACGACGGCCTTCACTTCCATATTATCCATTGCAAAGACCTTTGGTCATAGCGTTGTTTTTGAAGGTGGACTGGGATGGGTGTGCAATCATGAGCTGGATTTCCAACTGACCCGTGACCTTTGTTCCATCTCAGGGAAGCCTGCGCTGATTCCTTTGACGGGGTCTCTGTTCGTCCCTGCAACACTAGCAAGCGTGGAGAAAGTCTTGGTTGATGTCGGTACTGGCTATTATGTAGAGGTACGTTCTGGGAAGCCCCTCCTTTCGTCCCTCCTTTTCTGAGCTTGTGTTCCCCAAATGTTTTGCCGATCCTTGGTATCTAGGTGGTTGACAAAGCAAAACCAAACGTTAACGAAAGGTATCCTCTTTTCGGGTGAAGTGTAAGCTGACCGATACGAGGCCCAACATACCCTTTTGTTCGCACCACTTTCCAATCTGCTGAACTAGGACTGGCTTTGAACAGATTACTTCGTTTGATGTCTGCTGAAAATCAACGGCCCTCTGACTCCAAAACAAGCAGCTGCCTTTTTGTGCGTCTGTATGTTTCGTGACCGAGCTGCCTTCCGCATGAAGACCGACTTTGCTGAACAGCGGCCAAGCTTGACAGAGACTGCACACTCAGTGCATAATAAGCGGGGAAAAGAAGTCCTCCTTTTGACTGACCGTCAAAACTTCGAGACGAAAGGTGTGACAATCTTCTCATGGAAGTTTTACAGAAGTGACACGAAGGTTGGGATCTGCCAAGTCGAGCCCGCACCTTGCTCTCACAGACTCTTTTTCAATCTACTCCAATCTGCTTCGAGATTAATACTTTTGATATCCTGTCCGGGCAGCGAAAAGTGAACCTAGGTATTGCGAGGCCTTCTTAGAGACCGCCAGGTCCATTTGCAACATCTTTCAGATGGCGTCTTAACTTCTTCTGTTCGTTCTGTGTGCAGAAAACTTTGACAGACGGAAAAGACTACTGCACTCGTCGTGTCAAGTACTTGGAAGACAAGCTTCGAACCATTGGCGATGTAAGTTCGCGCCCTAGGCACCAGCTTGTCTGGAAACCGAGACAACTCACTGCTGCTGTTATTGCTGTATCGGCTCAAAACAGTAAGTCGAGGGTGGTTGATGAAATTAATGCTGTGTCATGGCGGTTTCTGAATCGAAGGCATAGAGTGCTGGCCCTCTTTGGAGTCTCATGACGTCTGCGTTTGTTTCCCACTGTGGGCGCTGAACTTAGGGTCTCATGTTGCTCTGAGAACGAAGAGCTTTGAAAGTCTACTCGGACAAGTCGCTCCAAAGTCGTTCGTTAGGAGCCGCAACTAGACTTCGGGAATCTGACAAGCTTATTTGTGGATAACTTGAATGGTTACCTTCCTGTTTTGCAGCTTTTGGGCGACAAGCAAAAGAATCACTCGGAGGTTTCCCAAGTGATCCAAATGAAACTTTCGGGGCAAGGTAGGCAAACCACTGCACAAGCAGCGGCCGTAGGATGAACCAGACGGCGTTGCTAGCTTTCTTGTACATTGCGCTGTTCAACGACCGGTCGCTTCAAACAATGGAGATATAGGATGAGCCAGGCGAGACTGCCGGCCTTCTTCTGCACAATGCGTATTGAAGTTCAATATCTCATTTGCATCTTTGGTCTAGCTGGTATGGGCACCGTATCCACTCTAAGATCCTGCAACTGCTTCCGTTCATGAAGTGATGACGATAAAGCCACAAGTCATCACTCATACTGAAGGTATTGGGGCGTGCCAGTGCACATACCCACACTGATGTAGTTTGACATGACAAGGTATTGCATATACAACAGAAAACTTTGAACGAAACTTAGCAACATCATATCAGCAGCATTTGATGGAAAATTAGTTCAGGCGTTTTGAATTTTACTAAGATGGTTGGATGCGGCCGTCCAGTGCCTCACCTCAATAAGATTCTAGGTGGCATCATTTATGCTAAGTTTCCAACCAAGAACCGTCATAAAGGGCCGTACTTTGTATGTTTAGCAACATCACGGTCGATCCGACCGCTCAATTGCCAGTTGACCTCCAAGTGACTCATGTAGATGCGCACGACCGTCACTTCACAATCGCCAGGCTTACCTATATCATACAGGCGGCCGGGCCATGCTCTCGATCATAAAGATTGGCATCCAACTTACAGATCGAGCGCCCTTATAGGTGAGCTGCCGCTCCCAAATTTCTAACTTAGTTGAACCGTCTTGCTACCATGATGCTATATATAGGCCGGTATAGCGTAATACCTGCAGCATATTATGACGGTCATTGTAAGCTTAATTTGGCATGCGCGACGGTATATACCATGCGGGTTGGATTAAAGTTAAGCATGAATGCATATGAAGTGATATGAAGCATGCAAGCTGCCGTCTCATTGAGTTGGTGGTGCCACATATCATGTCGATCGGCCTGTCCGACACTGACCTATGCATGCGAACTTTAGTGGAAATTCCATGGAGCTCAGCTATTGAACTTAGCCTAGTCATACAGGTCGCGTACATGGCAACCGGCCGCCGTGGGATTGCCATATGTGCATGCTGAAAAGCCGCCCGCTGTGGCTGGCCTTCCGCATCCAGGGCCCGATCATGGAGTATAAAAGTGATGTGGAGATCTGGCATGGTTAGTGCGCCCACAAGCCACGCGGGTGAATGCGCATGTCCCTTGATAGAATGAATATATAATCGATCACGAATGTGCTATATGCACATCCGACGTCGGACAATTCGAGCTTCCTGCTAGTACGGTCGACTAGCGACTAGTATAGCCGAGCAAATGCTCGGAGGTGCGGATCTGATCATGATCACTGAGTCACTCTGACCGTTGAGAATGTATGGTACATCATATCCGCGAACAAAGACTTCCCTGTCAACTTCGAATCCTAAGGATCTAATCCTGTCGTACACGAGGCCAGGCCCGCTGCCCTGTGGGTTAGTTTTACGGGATGAACGGAAAGTTGCTAAATCTGGAGATCCTCAGGCCACTTTACTGCAACTATTAATGAAGGATACAGTTTTCGAAGTCTCGCAACAAGTCTGAGAGCGACGCCTACCGACACAACTTCTTGCGGAGTGTCTGTAAGATCGATGTGAAAGCACTCAAGTTTTGGACACGCTCTTGTAAGCGCCAAAGAAAGCTTGGAAACCAGTGACACTTCGCTGAAGCCTATGTACAACTTCTTCAACTCTGCCAAAGGTTTCAAAAGAAGAGCTGCGTCCTGCTCTATGTTCAAGAACTCGGACATACCGGTAGGAATGTGCAGCTCTTCGAGGTACTTGAAAGAATGAATGAGCTCAGAGAGTCTTACTCCACTTTCGTACACACCATCATGGATCGCCGCGACATGCTTTCCAATCGAAACAACTTTTGCATCACTACATAATTCTAACACGTGCAAAAGCTCCTGCATCGTAGTTGGCCCTTCCTTGATGTCTAATGTCGTGATTTGCCAAGCTGTCTTCCGTTTTATGTCCCAAGTATAGTCCAAAACCAATTTTGCCAGATTTGGGGCACAGATGATCAGTCTTTCGACATATGCGACCGTCAAAACCTCTAACCGTGGTGCTTCTATGTCAAGGGAGCTTATCATGGCTGAATCGACTCGGTCGCCGTTTGTTCTGAAGACTAATCTTGTTAGGGTATCAGAGGAGATGATGGGACTCTCAAGTCCGGAAACTTCATCTAAAGACAAGGTTTCCAAGCGCGCGCAAATCTTGAAGATGCTTAAGAGGAGACTATCATCCAGGTCAATGTAACCCAAAGTGAGCGTAGTGAGGGACGTTAGTAAGTGCCTGCTAAAAAAGGGTCCTTGTAAATCCATCCAGAACATCTCAAGCGACCTCAGCTTGGGACACATCAATGACAGTGCCTTGAAAAGATCCTTGAACCTCTCGTCAACTGAATTTCCCGATTGGTGTTGGAATGGCTCCATCAGGACAAGCGACTCGAGTCTTGGTGTCGTAGCTAAGAGTCCTTGTACAAACACTGGCGACACGTTATCCGCATCAAGGTAGAAAACCTTTGCTGCCTTCCTTTCTTGTAGAAAACCCAGCACCTTGCTTAGATGGTAGTTATGGGTGCACATCAACCTGTCTGCCTCTGGGACCAGCTTGTCGAAACGGGAGCAGACTAACCTCAAATGGCAGAGCTTACGCACGGACGCGTAGGCATTTTCAAAAGGGGCATAGCGAACCACTGATGCCTGAATCAACACACGCAGCAGCAGGTCGTCGGACAGCCTGTCAAAAGGGTTCTGTGGCCCTTCTTCAAGGGACCGCTCCGCATCCATCACGGCGTCCCTGCCTGCCACCTGCCGCAGAAGGAAGAGAGGCCCACTGCCAAACTGAACTTTGAACGCCTTCAGCACACCTCGTTTAGCCTGTGAGTTTCATGAATGAATGTGGCCCCGCCTCACACATATATATGAAAGGTGTGATGGTCGTTTACGCCAGCGTGGCAAACTAACCCAGGGTTATCGGCCCGGTTCGCTGACATTCGGCGGGTGTCAACGGTTCTAAACCGCCACGCTGGCGTGATTGGGTCCTAACCAGTACCAGGATTCCTTGGTCATTCGAGTTGTCAATGACATTGCATAATACCGTAGCTCCTAGAGGGAGAAAGAGAGAGAGAGAGAGACGCACTTGACCCTTGCATGAGGCGTTGAGGGGAGCTTGAGTGGTGCCCATGTGAATCAGTCATTGGAATTAGTTGGCAAACATCTGGTCAGCACCTTGGAGGGTTCAAGCCGTTGCAATTGTGCCCCAGGTTGTGATATTTCAGCTGGAGGAACGGGCCACTGTCAGCACATATTCGCAAGGGCGCAATGGGCAAGAAGGGCAACCCGCACGTGTTTTTTGACGTCAGCATAGGCACTCAGAATGCAGGGCGTATTGTCATTGAGGTAAGCTCGGCAGCTAGGAAATCGGTCGAGGTTGTGTTGAAAGCTCACAAATTGCAAAACTTCTGGTCAGCTTTGGTTGAATATAAGAGCACACTAGACGCACATAAGACCATTACCATCCTCTGATGTTTTCAGGGGCAAACTACCCTCTCTAGCAGGCGTCTGCCGGTGTTCCATCAAGTTTTCACCTGCTGCCTAATATCCTCAATTGCCCATGAAGAAAGGCCCAGAATCTGGCTTCTAAATTGTGTCCGTTCTTCCTGCGTGCAGTTGTATGCAGATGTGGTTCCCCGGACGGCGGAGAATTTTCGTGCGCTTTGCACGGGGGAGAAGGGCCTGGGGAAGACCACCGGCAAGGCGCTCACGTATAAGGGGTCCATCTTTCACCGTATCATCCCTGGCTTTATGATGCAAGGGGGCGACTTCTCAAATAAGAACGGTGAGCGGATAATGTTTTCATTAGTGAAAGAAGCACCTGATCCCTGGATTGTTGTTGTCTACAGATCATACTTCAAATAAAATGTGAACATCCAGAAGACGGGGCAAGTGGGCATGAATTTCAAGCCACTCTCGGGATGTGTCGAGGTTTCTTCTGAGGGCACCTTACGGTTTTCTTACAGTCGCAAAATGATCAAATTGTTTCACGCTGTGTGGACCCTTGAATCAAGAACGTGGGGCCACAGCATGTAAAGAAAGTTTCGGAATATGAGGAGCACTTCAGAATTAGCCCAAAGCTGTCAGAGGCATTTTAATCGCCTCGTTGTTTAAGAATAAAACGTTGCTGATTGATGGAGTTGCGCTGCATCCAGCTTTGATGAGCGCTGCTTCCGGCCTTGATGAGTTTCGGTTCCTCCAGGCACTGGTGGGGAAAGCATTTACGGGGCCAAGTTCGCGGACGAGAATTTTACGCTGAGCCACAACGGGCCGGGGGTTCTCTCCATGGCCAACGCTGGGCCGAACACGAACGGAAGTGAGCTCGCTTCTCTTCTCATCTTCAAAGTCGACGCGCTTGTAAGATTTTGAAAGTCGAAACAAAAACGTCAAAGGGGTCAGAGCACGCATGTGCACTGCCTTAAAATGGGTCATGCAGAGCAGGATTACGGCGTGGCAAAAAAAGCAGATGGAATACGGCCCCACTTTTTCTTACTCAAAAAACTTGGTTGACGGTCGATCACCACCGCTGTTGCGGGTCTGTTGATGGCGAATGTTGAGCCTTGCTTCCTGCTCAAAATGTTCGAAATGAACATTTTGTCTTTATGAAAGTTTCCAGTTGCCATACTTGCAGTTCCTTTCGCCGAGTCTTATGATCAGGATGCATGAAGAATGCATTAACAAACCCGAAATCTTTTGGCCAAATGGCAAAGACTGTCGTTGCCATGAATCCTTTTCTTGCTTCATTGCTGAAAGCTGCATCATATTTTCCCTGGGGTTCCAGCTCGATCCCTGAGCTGTTAGGTTCGTCTATAGTTAGGCTACAACCGTTGGATTATCATGGTTTTCGTGTTTAAAGATTAAGGAGATACTTCTAAGCCATCTGAACGCCCCCACGCTTGTTGCAGGGTCTTGACACTTCAGAACTCTGATTATGTGAAACTTTTGGCCTCGGAAGCAACCAGTCTGACCTTCTTCCCTTTGTTGCTCACAGGCCAGTTCTTTATCTGCTTCAAGAAGACTCCCCATCTGGACGGGTGAGTATGTACAGCAAATTCGTTTTGGGGGCTCTGTTCGAATCGAGCTTGGCGCGTGTTACAAAAAGGTCTGGCGTTTGTTACAGAAAGATCTGCTGGCTCAGCTCTAGCACCTCTGCTCCCCAGTCTCAGTAATGTTATCTTCGATAAGGATTTGGTCACCAAAAAGGGGCGACTTGGTTTTTATTCTAAAAGGTTTGGGCTGAGCATTAAACAGGAGGGTTAAGCGAATCAATGTTTGAAGTCGTAGCACCTCCGCTGCTCTTTGTCGTCGCTCCAGTTTCAGCAAGGTCGTCGCCTCAAAGTTGGTTACTGGGATTGTCTTTGTCCCTTTATAGCCTAGGTCTCTGGAAGTCGGCAAGGGTACAACGGCCTTGTTGCAATCTACAGACGGGTAGATCAGATCTGGAGTTGATGCCATGCTTCAGAACGAGACGACAATAACAAGATGCGGCACCCTCCGTCAGCCAGCAATATATTTGTTTCTATTGGACATTGGGAGTAGACTAAACAAAGAAATGTAAGAGGGAGTCCCAGGAGCTCTTGCAAGGCAGTCTTCTCACTGCACTGTGTTCTTTTCCCTCAGGAAGCACGTCGTCTTTGGCAAAGTGGTCGAGGGGCTGGACATCGTGAAGCGCATCGAGGAGGTTCCGACGGACGCGAAAGACCGACCAATGAACCCCGTGACTATCAAAGACTGCGGGGAGGTGAAAGCTGGCGCTGCTGAGACTGTAGAGCCTGTGAAAGGTAAGTCAGCTATCGTGGCTTCCGTTCCATTCCGTTGTTCCTTTCCGTTCCGTTGAGGAGGTTCCGACGGTTCGAAAGACCGACCAATGAACCCCGTGACGATCAAGGACTGTGGGGAAGTGAAGGCTGGAGCTGCTGAGACGGTAGAGCCTGTGAAAGGTAAGTTAGCTATCGTGGTTTCCGTTCGGTTGTTCCGTTCCGTTCCGTCGAGGAGTCTCCGGCAGACGCGAAAGACCGGTCGATGAAACCCATCACGATCAAGGACTGCGGGGAGGTGAAGGCTGCGGGGACGGTAGAGCGATGAAAGGTGAGCCGAGTCCGTTCCGTTCCGTTCTGTTTCGTTCCGTCCCGTAGCATTCTGCTGATATGCCAATTCATTCTGCCCACAACGATCCTCCGTCACAATAAAGGATCGTGGGGTAGGTAAAGGCTGGAGACGCCAAGACGGTAGAGCCAGCGAAAGGTGAGCTGAATATGAGTCTGTTCCGTTCCCTTCCGTTTCGTCTCGTAGTAGTCCGTTGGTGCATATCCCTTACCTCGATCGTTCTCTTTTTCCAGAGAAAGCGAAGGAGCCTAATTGTCAAAAGGAAAAGGACATTAAGGCCTTAAAGAGCAAGAACTATCGGAGAGCGACGCTGGTTGGGATCGGACAATGTTTCGGACCGCGGTTCTGACGAGAGTGGGTTTCACTTCAATGGTTCGACTCTCTTCTCGTCCTTCAGAGAAAGCGAGAGAGCTCAAGAGCCAAAAGAAGAGAGCAAAAAGAAGGAGGATAAGAAAGCACGAAGAGCAAGAAGGGCAAGAAGTATTTGGACAGCGACGCCGTCCCTTTCGGACAGTCTGGCAGACAGTCTTTCGGGCGAGTCGGTTTTCACCTTCTCTGATCTTTTTCCTTCTTGTCTCCGAGACAGCGAAGGATCCTAAGAGCAAGAAGAAGAAGGACAAGAAGGCGTCGAAGAGCAAGAAGCGGAAGTAGTATTTGGACAGCGATTTCGACTCGCTCTTGGACAGCCTTTCGGACAGTTACTCGGACGAGTCGGTTTCCAGCTTATCTAAGTTTTGTCTTCCTCCTCATTCTCCAGAGAAAGCGAAGGAGCCCAAGAGCAAAAAGAAGAAGGACAAGAAGGCGTCGAAGAGCAAGAAGCGCAAGAAGTATTCGGACAGCGACTCCGACTCGCTCTCGGACAGTCTCTCGGACAGTTACTCGGACGAGTCGGACTACACGAGCGACTCGAGCGAGGAGGAGCGGCGGCGGAAGAAAAAGAAGAAGGCGGGGAAGAAGAAGTCGAAGGACCAGAAATCCAAGAAGAAGAAGCGGAGAAGGTAAAGCGGGGCCGAACATGAAATCACTTTCCCGTTCCCTATTGGCGGGACGTCCGTGGGGGGTTCCGTCAGGGAAAACCAATTATTTGCTTCAGGCTTTTTTCCAAAAAAGGGGACTGCTTTTGTGTGCAGAACCACAAACTTCCGCCCAAAGTTTCAATACTCTGATGTAGCTGATCCAAAACGGAAGAATCTTGGGCCTGATGTCGGTGATGTTCTGTCTTTTCTCCAAGATTTTTCGGATGAGTTGGTCGAATACCGCATGTCGGGATCTGTTTTGAAGGGCCTTAACTCGATGGAATTGTACTGTCGGAGGTGAAAGGCACACGAGTAAGAAGAAGACAGTCTCATCAAGGAGGGATTGCCTGTTTCATTGCCTTTCTCATGAGATGTCCGTTGGGCCTTTTAAATATTGCGATGCGAGCCGGGTTGGCGCGCACCCCGGCTTGTGATTGGCGCACTCCCAGGATCTTGGAATTGTCGTTATACAACTCGATGCATCACGTGTTTCGATACGGTCCTCAGTACCGCTGATGAGGGGGACTGGATACGCGTGGCCTATCGCCGTTTTAAAAAGGGCGTCTTCTGCGACACGTAACCCCTCGTCAGGTCCACAGTGTTTGCCGATGGCACTCTTTTGCGCCCACTTGAATGCACGCGGCAACCGCCGCCCATTAATGTCAAGAACTTTTCGTGGCAGTTTTTCTTGGGTGACTTCGTGGCGAAAGTAATATGCAGAATGCTTCAAAGCGTCGCTGCGAAAAGCGGGCTCCAATGCGTCCTTTGAATCATTTTGCGAAATGCGAGAGCTCGGGGGGGTAAGCAGACTGACTGAGACGGCTTGGTGTTGTTACGCAGGTCGTACAGCAGCGAGTCGGACGACTATTCGGACAGCGAGTTCTCGGACGTCGAAGAGGAGGATCGTCGGTCCAAGAAGAAGAAGAAGAGCAAGAAGTCCAAGAAGAAGAAGAAGCATCTGTCCTATTCGGAGAGCGACTTCTCCGACAGTGAACCCGATCGCAAGCGGTCCAAGAGCGGAAAGGCGCGGAAAAAGGACGTGGGCTTGGACGATAAAGAAGGGAAGAACGGGGTGGAGAGTGGGGACGCTCAAAAGGTACGAGAGTGGGACTTGGGCAAGGAGCGCCCTGCAGAAGCGCTAGAGGTGCCGGGGGCATCGGCGGAATTGAGCTTGGCAGCCCTGAACGAGGCCCCGGAGACAAGAGGCACCGGTGAACGGAGAATTAAGTCCCTGGTAGAAAGGGAGCCAGTTTCCCCTCTCAGGGGGGAGCGTTTGCCTGGGGAGACGGGGGGGGTTCGGCGCGTGTCGCCATTCGGGGGGGATCGCTCGCTGGATGAGAGGAGGGAGGGGGAGCGCTCGCCTGAGGCCAGAAGAAGGGCGTCCCCGGTTCGGGGGGGTCGGTCGCCGGGCGAAAGGGGGAGGGGGAACGCTCGCCCGAGGCCAGGAGGAGAGCGTCCCCGTTTCGGGGGGGTGGGTCGCCGGAGAGGCGGAGGCGCATCTCGCCGTTCCGAGGGGGAAGGGGGCGGTCTCCGGATGACAGGGGGCGCAGGAGCCCGTCGCCGAAGCGGGTCCGAAAGTAAGTCGACGAACGGGAGTCTTTTCCTCCGGTTGGACTAACGCATTTGTAAATGGACTTGCAGAGTGAAAGCGGAGCCGCACCTACTTCTCAACAATGTTAGGTTCATTTGATGATCAGGTCTTCTACCCGTCCTGGAGTTGTTGGTTGATGGAAAAGGTCACCCCGCGTCTCGTGTCTCGTTTGCTTCACTACTTTTAAAGCGATTCCCCTCCTCATTGTTCAGTCTGAAGAAGGGCTAGATCACTCAGCAAAGTGGGTCTTCGAAGTCGATGAGTTTCGTAATCGCCGAATCTTTTGAAATGGTCCCGGTCCGCCGAAGATCAGACAATTTTAACCTTTTGTAGTGTCTCGATGCAATTCAGATCCTTTGTGTGGCCGCCATGTTTTCTACCTTTTGTCACGGCTTTTATGCTTCTTAAGTACCTTTTTTTGCAGCGGCTTTAGCACCTCTCTATCAGACTGTCTTCCTCGTCGCCTTTAGGTGTTGTGCAGCTATTCTGGGTTTGCCTGCCGAATCTAGCTATCCATTCCCAAACATTCGTTGTTGTAGGGGTGCTTTCTGTCTGCGCTCCAGTCTCTAGCGCCCCAAGTTATCTGCCATGATGATACTGCAAAGACCGTCTCTGCTTAATGCAATTCTCTAAACAGGATCATATCTTCCGGCAATGTGACGTTTTTCTTTCCGTCTGAGGAACGTGAGGCAGCAGATAAAAATGTCTACTCTGCATGCTCAGACTTTTTAGGATTCCGACAAGAGATCGCTCAAAGCCAAAACCTGGCACGGATTTCCCCAAAACCTGCACGGACTTCCCCTTTTCCTCTGAACGAGTTGCTGAAGATGGCTCTAAACAAAGATCGCCCTTGACAGTGTCTAACCACGTTTTGCAGGGGCCGCGGATTCACCGACCAGTATCAGAACGCCCGGCGCTACCGCACCCCCTCCCCGGGACGGGTTGGTTATGTTAACCCGCTTCGTCGAGTTCCAATCGTTCGACCGGACCCCTCCCGAGAGGGCGCCGTTCCTGATGACGATGTTCCCGCCGGAGCAGAAGGGAGAGATAGGAGCGTGAGGACTGAACGGGCCGACCGGACGGAACGGAATGAGGGTGCGGAACTGAACGTCAGGAGGGAACGTGCTGAAGGGGACAGGCGGGGCATGAGTGAGGCGTTGAGGAAGCGGCTGGGCCCGAAAGTCACGGAAGAGGGGGGTGAGCTGGCCGGCGAGCCTGACCCCCCGGTACGACGGCGTGTGATTGAATCGGTGAAGGAGAAGGAACGGGAGCCGAGGAAGAGCAGCGTGTGGGCTCGTCTCGGGTTGGAAACAAAAGGGGGCTCGAAATCAGCGGGGAAAGAAGACCCCCCGGAGGGAGGGAGGTGGGAGGAGATGAAAGAGATCGAAGGGCAAGACATCGGGGCGGAGTTTGTGAAGGACGATCTTCGGGCGGTGGAGGGTCAGGACGTAGGTCTGGTTTTGGATGAAGAGTTTGGGACGGAAACGAACGCTGAGAGGAGTGCGGCCGCGGCAGACATTGCGGCCGGTGAAGGTCCCGGGGAGAACGGCTCGGGGGATCCCTCCGGGCATGGTAGAAAGCTAGTGACGTATGACGACCTCGAGACAATCTCGCCCGAGAGGGAGGTCGTGAAGAGTCCGCAGATGAGAGTGATCATGCCAAAGAGTCAGAAGCTGGCGCGTGTAGGAACTTCGCCGCTGGACGAGCAGTCGTTGTCTCCTCCTTCGTCACTTTCGGGAGGGGATTGAGATTCGTTTCGAATATTAATTGGAGACTTCGGAGGTTGCTTACCCCTCAGCATATGCCCCTCATTTTTCAGCTGAGCCTCCAATCAGATTGCCTCTTTGCGTAGCAGCTGACGACCTTAGGAAATCCATTAATTGCTGTGACCATATGGGTAGGTGAATGCTATTATGAAAGTTTTCGATCCAATTTGGCTGGCTGGCTTCATGGGTATCTCACATATGCAACCAAGCATAGATTTGTTGAAATGCAATATAGGAACGGGATTGCGCAAACAGCTAATCCGACATGAGGTGCATGCACTGAGGCGGCCTGTATACATGCCTAGCTCGCCAGCTCAATACGCACATGCTGTAGCGAAATGGTAAAAAAGTTCCGCCCAGGCTTCACTTTATGTGGTGCATGTGGAAATCCGAGTCAGCCAAGTGCGCGGCAGTGAGTTATGTATAGCTGGGGCCGCTGCGACCATGTCACACGCATCTCCAGGCAATGATGCGCGCGAGCGCGCAGAATCAGCTACTTTCACGGCGGCCGGCCCGCCGGGCGCGGCAGATGCCGTGCATTGTGCAAGCTCCGCAATGCTGACCCTGATCAGTAGGTGCGGGTCCCTTTGGTTGCATGGCGCAAAATCAGAGTGATTGCTGTAATAACTAATCAGCTCATGCAAAGGGCATCATAACGACTAATATTGAAGTCTAGAATTCTTGAGCACCTTCGAACTCTGTTGAACGCTGCGCAATGACGCCTCTGATAAGCGGAGGGGCGCATTGCTTTGATCACCGCAGATTGGGATTCAGATATTTCGAAGAACCAACCTAAAAGGGTAATTTAGAGTTGAAGTCCTACAAGACACCTTCGTGAGTCGTGACTCTGCGCAATGAGAGTCCTGGTCAACGGAGGTGCGCGTTACTTTGGTCACCGCTGTCCCAAATTGCTCTGTTAGTAGGCTCGAAAGGGAAGATTAGAGTCGGTCTCTGTTCACCACCTTCAAAACGCTGTGAAAAGCTGCACGATGACAATCCTTATAAGCTGTGGGGCGGGTTTCCTGGATCCGTGCAGAATCTGTTTGTTCTGATCAACCAGCTCAGAAGGCAGAAAAGTAACAGTCCCTGTTGGGCACCTTCAAACGCTGTGCAAAACTGCGCAATGGCGGTCCTTATAACCGGTGGTGCGGGTTTCCTAGGTCAGCGTGTGGCCAGGGCTCTATTGAAGGAATGGGAGAATGCTGGGCCTGATCCAGAGCAACCAGTCAAGCTTCTGCTGGTGGACATCAAAGAGCCTTCAGAGCGCATCCCAGGAGCTCATTATGTAAGTCGAGATCGTTTAAGGCAGCTCTGAGATTGTGGAAGGCAGCTTTACGCAGAACTGACTTATTTAAGGCAGCTCTGGTAGTGTGGAAAACAGCTTTGATTGCCCGAAGTTAGCAAGTTGGCGAATTAAAGATGCCTCGATTATGTCAAGCTGTGCACTATGTTTTATCTGAGTTGACTGACAATTGAATGTGAATTGTCAGTCATCTCCCCAAAAAGTTGACTGGTCAGAAAGACTCCGTAGTTCCTTACATCAGGCACTCAAGTTATCCATTTTTTCTTGCCTATATATCCATTTTGAGCTGAACTCCCACGATCTTTGTCTGCAATGTGCGCTCAAGCTACAGTGAAGTACACACATATGACGGCGACTTGCAATCGATTGCCCCTTGTTAAGCCCTTCCTAAAAGTGACCCTTCCTTTGTATCTTCTTTTGTTTCCTTACTTTTCTGAAACCCTACTGCCTCCGCAGTGACTTTCACTGATGAAGGCTGTGTGAGAATAGCCTAGAGCTCTGGAGCTTGTTAAAGCTCATCGTTAGGACAGCCAGAGGTTTCAAATCACAAGCTGCTACCCGGACACAAACTGTTGTTTTCCTCGTCCAGGTCGTGGGTAACATCAGCGACGCTTCGTTTCTCGAGACAGTATTGACGGAGGAGGTGGCTAGGTGCAAATGTCTCTGACCTCTTTTTGCAAAGCACGGAGTTGAGCGCGTTATTCCCCATGCTTTGAACCTTGTCGGAGCCAAATTTCAGAATGTAGCACAATCTTGTCATACAACTTTCTTGACTGCAAGAGACATGCTATTTTCGTTTGACGTTTCTCCCTCTGTTTCCTCCTCTTCGGCGGTTAAGAGAAGTGCCCCCTGCGACGTAAATCAGGGCCTTATTTTTGATCAGGACGCTCTCTCCTGCGTTGTATCACCATATCTTCTCTGGCAAGGAGTTATGACCACTTCGAGGACTGAAAGAAGCAGTAAACAAGCAGTCAGATTTTGCAACGGTAATACCTCAGGTATAGGGAAGTTTGATGCACCAATCAAACTTCGGAAAGAGTGAACAGGTCAATTTGAGTGGAAACAACATACCTCTAAGTACTTTTTTTCAAAAAGTCAACTCTCGTTTGCAGCATCTTTCATTTTGCTGCCATCCTGAGTGCGCACACCGAGAGCGAGTACGACCTGGGAATGAAGGTGAGAACGTCAGCTTTTCTCTTTCAGAGTACAACAACGAAAAAGTCTTGCTGAGTTGGAGGAAACTTATCATACATTAGCATTGAGCGTGACACGTGCAGCCATGGTTTCTGGAGAACCGATTATTGGGCCGATAGAAGTGCTAAACCTCAAGGATTCCACATATTCTCGGAGGTTGAGATGATAAGACTTGAGCAGGAGTCTAGTCAACGGAGGTGGAGTCCTTTTCGCGTTACTAATTTGGCATTTAAGTAACATGATTCAATGCGCGGAGAACGCTTCTTTCTACTTCATGCCAGGAGGCGGTTCATCCAGCGTTTCGTTTCTGAACCCTGCCTGGTGAAGGCCCAAGAGAGGACTTTGAACCGGGGCTGTAACCAGATTTTCTTCACTAACCAGGCTCCCTTTGGGAAGATGAATTCTGGTCTCTCAGTTCCAAATTCCGGTCTCTGGTTTCCGGTTTCTAAGGTGCTCTTTGTCGTCGACCCACTTTCTTGTCAGTAAGCGCTCCCACATTCTCAATTCCCACCAACTCAAAATGACGCCTCCGTTGCTCACGATTTCGATCTGCCAAAATGCGGCTTCGTTTTTGCAGCTAACCCGTCCGTCCTGCTTATTTTTTTCACCATTTTAAGCAAACCCTTCGACTTGCCGTCAGGTGAACTTCGACGCCACCAGAGCAATCATCGAACGGGCGCGCGCCCTGGAGACGCGGCCGAAGCTCATCTTCACTAGCTCGGTTGCAGTCTTCGGCATACCCCCTCAGGTGAGAGGAAGAAAGCGAGCAGATTGAACCTAGTCAGACCCCCCCCGAAACTTCGAAGTGCAATCTTTGTGAATGGTTGCTCGCTCCCTCGCTCGTAAACGGGCCCCATACCGGGAGAGACGCAACAGTGTTAGACATGAACGAAATAAGGTGCGTTCTTCGGCTAGCAGATTTCCCCCGGCGCGTGAAAACCAGAGCCCTCATCTCCAAGCTTCGCCCGGGACGGCTGTTAGCCCTACTTTCGGGTCAACAAGTGCACCCAAAATGCACCAGTCGGTTCCCAAAGGTCGCTGAATGGTTTTATATACTGCTGCATCAAAATACTCCCCCTCCCTCTTCATTACGGCATGTCTTTGCAGCCGTTGACGGGGATCCAACTCGTCCCCGGTTATTCGGCACGACTCCGGACGAGCTTTTCGGAAAGTGAATCGGCTCAAGTTGGATTCTGTTCGAAGAAATTTGCTGGCCTCTGCTTGTAAGGAGCGGCACCCAGAACGTCATATCCCGTTGCCGGCATGATCGTTTTTCCGCTGCGATGTCCAGGAAACAATTGACACGAACGCACTCCGAGAACGCCAGCTGTCCTTTACGGAGAAGACGGCCGTCACGCCCCAGTCGTCGTACGGAGCTCAAGTGAGGTACTAGGAAGCTGCGATTGCCATGCTAACAAAGGTGAACCGTTCGCGCGTGAGGAACCGTTGGTAACTCCGTCCAAAACATGCACGTACACTCTTCCTTGTGCCCACGTTTTCTTCGCACTCTGTGCTAGACCGAAAGAATCCATCTCTTACGCGCGTCCAACTATTTCTGGAAGGCTCGTGTTCCAGTGCGCCGCACCTCTTACACTTGCACCGTTGGGCTTACTGAAATAGGCTGACAACCATCAGTGACACTTCCCCGGTTTCTCAGCTTGTCAGAAGACCCTCTAGGTCTTCTCGCTCGTCCAAATGCTCTCTCGCTCGCACATAGCATGCTCTTGTTGATGTCACAACCCTTCACTCGTCCATACGACGCCCTCACGCGTTGCACTTCCGTTTGCGCTTTATCATTGTTCCACCATTCAGCACGGTTTCATCCGCACGTCCCACCAACCCGCCTGCGCACACGAGTCTCTCCCTTGCTCATACGGCTCTTGCATCTGGACACATCCGACTCGCCCGCTTGCTCATACGACCTCCCCGCTTGCTCATACGACGTCCCCCCTTATCTATACGCAGAAGGCCATGGCTGAGCTGCTCGTTGCGGACGCCACGCGGCGGGGCTTCGTCGACGGTCGCGCCGTCCGCTTACCAACGGTGGTCGTTCGGCCCGGCAAGTGAGATCGTCCGCAGTATGATCTTTTCGAGGAACTAAAATTTGATTATAAGGCCTCTGATTTTGATGGGCTTTCCAGACTCCTGCTCGTCATTTGACAATCATCTTTTTATTACCGCGAAGTCAAACGGGGTGACTCGTCATCTCCGGTGCAACACTTGCACCTTTTGACATTCGCGTCAATTGAAGCCCTAGTAATCGGCGGCAGACGTTGCGGCATCTTAAAATCGTAGGCGAAGCAATGGTTTTCCCAAATCCACTGCTCGGAAGTGGTCCGGAGCAACCCTGGAAGGAATGTCTCTGCTTCTTCGTCGCCAGCGCATCACAGGCCCCGGTGTGCTTTCTTCGAAGATTGACTATTTTTCTGAGCTCCCCCGTTGTTTAAACGAGCCAGCAGTTCTCGGCCTTTTCAAGCCCGCGGTAACCCGGTTCTTGTCGCCCCGGCATACGTCCTTCGCTGGAATTCAGCGGCCCGAAAAGAAGACAGTTTGATTTCTTCATCGAATCCACCAATTTGCCATGGTTTTCCGTCTGAGGAAACATGTCTTCTTTTTCGCGTATAAGTCCCCTTTTGAAAGCTTAGATTCAGCGTATAGATTAAGGTGACGGTATGTTTGCCGAACGCGTTCTGTCGAGCTGCTCTTGAAGCAAGGTCTTGGATCCGAAGTGGTTGCTCTGAGTTGCATGAAAAAGGTTTCAAAGGATTGTTCCGTTGTTCCGTTGTTCCGTTGTTCCAGCTTTCTCGTCGCCAAAATTTCACAAGCGCTTTGCAGGATGCCAGTTCCTTTCAAACGTCTGTCAGTGCCCTTCTCCACCGGTCTTTGCAGGCACACGTCTCGCTTTCCGTCAATTGTGGCCCACGTTGAGTTGCACCAGTTTCCCAGCCCAACAAAATCGGAAACCCTAAACCCCGACTTTACCTGCTTTGCATCCCAACCCAACCCAAAATAAAATATCTAATCTACCCGTCCCCTTGGGCAGTTGCCGGATTCAGCGTAGCGTAACTCTCTGGTAAATCTGACGCTATTTTGCAGGCCGGCCCGAGCCGCTTCTTCTTTTGCCTCGGGTGTCATACGCGAGCCCCTGCAAGGCCAGCCGTCGGTCTGCCCGGTAGATCCCGACACTCCTGTCTGGATCCAGGTGTGACACGTGGCGCCTTGTCATTTGCAAGATCGCTAGCGCGAGTTGGCTCCTTTTGCAACTCTTGTCTGAGGTTGCTAATCCTGGAGCTGTAGTGTAAGGGGAAAAGCGCGAGCTACTTTTTGACGGCGTTTCGACGGGAAGTGACAGACTGAGATTTCTTGCAGCATTCTGACACACGGCCAAAGTCGTCCAAATTCCGTGCTCGGGCGATCGCAGATTAGTAAGGTGCTTTAACCCTTTTCTAACCAGAAACTCGAGTTCCGCACGTTCAGTTCTTGTTTAGCCGGCAGCCTTCGTACGGGTCACGCTTGCGCAGACGGCTCATCACGCTCCCTTGGCCTCGACAACGTCACTTTGCCACAGCCAAAACCACGAGCCGTCCAAACCCTCGACCTGGTGACGTTAGTTGCCATCAGCAGAGACTCAATCCCACCTATTCCTCTGCAGTCCCCCCGGAAAGTGGTTGAAAACCTGATACGCGCGCACAACCTTCCGCGGTCTACGGGACCCGTCGTGGTAACCCTGCCGGGTTTGTCGGTGAGCCAAAGTAACCCAGCTGGAAAAGAGCGCGAGCGCGTAGGAGATTAAAGTCGGCGTCGTGGACTTGCATGCCCGCTTACTCTTTCAACATATGCGCCTGAGTCGCCAAGTTGGTTCGATTCAACCCTCAAGATGAAAACGAAGCTTTAGGAATAATAAGGTGACCACCAGCACTTAAAGACGGGTCGGGTTAGGTTAGGGAGTTCAGGGTGAGTTAAGTTGCGGGCGGGCGGAGTCGGAGTTCAGATTGCCTATGGATCCCGTAATTCCTAACTCTATTGAAAATCCACGTTGGCCAAATTGTCAATGATGTCTCCTGTTGAAAAAATATTAGCCCCGCCAAGTGTGCAGTTTGAAAGCGTCCCATCCGAGAAAAAGCCTGGCATCCAAGCCTCAGAATGTTCCGGGGAACACGAAGTCCTATGATGCTTTCGCTGGCGCGATTGGGAGAGTCGTCTTTGGAATCGATCACTTCGAACACTGGAAGCCCCGGATTGACTTCCACCGTTCGAGAGCAAGTCAGGCCTTTCAGCGACGGCCCTTGTCATCAGTTGAAGCTCCCAGACACTCTGATGCCTTGCCTTTGGAGTGATTATCCTTCGGAGTTGTCCGTCATCATTTTACTTCAAAGAAAGCCTTGAAGAAACCTTACTGAGCTCAGCCGCCCTTTCGCCGAAAGGCTGGATCAGATTCAATCCCTTGAAGCGGATTCACAAGGTTCAGCGGAATGGCCGGAACCAAATCGCTGGTTGTGAAGCAGAATGGCAAGATTTTGATTCATCTCTTCCGTATTCATTCGCAGGTCACTGTTCGCGAGATGATCAACGCCGTGGTTTGGGCGAAGGGCCGAAGCGATTTGGTAAGCATCGCGTGCTTATGCATGAGCGGGTACCCGTTCGTGGAGAATCATTTGGGCAGCTCGAGCGGAAATGTAAAAGTCAAAGGTGTCTACATGGACTCTCTGGTGCCAGCAGATGTTGCAGGAAATCCGATGCGCTCTGCAATACGTGCAAGGAATCAGTGCTCAAGGTTCGGCGTCTAGCACAGGGCGCTCTTTTTGTCTCCTTCAAAACTTGAAAATGTTCTCGGACGATTCATAGCTTCTTGTAAAGGCTTTTTGATCGAGGTGTTCTGCTTTCAGAGCAACGCCTGGTTGCCTTGTCAACCGGTTGCCAGTCTTGCTTGCTTGGATTCTCGTTGGAGCCGCAAAGGGACCGGCTTCTGGCGGCTTCCTTGCGGTTGAGTCCCGTCTTTCCGCAAGCGATGTTTGGACCCATCGAGGTCCAAGCACGGTATTTGTGCAGTCTTGTCCGGTGTCCTGGCCGGAAAGCCTGTGATCAAAAGTCCATCACCGCCTACACAGAAAGTGTTGAAACCAACGGTCAACAAGCTCGTAGCCAATATGCTGCTTTAGGTTTTCGAAAACGTTTCTTAGAAACGTTTGCAAATTATCACGACGAGGGGCTCACCTTCTCTCCCGAGGGACGACGTCCGGGCTTGCTTTGCTAGCTTCTCCTGTAAGGACAGAAGGAACGCATACGGTTTCAGCCCGACTGACACGGTCACAAACTGACTGCACCGCCCTTTGCTGTTTCCCAGGTCCGATTCGAGAGGCAGCCAGAAGTCGAGCGCATCTTCTGCTCCTGGCCGGGTCGAATAGACACCCCGGCGGCAAGCAGTCTGGGGTTTGAAGCCGACGAGTAAGGATTTTTACGGAGACCAAGTCATCATCATCTATGTCTGTCCGCTGAACAATCCTCTTCTCGCAACAGGAAGGCCATGAAAAGATGCGCTGACAAGGATGAGCGTTTGAGCGTTTTCATGCACGTGGGTTTCAGGACTTCTGGGCGCCTTCTCAGACGTAGGAAAGTCAGGAAGGAGGGGCGCCGCCTCTTGAGGATCTTCTTATTCAGAAGAGCTTGTTACTCATGGAATGATACTTTTTCGAGGTAGAGAGCCCAGCATATATCAGAGATTCACTCCGCGGGATGAAATGAACTTATCAAAGAATACATTCCGGAATTGGAAGTCAGTAGCCGTTACCGGAGTTGGCTCTTGTCGGTTCGAGTTGAATGCAGCCTCTGAGCAGGGGACTCACATTATGCTCCGCCCGTTTTTTGCAGGAGCATTGAGGAAGTGATCCGGGCTTTCATCGAGGTTGACCTCGAGATGCCGACCAATCCGTGAGCGACTGTCGGCCTCTCACCTGTGTTAGTTCATGTTTGACTGATAGTTACAAATGTAGGACAGTTTGTACATAGAGAGAAGTGAGACTGTCATATGTGTTGTCTTGATTGATTCGACGTAGCGAGCGAGGTACTTGATTGGACTAAGCCTTTCAAAAGCGTTTGTCGAGTAATAGCGTTTGTGCGCCCGACCCAGTGCATTGAAACTTCACAAAACCAGTGACTGATTGATTTATGAGCGCGGCAGGACCGCACCGGCGGCCCGCCAAGCGAGTCATACACACAGGCGCGAGCACAGCATGCGCCGTTTGCTGCCTTCCTACGTACCCTCTTTAATTAGTGATCGTAAGGTGCTCGCCGTCCATACTTTCCAATTGCTGAATGCGTAAGCAAACGATCCAAGTGACGATTGAGTTGAGCGGATACATGCTCGATCATGCCGCCTCTTCCGAACTTACTTAGCTATTGATTGGATACAACTATTACCTGGGTATCACATAAGACGGTCGCACTACTTGTGTTGCACCGTTGAGGTGTGCCTTCAGTTGAAAGTGCCCATCAAAGTTGACGTATACGTGGGATGAGTCGAACACATGCAGCTATCATTATATACAATGAACCATTGGAGTGTTCCCTAGTCATATATGATGTTCCCTAGTGGTATATGATGGCACTGTTTTCAACCACGTCGATCGCGATAAGTACGGCGTCTTCAACGCTACGGTTGTTCTCAAGGGGCCCTCAAGCAGAGAGCAGAGCTAGAGATTGAGATTGAGATTGAGATTGAGATTGAGATTGAGATTGAGATTGAGATTGAGATTGAGATCGAGAAATTGAGATCGAGACTGAGATTGATGCTAGAGGACCTGAAAAAGGACTAGTCTTAGGGTCATTTGTGAGACGTAAAGAAGCCCGCTTACCTACTAATAGTAAGCACGGCACGGTAATATTGCATGGTCCTGGGTTTGTTTCTGGAACGGTACATCTGACCCCGTAGTTGAGTACATGTACAGCTCTGTGATTTAGGGAGGGGCAACTGGAACCTGATGCTCAAGAGGACTTACAATAAAACCTTTAGTTAGAGTTTGCTGACACGTAAAGAAGCCCTGATTACCTACTGACTAGAATCTCGGCACGGGTGTAACCCTGTCTTGTTTTATGGACGATATGCCCAACCTTGTACTAGCTTGATACATATAGGCTGTTTGGTTTTCAAAGTTTTCCAGCCACAACTGACGTCGTTTTAAAACAGAAAAAGCACCACGGTAGGGTGTGTCCCAATCTGTCGGAGGCTTTGACAATCGCCTTCAAGCCGCAGATCAATTAGTGTATTTAGCAGGCTCAGTATGAGCAATTGTGAAATGTAATCCGGTTAGTAAGCTGATCCTCGTTTGCTGAGTGCCGCGGGGGTCTTGGACCATCAAGCTCTACAGGTCTATCATGCATCTAATAAGTATCCCCATGTCATCCGATATGCCCATTTTATCTGATATAATGCCTCGTTCAGGGGGCTTATATTTCATACCGGGCCATAACGGAGACTGCACTTTGTCGGGTCAGATTGAGAAGTGCGGCACTCTCCGGCCGTTTGTTCGATCTCTAGCAGGATTCCGCTTCGCGTACGTTTATCGAAAAGGCACCGGCCCCGTGTCGAAGCAACTTTCAGAAGCACTTGCCCCATGGTGTTCGAACACCATGAATACAACGAAGGGCTTGATTGAAATGCAATATGGCCTTTTACAATAATCACTCTTTTTGAAATCGCGAAGCAGTGAAGAATGTTAAGAACGTATGTTATGAGCCGCCGCACTAGCTGTTAATAATTCTGGACATTCTCGCTAATCAGGCTGACAGGCAGTCGGCCCGGGGTCAAACACTGCACAGGATCCTGGCGTGATGCGGGGAGTTTAGGACGTCCGCTTTTGCCGCGACCGGGGCTGCTGGGCTGCCGGTGCAGCACCGTCGTTTTACACCCCGTCGTCTTACACCCCATCTGTGCCGTGAGATGCATCGCACGCTGTGATGCAGACTTCTATCAATATCAGTTTGCACGTGAACGATGAAATGCTTGAGAAGCGCCCAAACGGCGTCTTCTCTCAGCTTCGTCCGCGGCGGGACCCGTCCGAGCAGTGGGTGCCAGGCGGCCCTCTGCGCGCGCGCCGCGTGGCCGGCGATATGACTCGATTACGACAATTGTACACGTAGCTGGAGCCGCGCGATCAATCAAACAACTGAAGGGGGGCCGGCCTCAGAATGTCGGCCAGCTAATTTCTCTGAGCGGCCCAAAACATTAATTACGTACACTGAGCGGCTCGCGCCACTTCAATCTCAAAGCGTATGACTTTGGTAAGGAATCTCGTCGATCTGGGCCAATTGTGATGAGTACGACTGGCGCCTGCCTTAATCTCGTCTACAAACAAAGCGTCTGCTGACTGCACGAAGCCGTCACGCATGAAGTTAGCGACTGCAAACATTTCGTGCAAGAAGACTTTGGCAGCGCGCGGTGCTCGCGAACGCCATGCTGACATGCAGCTAGCCCGGCCCGCGGACAGTGCATCCGCTAGCGCGCCCGGGGCGGAGGGCCCGTTTTCCCGGGCTAGCTGCCTGAGGCCGGGCAACGGACTGGCGGAAAATCTTCTGGGGGATCTACCATCCCCGGGCATAGTCGATTGCCCGAAGGTAAGGCCGGGGAAAGACTCCCCGAGATGTCGCGCGTCCGGTGATATGAGATCAGACGGGGGAACGTGCATGTATCGAGAATTGACATATGTCACAATCTACCAGAGTGCTGCACCTACCCGTAATTTGTCGTCATCCAGAAACCAATTCAGCAATCAAAATAGTGCCTGGCCACGGCTCTGGTTCCTGGCACCCGGTACAATCAAGATCCGTTTGTTTGGACAGCTGAGGCACAATATTCCAAACCATTTAGTGACTTCATCACGACTCCGCATTAGTACCAAGGTAACATGGGGGTAACATATCCCATTTTGGCATGGCACCTGATGATGTTGACGTGTCATATATCCGTAAACGGCCACCTCATCTGCATATCTAGGTCAAACCATGCAATAATGATCCAGCACGACCACCCAGCTTTGTTGTTTTTTCAGAAACAGTCTTGAAGCATAACATTGTTCAGGAAATCGAGCACATGATGGGATAGAGGTTGTTGGCTTCTGACATTCGCTGATCCAAAATGTGGGAACGACGAACAGCTTTAAATCTTTGTACTATAAGCGCGAAATAAGTAAGTATACTGCACACCCCTTGCCAGCAGGGGATGAGTCCGGTCCATGGTTGACTGATCTTCATGGACGGTTCCCCCTCGAACTCTGCCTTCCGCTAGCATCATTTCTAGTCCTGGTTCATTAGGCTTGATGAGGCCATCTGACCCTAGTGGACAGCCACAATATATCAATCTGAACAACCTAATCCTTTTTCAAAATTGTTGGAATTGGTCCATTGTCCCTTTCACACAAAGCTGCCCCTCTGTGATGATATGGAAGGACTCGATGCTTTCCCAGCCGTTCCCTATGTCAACAGACACGTCACAGAATTTCTCTCCGCCCCAGAAGGAGAACTCTTTCAAGCCTCGGAGCGACGAAAGTCCGGTGATGTTCATGAACCCGTCTTTCGCTTCCCTTGTTGACTCTATGTGAACCGACTCCAGTTTTGAGCCGCATTGTTGAAGAATTCTCAGATCCTCCCCGGATTCTAAGTCGATCGATTGGAGGTTTTTGAGGGAACGGACAGAGGGAGGTATTGTGCCAAGAAAGACAAGCTCCTCGACGCTTGGGATGTTTGCTAGCCGGTGGAGTCCAAGTATGCTGGAGTAGGTTGAATCCTGGACCACCAAACGTCCTAGAGACACGGTCTGCAAGTATGAAGAGGGATACCCAATATAACCCGCCATCAAAACTCGTTGAGCCGGTAATGTACATTGGCATAGGTTTGTTCGTTCTGACCTTAGATTCCCAGACAAACGCACGTCATGTTCTGAAAGTTGAACACTGAGGTGCGGAAGTATGCCATGCCAGACCTTCTTCAAGATTCAATCATGATATAGTGCCACGCATTACACAAAGCTGCACGTTGCGGACCGAAGAGCATTTGAAGAGATCGAGTCCTCACTTGGAGGCTGTGCAGATTCGGTAACCAAAGGGGAACGTTGAGCAACCATGCCCCGCCTATTCTCAGTTCCGTTAGGTTTTCAAGGAGACCGATTGGATCGAGGTCCTTCACTCCGCAAGAGTGCCTTTGGGAGAGGCCGAGATGCAAAACCTGTCAGGAAATAAGCTAGGCTTAACGAGGAATTAACAGTTCCTCCTGATTGAAGTGACAACAAGTGAGTATTACGTGCTCGCTGCAAGAGGATAGCTGCACGAAGCGGAAGCTTTTTCCAAGCGCGGTAATCCGGCTGCGATTCGTCCTTTACGACCACTTTTTCTATTACTGTCTACCTCGAGCCAGTACAGAATCTTTGCGAACAATCTCGTTCGGTATCATTGGGCTTGGGTCGACACACGTCAGTCTTGGTCGACTGATTGAGAAAAGGGTACAAATAGAGGAGAGAAGTCAAAGCCCGTGGACGAAGGTATACTTGAGAAAGGAAAGGTGCAAAGCACAACAACAAAATGGGGACCGAAAGAAAAAGTGAAGAGGTTATAATTTGGGATCGTGTCATACCTTCAATTGTGTGAGGTTTGCCAGTCGTTTGAAGCCTGGGAAAGTTGAGCACGTTGAATATTGGGAAAGGAAGGCTTCCTTCAAGGACCCGGGAAGGTAATCAAAGTTGGTTTGGGTCTCCTCATCTCCGAAAGCAAGAGAGACGACTTGCAAGTGATCTGCTTTGCTCAACCACTTTAGGGCGTCTTGTCCAACCTGGGCGACCTGCAAGAAGAAAGTTGCACTTCAGGTCAGATGACGATATTGCCAGCAATAGGTCAGGATTCATTTGATGCAACCCAGCCCTTTGCATCAGCTGCACCTCATGACTGCAGCGTTCAACGACATATGTTCCGAGAGAAAGAAACAACTTCGAAGACTTCCGAGAGAAAGAAACAACTTCGAAGACTTCAAGTCACGCATACAATACTGAGAGATTGCCAATACGGTCACGAATGTTGACCTGTCAACACCAATGCTGGACCCACTATATAACGCCCACTCGTGCAGAACCAACTGAATCGGATTTAAGTCGGGCTTCTGGCAACAGCCCGTAGATTAATTGCTAAAAGGCTTGCTCGGATCATTCATTTTTGCTGCTCGGAGCGATTGAAGTTCCTTGCCTTCATTCTGACGAAATCAACCTTCTTCAGCTGACGTGCTTGAGGCAAAACCTGAGCGAGTTGCTCAACCGTGAGAAGAGGCGCACAGTTGAGCGTCTTTCGGAACGCCAGGCCTTCACAATCCTGAGGCTCTTCAAGCTACTCCAATGCCGCTTGAAGTACTGCATGAATCCGTCGTTATATGGGCAAAAGCTCTCCTCTTCCGGAATCATGGAGTCGTTCGTGGGAAGGAAGAGGAACACAGTAAGCTCCGGCCAATTGCACTGGTCCCGAACCAGGTCCCGCCAGGACTTGCAAGCAAGGCTGCAAAATATCGAGAAAGCACATTCTCAAAAACGCAAGTGTTGCGAATTAAGGGTGAAAGGTTCAGATGCAACTTCAATGCATTGCTTCTTTACAAGTCTACCAGTCAGCAGATTACTAGTCCTCCCAAAAAGCACGTGGGTCTGATCATCTCAGAAACAAGGGCATCTTCACAGAACACTGACAATGGTTTCGTGAAAAAATGGAGCAGCTATGCAATCAGCACATGCAGGCAGAGTGAGGCAATGTCAAATATATGGAATTCTCTCCATCAGGATTCAGCACACAGCTTGGAGCCCGGAGTATACTTGGTCAACTCCTTGCTACACCAGATCACGATGCAGGCTATTGGTGAGTCGATCGTCAGATAAGTTGGAGATGGTAGAAGCTTGCGTGATTCTCATGGAGCCAATGGTAAGGGGAGCCGATGGTAAGGGGTGGCAAAATGTTCTTACCTGCACCTTGAAAGACCCTGAGCCCTTCTAATACACTCACTGCCAACTTGCAAACCGAGGCCTCTTGCATCTGAGGCGCTGCTGATGATTCTCGCTTGCAAATCTTCAGGCAAGTCAAGGACTGAAAAAGCCATGCTGCTCGGCTTCTGTGAAACTTCTAATTTGCAAATGCAAGTCTGCAATCCGGCTTGAATTGCGAAACTCCACCAGGATCCTGGCCCGCCAGCCCCGCCGCCAGCTAAACTATTGAACTCTCAACAGAAAAGCGCATTAACCTACTATCAATCGGACGACGAAGGTCTCTGCAAACACGCCAGGAAGTCTTTCAAGATTCACTGCCTATAGATGCAGGCATCCGCATCTATAGGCGGCTTGCACGGCGCCCGCACGGCGCAACGCGGCCGCGCTTATTGGTCCCAGGTAGGAGCCCTAAGGGTTTCTGGGTTTGGCCATACGCCGCGATTATGCTGCCCCCGAAACCCGCGCGCGCGCTGCTGCTTTCTCAAGAGATTTCGCCAGGGGGGGGGTGCTCTTTCCCCGGTTGGGACCCCTGATTTGTTGTTTATCTTCATAGGCCAGGGGGAATGCTCACATGAATCAAATGCAGATTGCAGCCTGCGCCTTTTCACCAAGCCTCCATTGCACCAAAAGCCAGCGCTTGCGGTATAAGATGTGGACGGCTTCTGTCTTTCAAGGCATCTGGATTGATGCATCATCTTGGTAGGTATGTGGTTGGCATCTCTTTCTTTCGCAGCCGGGGTTCATGCGATTTACTTTGTAAAGAGCAAAGGAATGCTCAAGGTGCCTTTCAGGCAAGGAACCAGTCCTCTCCTAAACTTGTGGATCACAAGTCTGAAAGGTTCCGTAGTGTGCCCTCCTTTGTTCTCTACCTAGGACGGATGAGACTTCTTGGACCTTGTTGATGTAGCTCTGTTTAGAAGAGGATGGATAGCTTTGTCTGCGGGCACTGCAAGCGGGAGCAGAATCTGGAGGATGCCGGGGGCTCAGGGGTCTGCACTTGCACAAATTGTGGAGCATTATTGCAAGGTAAATTACTTGAGACTTCATTGCAGCCTTTGCGTCTTCATTGGCTCTATTGATGCCCGCTGAGTGGTAAAGTTCTCCGCGTGCAGACACAATGCACTTGAAACCTGAAGAAAGACTCATTGTCCAGAGTGTCATATTGGTTCTATTGTGAGACCCCAACAGGAGAACCTCTCAACTCTTCTGTCCAGCATCTTACCTGAGCAAAAAGTAAAACTTTTAGCTGGACTTTGTGAGTCATGTAAAAGCAAGTCCAAGGAATGGGTGAAAGTGCCCTTTCTTGAGTGTACTGCAATTGCCTTGCTACTATTAGATCTGATAGCTACTGCAGGTTGCCTCCTTGGAACGCACCGCTCAATCTTAACCAATTTCCTGCTTGAAAGCATGGATAGTTGAATGCACTCACGTGTTCATAGAAGGTTTCTTTTTTGTAGTATCCGAGTGCCGTTAAGCACTGCAGCCGTCTTGGGTTTCTCCCAAGTCATTTGCAGTCTGCACACTGTTGCCAGGTATCAAACATCTGTGGTCGACCTTGGGGAATCCTTCTTAGTAGCTGGACGATCTTCGACGCCTGATCTCAGAATTTTCACGACTTGTGAGATCAGCATGCTTCTTTGAACTTGCGATGCTTCGAGTTTTCCACACCACTTAGGACAGTGCCGGAATAGTCACCTCATTCCCCATCGAATCAGGTTCTGTGTAGAGAAGACTGGGCCTCTCAGAGTGGTACCAATCTATTGCTCATGCCAGGAGGGACGCATTGATAGCTGAGGAACTTCCTGCGCAACGCTATTTTGCTCCTTTTGTGCTCCTATTTTCAACGCCAATGTTTGCTTCAACCACTTAGCCTTTTGCTTGGCCCCTAGCCTTGTGCAATCCAAGTCTGGTTGTTCTCTTCCGGTGAACGCCCGACTCATTGAGAAGACAGCTCGAAGAGTGCAAACTGCCGATCTTGCTCGCTTCCTTGCAGTGCCCAGTCTCCAAGTTCTCTACCGCTCGGCCCTTCCTCCCGTCGCTCAAATCCTGGAGGCCCCAAAACCCGGGTCTCCTTCCATCCCCCCAACAACAAGTCCTAAGCACACGGGTGACACTGCGGAAAACAGGGCCTCCCAGTCTGGGGTGGTATCAAGTCGCCCGGTCCCGCTTCAGCCTAGGTCTGCCGCGCCCCAGAGCGTCGACAGGCGGCTTCAGGAGGAGATGGAAGCTTATCAGCCCAAGGCTACACACTCCCTTTCGCGGAGCAGTTTGTTTGCAAACGCCCCCACAAGTCCAATCCGCGCCAACAGTGTGAAGACTGTTGACATCTCTGGGGGTTCTCTTTTGCGAGCGCCTCTGGGCCGGGGGGTGCAAAACGTGGGTATTTCGGGGGACTCCGTTTCACCGAAATCTCCAGAGGGGCAGGAGAGAACGTCGCTAAGCAGCCCTGAAACAACGTCAGTCAGCCTCTCCTTCGGACCGAAGCTTCTCCTGCTCCCCGGAAGCGGAAGAGCTTCCATACCCCCCTCAACGATGGAAAAGCCCGCCGCTGATGTCACAGGGGGGGCTCAAGAAGTGGTCTCTGCTGCGGGTTCGCCTAGCTGTGAATCAGTTGGGCCAACATCCGGCGCTGGGATCGTTTCCCACCGACGAGCTCCGTCCACCGATTCGGACGGGTCTTCCGCTTCTTCCAGGAGACTGCGGGCCTTCTCTGCGAAACCGGTGACGGAGTCAGACCTCCCCCCTGGAGTGAACATCTATGTTGCGCAACCGGTTGTTCCTGACGGGAGCGAGGACGACATGCCGGAGTTCTGGGCCAAGCCTGCAGAACCCCCCCCAGGTCCACAGGGAAACCTTCCCCCCGGAACACACGTTTTTATCGCGCAGCCGTATGTCCCTGGGAAAACCGAGGACAAGGCTACTGAGGGCAGACCCGCAAATCCTGCACCCCCCCTTGATTCTTGGTCCAAATCCCCCCCCAGCACAAACTCCATTGAACCGTCCCCGTATGCCTCCAGTCAATACACAGACACGGCGCGAGAGACGGGCCCCCCAGAGCCTGCCCCCCCGTTTGATCAGCTGGTAGAGCTCCCCCCTGCAGCGAGCGTCTATGGTGCGCAACCCTTGGTCGACAACAAGGAGAAGACGCTGGAGGCTTGGGTGAAACCTGCAGCTCCCGACCCTGGTTTCCAGGCAAACTCCGACCCTGGTTCCTCGTTAAACCCTGACCCAGGTATCTGGACACATACTGACGCAGGTTTCCAGGCAAGCTCTGACCCCTGGAGCGAAGTAGGGGCGGAGAAGGTTTGGGAGGGCGACGTGCTCCGGATTTCGGGTGCCAGCGGTGCGAAGGCGAAGAGCAAAGAGGAGCCGGCAAAACCTCCCTTTCAAGCTGCCCATGTTCCTGTGGGACCCATAAGCCCCCCGGAGCGAGACTCGCAGCTTGAAACCCAAAGAACGCCCCCCATCTTTGACGAGCCACAAGTGCCACCCGAAACGGAGATTCCAATCGGGACTGACAGAGCGGAGCCCGTTGTGCCGCTAAGCCTCCGGCGAGTGAACTTAGGCCGTAACTCGGGGGGGGAGGATTCAGGCGTCCCGACCACCCCCCCAACGGGATCCGGCGCCCCTACAGTGAGCCCCACAATCCAGAGAGCGATGCTCGAGTATCAGAAGATGAAGGCGCTTTTAATGGGGGGTAAAAGCAAGTCCGATCCGCCGAGGGGGGTTCAGGATACCACAGCATCGGACCGGGGGGGGTCGGAAGCCGAAGAGGGGGCAGGGTCTGATCAGGAAGTGTTTGAGGAAATTGATTTGGACGAGGGGGGTGGGTCTAAGGCGGAAGCGGAAGCGGGGGGCTTTAAGTCGGGGCTGAAAAAGTGGGCGTCTGGAATGGAGGGACTCTTGCGTGGGGTGTCGGTTGGAAAGGGTTCCGACAAGAGTGATACAGACCAGAGTCAGGATGATCTACGCGGAGGGGGGGTCCTTAAGAAAGCGGGTTCGTGGGGGTGGGAAGAGGAGCGAGCGGTCGGTTCAGACAGCCTGCCTGTTGCAGAAAAAAAGAGTGTAAGCAAAGAGGGGGAGAATCAAACGACGATTGAGAGGGGAGAGTCGACGGTTGGAGAAGGAAAGAGTGTGCGGAAAGCGGGGGAGGATCGGACAACCATCGAGGAGGGAGGCTCGGTCGGAAGGACGGGGAGGGGGGCAGAGATACTTGTTCCCAAAGGAGTGGAAATCGCGATCGGTGAAGCGAAAGCACGGAGCGATGTCCCGGCACCTATTAGGAGGGCAGTTTCGGAACCGGTGGCTTTGGAAGGGGGGGGTCCTGGAAGCAGCAGTCTGAGGGGGGTGGGCAGACAAGCTAGCTCAGGAAATATGATCGGTGAGGAGAAGAGTTTCAAGCAGGTAGGGACCGGAGCCAACAGCGGCAGAAACCTCGTCGCAATGGGGGGGTCCGGAAGCGGGAGTTTCAGGGGGGGGGCGGAGGTGAGCCGCAGTGGGAATTACGGCAGCACCAGCAGCTTGGGTGCGTGGAGCGATGACTCGGAGTGTGAATACGTTCGCACGGTGGAAAGAGTTCCGTTGGAAGAAGGGGGGTATGTGATTCGGGCTGTGATGAAGAAGGTTCCAAGAAGCGGACAATCATCGCCGCATCCCGGCGGGAGCCGGGGCGCAAGTCCGGAACCCGCTGGAGACAACCGGCAGAGTGACGTGGCACCCGCTGCGAAAGGTCTGCAAAGTGACGTTGCACCCGCCGAGAGAGCTTCGCGGAGTGAGGTGGCTCCCGTTGAGAAAAGTGGGCGGAGTGACGTCACATCTGCTGGCAAAGGGTCGGGGAATACGGTCGCACCTTCTCGGGGAGGCTTGGGAAGTGACGTGGCACCTGCCGGCAAAGGGTTCCGGAGTGACGTGGCACCGTCAGGGCAGGGCTTGAGCGGGGAGGAGGGACTTCCGATTGGCGTGAGGGAGGATACGGAGAACCGGCAGTCACCGGGCGTAGTAAGAGACGGCGTGGGAACTAGAGAGGGGCCAGAGCCCAGCGGAAGGGTCTCAGAACGGGACGGGGCAAGTCGGAAAGTTTCGAGGGATCGGAAGCATTCAGAACCCAAGCAATCAGAACCGGAAGCGAAACTAGAAGGGACTGTTAGGGCTTCGGCAGGTGCAGAGTCCAACAGCGGGATTGTGGAGACGAGTAGCAGTGTGGAGAAACTTTTGGAGAGGGACGGACTGTCCGGAGTGGTATCTGGGGCTGGAGAGGGAGTGAAGAATTCGGATAACGGAGTGGTCCCGAAACGGCAGGGGGACTTTGCAGACGGAGAAGGAAATGCGGAAAAGGAAACGGCCAAGGCTGAGTCGTTTCTCCCCACGACAAACCTAAGAAACCAGTCGTTGGAGGACAAAACTCTTGTTCGTGGGGGTTCGCAGCCGGCTCATAAAACGGGCACACTGACCACTGACGACCCCCTTAGGACGGGGCCAGAGCGCACAGCCAGTGCGCCCCTTACGGAGTCCGTGACGTCAGCGGAAGCGAAGATTGCGTCATCCAGGCGGCCGGGAAAGTTTCCCGGGCTGTCACGGATTGCGGTTCCGCCCCCAGCGGAGCGGACGGAACCTTCCGCCGAGACGCCGAAAGTGATGTCAGCGAGAACGAAGACGGTGCGGCCGGAGATGCGGACCGGTGCGCCTAGTGCAGCGGAAGCGGGTACTACAGCGTCCCCAGGTAAGGAAATTTTGGCTTGTCACGCTTGTTGGATTCGCTCCTTTTTCAAAAACATTGGTTCTGATACATCATTTTCCTTGATTATTTTGTAAATTAGAGGAAGACATTGGGTTCTGACCTCAGGTTTTCTTTCGGGCTAGCTTGCGCTCGTGAGCGGTTGAAGCGATCACCGCTCTGGAGTTGCTCAATACAGTTTCTTTGTGAACGGAGTCGTTCGGATAACGACGAGGTTCAAGAAGAGCTGCGTTATCCTCAAAGTGCGTGCGAGACCTAGTGCATGATACTATTTCAACCCGTTCAAGTGTCTTACCAGGATTTACATCAAAGTCAATCTGCTTCCGAGACATGCGGGGTGTTAAAGCCTGTTCCATCAACGCCGTTTATGTTGATTTTTTTCTTATCGACACTCTCTCTTTTTGGTGCTCAAAACCTTCGAACCTGCTTTCTTCCATTTCCTGACTTTACAAGGCTCCAAACGATTGTGTGTAGATGTCACGTTACGTTTTTCCTGCGAGAAGAACGTATTACGGGCATCCTCCTGGATGATGCGTCGCACCTTCTGTACGTTGTTCTGTAGTGCTGACATAAGCAACCTGTTAATCTCCCTCCAGTTGTGACAACCGTTCCGTTGAAGTCCGACTCTCAACGGATCCACGGACCTGCCTTCGCCGTCTCCAAGCCTCCACCTCTCCCTAACCTAGCCCCTAACCTGGGAGCCTCGGCACCCCTACCACCCTCAAGAACGCAACCTGTCTTCTCTGATAACGCCGGACGCTTTCCTCAGAAGACCGCCGCCATCTCTTCCCCCTCCGGCGCTTTCCCTCACGGCGATCTATACCCCTTCATCGGCTACGCCGGCGAACCCGATCTCAAACCTGCCTCTAACCTGCCGCTAAACCCGCCCGCTAACCCGCTTCCTAACCCCGCCCAAACGGAGAGCAAACCTTTGGATGGGCCCCCTGTGTTTCCAGTGCGTCAGACACCCCCTTCGTCGCCAAAGCTGTCAATAAGCCCTCCGACTGACCACGTTCCCTGGACCGAAAAGGCCCTCAGCCCGACTGCTTCCGCCGAACTCCCCGTAACCAAGCTGGAGATCAAACCCCTACCGGCGGATAATAGCAAGGCGCTACAAACCTCTGGTTCTATTCTTCCAATTTTCGGAGGGGCACAGACGTCGGGTGTGAATGCGCCTTTGGACACCGCCTCAGGGCCTCCGTTGGAGCGTGCCGGTAGCAGTGGGGGCGCATTTACATCAGAGGGCCCTAAAAGGAGCGTGCGAAGTCGGCGGACGCCCTCCCGCACAAGCTCGCAGGAGATGACGTCACCGGAGTCAAGCGAGCCCAGCTCTCCTGCCCACCGGCGCTCGTCTGACAAAGCCCGGGCTGGTGTCAATACCCCCCCAAAGTTTCCCAGGGACTCCTCCGAAGGAGCCACCAGGTTCGCGAGCGTTCCTGGGCCCCCGGGTACGAATGCGGAGCGGAGAGGGAACGTTCTGACGTCAGCACAGCAAAGCGTCAGCAAAAGTGACCGGAAGCTTGCGAAAGGGACCTGGGCTCTCGGGGGCGCGGAGCTCGGGCCCCCGGGCGAGCACACGTTTTCGATGTGGTTGGACGAGGATAAAAAGCCGCCGGGATCGGCGAAGCGGGGGAGAGATGCGTCGGATTCTGGGGCTGCCTCGACGAGAGGTTCAGCAAAGCCAGTAAGGAACACACCCGCACCTGGGGCAGGCTACCGGGGGACGGTGGGAAAGGGCCCCAATGAAACCGGGGACTCTAGCCCGGGGCCCAAAGTGCACGGCCGGACTGACTCGGACCTCTCCGTTCGGACGTCCGAGTTCGAGGGGGGAATCTCGTCATTTGCGGGCAGCGAGACCAGCTTCGACTCCCCCCCCCACTCGCCTGAGCCGAAGCTGCCGGAATTCCACCCCCCCGAAAAGTTTGCGGCGTTGTTTGAGGGTCAGACAAATCAATCGGGGGGGCCGTCCAAGCCCCCTCGGAGCTCGCCAACCAGAGGCTCCCCGCCGCCGGGGTGGCCGTTCCCGTTGGTCGCCCAACCGCTACCGTCGGGCGCCCCACCAATACCACCATTTATCAAAGACCCCTCGTTCGGTGACGTACTCAAAGAGAGACGGGCTCTGAGTCCAGAACCGTCGGAAGAGCAGGAGAGGGCAACTAGGGAGGAGAGCGTTCCTTCGAACCTTCAATTCTGGCCATCGTGAGTGCCTTGATCTGTCTGTGTTTGTTTCTCGTAGTATACCCGATCAAGGTTTCTCCGTTTTGTTCCCCGCTTTTCATGAGCAACTTGCTCAGCGTCTAATGCTTTCCTTTGCTTGTGGGCTCATCTATATTTGTGTTGCCCTCGGGATGGCTGCAATCTTGGTCTTAACCTAAGGCCCAAGATTAAAGGCAAGAGCCCAGATGGTCAAACCCAAGACCGAGTGCAAAAAGGGCAATGGGCATCGACGTTGAACATCTGCTGATCCGCCTGCCTCTCGTGATTGTTTGAGAGTCAAAAGTCTGCCAGTCATCCTCATAGCATCGCATATTGTAATTACTTCCGAGCCACGTTTTATCTCCGCTATCGTTTTGTAGGTCCATTCCTAGCCACCATGGCTCTCCTGACTATCAACATGCGTGTCCGCTCTAATCAATCCACGGGTCCAGGAGCCCAAGTGGTTCGCTCTGGTCCCCAAATAGTGACTAGGCTCATTGATGTATGCATTTTCTGTCGCCCCCTTTGAACGCCCACGTCCAACCTTGCAGGAACGGACCCCCCCAAAACGACGTCCCCACTCCTCCCATGCCAGGGCGGCCGTTGGCTCGTCCCCCGCTCCGCGCCTCCGAACCTAACCCCACAAACCCTCAGCAATCGTACAACCCGCTCGTTCACCCCCCTGGTTTTCAACCCGCGGCCCTCATCATTCCTAACCCTGGGTTTACCCAACCCGGTCCGAGAAGTCAGAGCTTCGCTTCCCAAAGCTCGACTCCCAGCCCTGATGTGCCCCCTGGTTATCGACCGGGTTTAGCGGAACCCTACTCCGGAAGCCCTGGGGTTAGAGACCCCGGTTTCAGAAACCCGCAGCTGAGCTTCGGGTCACAGAGCTCGGGGAATCAGTCACAGAATCCGGGTTATGCTAACCCGGACCTTAACCGGCAGGATTCGTACGCTCGGAGTTTCGGGTCTCACAGTTCCGGCCTGGGGCAGAGTCCTGCTGCGATAGGAGGAACGCGGATGCAGTCGCAGGAGTCCATACGACGGAAAGGGCTGTGTTCGATGTGCGGGCAGAAGTCAAACAAGAAAGTGCAGGTAAGCGAAGCTCTGGAACACTTTGAATCTGCGTCGGTTGAGCGTCAGAGCCTGAGACTTTGGGTCTTGAAGAAGCTGGGCGTTCTGAGGACTGTTTCGTCGTGTGAAGGGTTATGAGGCGTTTCTTTGGTCTAAAGCTGTCCAGCCGTTGAGCCTTTTTGGCTCACAATTGCTCAAAGGGTTACACTGATCAGACTTCGGAGTTTGTGTCAAGGATAGACATGTCGGGTGAACACCTTGGTCGTTCCGAGGGATATTTGATTTCAAACAGTCACTCCGACGCATCTTGTGTTCATCAGATTTTATGTGTGGCACATTCCAGGAAGGACGATCCTCTGGAGCCAACAGATTGTGACCATCAGACTGCCTGTGCCCATCGAAAAGTCGCACGCTTTAAAAGATTGCTTGAACCCAATGTCCTTGTTTCAAGGCATATTTTTCATGTCGGACCGCTCTCCTAAAAGGCAACTCGGTTGTTTCGGCTGGTTTGGGTGGGTTCGAATGCGGAGCGCATCATTGTTTGGCTTAGCATTTTCAGTTTGTTCTTACCCAGCGGAATGAACTCATGATTCATGCTGCACACTATTCATAGATTCAAGACTCACCGAATTCTTCTTTGATTGCGCAGTGCCTTGTATGCAACAAGAAGTACTGCGAGAGGTGTGTGGAACGCGCCATGGGATTCATGCCCGAGGGGCGGAAGTGCGTTGGTAAGCACACGTGTCCACTCTACGTTCGTTCATTGTTGTTTAAGACAGCTCGTTGAGCCGGGAACAAGCGGGGTCGGTCTAGAGGTTTTGCGGGGGCATAGCGTGCGGCATGATCATTTCCGGGCATGGAACTGCCTCAGTGCGAACAGATACAAACCAAGGTAGCCTTACCCAAACAGAGAGTTGAGACTCATCGGGTAAGAGCGTGGTTTGCTGACCACATACTGCACATCTGAAGCATCCTGTTCAGATCTAGGGCTTATGAGGGCTGCCCGGTAGGCAAAGCCCACCCGGCCATACTTCAGGCGTCCAGGAATTCTCTTTCCTTTCTCCTGCGGTTTTGCTTCCATGAAGCTCTTTCTGATTTTGGTCACAGTCGATACAAATCAGAAGAACTACTCTGTTTTCGTAGAATTGAGTTGCGTGAAAAATGACGTTTTGACGACGCAAAACGGCCCTACCTCAAGCCGCCAAAGTTTTTTCTTTGCGGTTCGTCATCTGTAAGCCATCTCTTTCATCGATACTTGCTCCAACCATAGGATCAACTCAAAATACCATCTCTTGTTGATTCGATTGATCCAAGTCAATCGATAGATGCATGGCTTCTCCATATCAGGGAACTCCCGATCGACAACGCGGACTGTCTCCAACTCAGGCCACACCGTTTCTCTATCTCTCCTCTCGTCTCGTCTCCTCCCTTCCATGAGCCAACTCATCGAATGATCACACTCAACTCCAGTCACAAAGCAATTCTTGTACTCTTATTGGAGTTCTGTGGGGTTAGATCGTGACGAAACAAATCGGCCCCAATTCGGAGGCTCGGACAGCACCTCCTTCTCGCTTCCCTCTTATCTTACAACTCCTCGGTCCTAGCAACCGAAAATTAACGATCGCGATGCTAAAGAGTACGGTGTGTGCTGCCCGTTTTCAGGCCGTGCCGGGATGCCTAACCACAAACCGAATCGGCCCCACCTTGTCTGCGACTCTCACTCCATCTTTTTGAATAGGTCACAACCAACTCGACTTTCAGATCGACTCTTGTGTTCTCATTTCTAGGCTGCGTGAAATTAAGTGTTGACAAAGCAACCAGCCGCACCTCAAGCCACCATTCGTCTCTTTCCTTCACGGCCTTTCCCCTGAAAGCCAATCTTTCCGTACTGGTCATAGGTGAAAGCAACTCAAAAGATCAGCACCAGTCGACGTTTTGGTTGGTTTGAATTTAATCAAGTATCGTTTCACTGGATGTGTGGAGTTGAAGATCGACGAAGCGAACCGGCCCGTCCTGACACCACCGCTCTTCCGATTCCCTCACGGGCATTCTCCTGAAGTCCGTCCTTCACCGGTCACGGACAAAACCGACTCAGAAGAGCAACACCAATTGACATTGTGATCGGTTTGAACAAAAGCATCTGTTGTTTTCTCAGGATGCGTGGGTTTGAACATCGACGAAGCGAACCGGCCCCGCCTCTCTTCTCTTTCCCTCACGGTGATTTTTTAAAAGCTCAATCTCTCATTGGTCACAGATAGAAGCGTCTGGTTGGATTGATAAAAAAAAAAACATTTATTCTCTCAGGATGCGTCGGATTGAACATCGACGAAGCGAACCGACCCCACCTCGGTCGCTCGGACAGCACCATTCCTGGACTGGCCAAAGACCGGACGTCCGAGATCCTGAAAGCGGAGCTGGTGTCGGTTGCTAACCTGGCGGGTTCCGAGCGGGTTGTGGTTAACCGGAAGCCGCTAACCCGGGAGGAGCTGGCCGCACTGTTCAATGCAGAGCGGCCTCCGCCCAGGATGGATCGCGGAAACTTTTGGTGAGTGGATTCTTTTCAACCGGTCGTGTATTTTATTTGTTCCGTAAAATCGACGCGGGTTATCGGTAACCGGAAGCCGTTAACCTGGAATGAGTTGGCTGGACTAACAAACGCGAAGCAGTTGCCGCCCAGGATGGACTGCGGAGACTTCTGGTAAGTGATTCTTATCAACCGGTCATGATTTTGCCTTGTTGTGAGAGAAAGATGTGGGTTATCGCTAATCGAGCCGCTAACCCGAAATGAGCTGGCTACCCTAATTAATGCGGTTGCCGCCCAGGACGGATCGGGGGAACTTTTGGTAAGTCTCAGTTGTTGAATCTTGGACTGCAAGTTTTGGGCTTTCAGATGCACGCCTTCGTGCTTCTTAGTAGTTCGTCCCTCATCGTCACAACATTCAAGATGCCGACACTCTCTGCTTCTTGAAGATACGAGTTCGCCGCTTCAAACCCTTTACAATACCTCTTAAAAAGAGATGTGTAGGCCACCCTTGCCATTCTTGTCGAGATATGGAATCAGCGTTAGCTTCAAGCGTTGCCACTAGTCGAGACATTTTGCAAGCGCTCCCTCATTTTTCAGAGACTCGACGAACTTTCGACATCCAATACAGCTTTCCTGGAACCCTTCTATCATCACAGCTCGATATGATGATCTTCGGAGCTCCTTACGAGATCGGAGGAGTGTCAATCAGCTTGTCGTGGTCCAGACTTTGAAGCGTCCGTTTCTACCGCATGCTCGAAAGAGAATCTTGTTGGAACGGATCCTGATTGTGACAATGTTCTCACAGGTACGATGCGCGGTCGGGGCTGTGGGGTAAGATGGGCCGCCCATTTGAGCGGATCGTTGCGCCGGGGCTCGAGGTGAGGTGGCAGCCTCTGATTGGTTCAGATTCCTTCTCTATGTGTGAGGATGTAACCAAGCGGTCTGAAATCGATATTTGAATGTAGCCAGTGGCCTTTCTGTCCACGACTCTTTCCGGGCAGTCTGAATTGTTGCCTTGGGTCTTATGTAATGTTTTGTGGTCTTGGATCGGTGCGACTTTGGCCCCGCATAGTGTTCTGTGTCCTTCGGTCGCCAGTTACAAAGCCCGTATGTGGATTCGGTGCTTGCAATCTTTCTTCAGAGAATATGTCGACCCCTTACCCTTCGACACAATCGCGTGTGCGACTGCAAAGGTGGATACTCGGCAAACGCGCAGAATTATCGAATAACTCTGGTCCGCTGAAGGCGTTTAGGGTAGGCGAAGTTCCCTTCTACCGAGAAGGATCGGTCTGGAAAAGGCAAGGGTTATAGCTTTGAACCTCTCCGAAAAGGCTAGCGGTTCAAACGCAAAGGTGCCTTGAAGGTGTCAATCTGGAAGGAGCAAAGATGTTCACTATGAGGCTCTTGGAGAGCGCCAGCGCTTCAAATGCACCGACCCGCCAGTAATCAATATGGAAGAAGCAAAGGTTTAGGGGAGGCGAAGCTTCTCTTCTATCGAGAAGAAGAGGCAAGGGTCATCACTTTGAAGCTCGCCGAAAACGCCGGCGGTTCAAACGCAACGATGCCTTAAAGTGTCTCGCTGGAAGAAGCAAAGATCTTCACTACGACGCTCTCCACAAACGCCAGCGCTTTGTACGCCCTACAGGTCGGGGGCCCCTTACCCCAGGACGCAAGCAGCGGCTCCACCCGGGTTTACCTCAACGGACGGGAGCTGGGTAAGCGAGAGTTGCGGCTGTTCAAGTTTGCCGGCGCGAAGCTGAAGTCGAACAAGCGGATCTGGCTGGACGCAGACGGAGCGTATGGAGAGGAAGGGGGTCCGGCGAAGGGCAACATGTGGGAGCTGGTAAGGGAAGAAAGAGTAAACATGTTTATCCTGAGTTCGTTGTTTTGGCGAAAGGTGCCAGTCAATCCAGAAAAAGCTACATAAAGCTGGAAAGGTCTCCAGAATTGCAGAAGTCCGCACGTGCTGCAGCAATTTTGTGCATAGAGCTTTGATTCTGTCAGCACTTTATGTTGTTTCAACTGCAACGTCAGTCATCTGCTCGTCAAAATCAGCAACTGCTGATAACAATTGAAACTCTAGAAGGCGTCCAATGAAGGGTAATAAGTGGAAGCGGGCGAGGATTACTTAAACCTGAACATCTCGATCCCCAGTTTGTAGATCTGTGAAACTCTAAAAGGCGTCCAATGAAGGGCAATATGTGGGAGCTGGTGCCGATTCCTAAAAGCCTGCAACGAGTCACCCGAATTCATCTGGCCTTGCCGACTAGCTGTACCTGCTGGACATACGTATTTCCGCTCTTAAGAAATTACAAATGCCTCTAGTCAGCCGGCTCCAAAGAGCGGTGATCGATTGATTTATCACATTAACGGCCGTATGTTGCACGTCGTTTAAATCTGTGATGACTCACTTGTACCACGGAACTTGCTTCACTCCTTCAGCACCTAGTCGGCCGGCCCTTGCGGGGTCGAGATGCGGTTGGTCACGAACCAAATTGAGGGCAATCGGACGTGACGTGGATTCGCGAATGCCAATTTTTCATCGTTTGGGATGCGCATAGAACCGATGGTGTCTCTGGAAGGTTGCTTGCAGAAACCCCTCCTGCTGATGCTGCCCCTGTTTCGTCTGCCCCGCGAAATGACAACGCGGCTCGTCAAGAATGCCAACCTTGGCGATTTTACCTAGTCTGGGTATTTCGAATTTTCTGAAGACCGTATGAACGCCGGAACTCTTGACCACAAACTATCGCTCTCTGCAGAAACCCCTTCAGCTGATGCTGCCGCTGTTCGGCCGCCCCAAAGTGAAGTCGAGTCGCGGCTCGTCAAGAAGGCAGAGCTTGAGGCAACATTATCGTGCCTTTTAAGACGTATTGACAATAAGATCTCGCGACTTCAAAGACAACGCAATGCAAGCTTCCTCAACCACAAAATTCCTTGTTGCAGAAACCGCTTCAGCTGATGCTGCCCCTGTTCGGCCGCCCCGCGAGCGAGGTCGAGACGCGGCTCGCCAAGGAGCTGCAGGCCGAAGCCGCGAGTAGGGTGTCGAAACTGCTGCTGGTGGGGCCCCCCGAAACGGGAAAGAGCACGTTCGCGCGCGTCGTCCGGGAGATGTACGGGAGCGGGTTCAGTGAAGAGGAGCAAGCGGGGGAGTTGCGAGCGATGGTACTGGCGAATGTGCTGCACTGTGCGAGGAGATTGCTGGAGGGTCGGAAGGAAAAGTTCGACGACGAAGAGGTGAATTATATTTTGTTTTCGGATTCGTATCGTAATATTTCCCATTTTCCCGGCTTTAAAAGAGGAAGCGGGGAGTTGCGAGCAATGGTGCTGGCAAATGTGCTGCACTGCGCGGGAGATTGCCGGAGGGTCGGATGGAAAAGTTCGATGATGAGGAGGTGAGGCACTTTAGCTGTTTCTTGAGGATTTTGCGAGATACGACTTTTAATATTATTCCTTTTCTTCCATTCAAATGCTTTTGAGGTGAGGGTTTCGAACAACTGTCTCACTGAACTGCGCTGAACTGCGCACAAATGTTGCTTGAGGGGCGTAAGATACGTTTCGCTGACGAAGAGGGACGTGGTCAAAGACGGCAATTGCCAGCAAAATGTTGGTCTAAGATTGGCCATTGCGCTTCATTGGGTAAAGACCGGGATCTTGCATGCAACCTCATGAAAGGTAGTAGTAAGCCAAGAGAATATCGGGCTCCGACTAACACCAAAATTCCTAACCTTAAAAGTAACCTTCTCTATACCCATACCCGCCCTAACCACTTGAGTAACCCTACCCGTCCCAGTGCGGTTACCTTGTGGTTAAAACGGTTCCTTATTATTCTCGTTGAGTTCGATGGCTCTCCCGACAATGATGTTAGCCAACGTTTGGTACCAGCCAAGGCGGCCGACGGAAAACGTAAAAAACGAACAACGACGACGTGAGGAACACACACGAGCTGTGTCTTTAGATGACGTTCAAATGACGTCAGACCAAGCATTTCCCTCCCCATTCGCAGGGCGAAGAGGACCAATGGAAGTACGGTCTCGAGCCAGAAAACGAGCCGGTTGCGGCGCGGGCGCTTATGGCGATTTCCACGGCGCTTGGAATCGCGGAAATGGAGAAGGGGAAGTGGCTGACGTTGGACTACAAGCTGGCGGGAGATCTCCAGCGGCTCTGGCGCGATCCGGGAGTGCAGGTGGGTCGCTTGTGGCGAATCGCACCAAATAGGGTGGCAGCTGTGGTGTGCTGACATGCTCCCGGGTGCGTTTGATTCGGTGTTCGGCGTTCGTTTGACTTTATATTTGGACTGCTGTTTTCCATACGTTTGGCTCGTCGGTGGTGACTTGTGAGCGATGTTTCTGCACTTGAATTGCCTCAGGCCAATCGTGTATGCAAGGCGGCTCGTAGAATGTTGATCTGTCGGTGAATTGTGCCTGTCTCTTCTCTGGGGCGTTCTGAGTTGCATCCGGTATCCGCCCTCTTTGTTGATGAAAGCGGAACCAATTGTATATGCAAGGCGGCTCGTAAAATGTTGATTTGTTGGTGAATTGTGCCTATCTCTTCTCTGGTGCGTTCTGAGTTGCATCCGGTATCCGCCCTCTTTGTTGATGAAAGCGGAACAGCAGGACAAACGAATGACTACACAGAACAGATCTCGAGACAGAGGCTGCAGCTAGTAGGTAAGGTATGTGGGGCTAGACTTTTCCGGCAAGTTTTGGACCTTTCGTTTCAATTTGACGTTCACGTTCTGACACTTTGGGTCCTGCAGGCAACGTTCCGTGTAGGCGGAGACATTTCCCTGCCCGACTCGACCGACTACTTCATGGACCGCCTCGCGCAGATCAGCGCACCAGGATACGTCCCGTCCTGGGATGACGTCATGGCGTGCCAGGTGACATCACTCCCCTTAAGTGATTGCTCAGATGAAGGTTAACGTAACCTGTCCTCGCTTCTTGCTTACAGATCCTTTGCCACGGTCCACTTACACTTGCTGCTTTTTTGTCCTCTGTCTACATCAGTTCAATTACTTATAATAAAGCAGCGAGCGTGGCTGACACTTCAATGTCGTCATCCTCGTTTCAAAGCCCTCGGCCCTCTACGTACTCAGTTGCCCGTGTTCCCTTGAGGTACTGCCCTTCTCATTTTGCTTGCGTCCAAGCGTTCGCCTCAGATCGTTATTGGAAGGTCAAAATTGACACTGAATCGTGACCGCAGGTTCTGCACCAAGTCATCCCGACAGGCGTCACCCAAGTCGACTTCTCCATCGACGATCCGGAGCCGTCCGCTCTCTCCCCAACCGTTCCGTTGAGCGGAGGTTTGCCGTCCGTGTACGAGCTGGAAAACGCCGGCCTGGGCGCCCCGTTCTCAGCGGGAAACGCGGTGCCGTCTGCCACGTTCCGGTTGCTCGACGTCGGTCCGGGACATCTAGCCGATTCTCCGGGGTGGAGGCGGGTGAGTGTTGTGGTTGAAAGCTTGAGCCGTTACAGCTCTTTCGTTTACTAGGTTCGGAAGTGCCGGCTTTGGCGCTCCGTTCTCAGTGGGGAACGCGGTGCCGTCTGCCGTTTCCCGCCTGATCGTCGTCGGCCGGGACATCTAGCGAATTCCCCGGGGTGGAGGCGGGTCAGTGCAATAGTTTGAATTTCCAGCGGTCTCGCTTTGTTTGTGTGTTGGCCAGTCTTCTGTCTGGTTTTGGCAGAGTGTCTCAGGTTTCGAGACGCATGTGCGGGACATCTAGCGGATCTCCGGGGTAGTGGCGGGTAAAGTGGGCTGTGCGGAAGTTTTTAAGTATCCTGGTGTTCGGTCAGCTTTCAACGTCCCTTAATGGGCTTGCGAGACCGGAACAGCAGACTCCGAAGTCTGCTGCGATTACGCCAAAGCCTTTTGGATATGGCGGTCCGTCATCTGTCTTCGTCGAGATGCGGACTCTCAAGAGCTAGTTTATCCTTCGTTGCTCCTATGCCGGACCCTGGTAGACCTGCGATGCGGAATGCTAAGAAGTTGCCAAAATTTGTTGTTTGTTTTGCTCCTTCAGAAACTACACTCGACCTTTGCAGACCTTGAGAGTGTGATCTCCAAGGGGCGAACGAGAGTGCAGCTCATCATAGTTCATTCGGCTGGCCTTCATAAAGTAGAACGCTTGCGCTATCTGGAGTAGTTCCCTTTGCTTCAGCAAGGAATGGAAACTGGCACTTAAATCCCCAAGAGACTTTTCCGCTAAGTGTTAGCGGGTTTTGTTTTAGTGGGCCTTAGCGCTACCATCCATCCGGGACAAAATGAAGGTCGACTTAGAACGTTTGTGGAGTCGGTTAATTCTGCCTTGCTCTGTTTGATCTTTACTTTCAATCCTGCAGGCGTGCGACATGTTCCAAGACGTTTCGGCGGTCCTTTTCTTTGTCGGCCTCAGCGATTTTGACCGCTTCCACTCCGTTGGCGGCGAGTTCCACAACCGGCTTGAGGACGCGCGCGACTTGTTTGAGTCCGTCATCAATTCGCCCAGCTTTGAGGTGAGCTGTTAACCAAGGGTTGTTTTTACTGGTATGGTTAACGCAGGATTCTGTCCTGTTTTGGTTACCCAGGCTTTTATCCTGTTCCTGCTCTTTGAACCTTAGGTAACCAGGCTTAGTTAGTATGCAACCGGCTCGAGGACGCGCGCAATTTGTTTGAGTCCGTCATCAACTCGCCCAGCTTTGAGGTGAGCAGTTAACCAGGTCTTCCAACTTGTTTCGTTTCTCTTAACCCCAGAAGTATCAATCACTCAAGACAAGATGTTACGCAATTCAGCTGCTTAAGGAAGCACGCGAACCTTTTCAGCGGGTAACAGACCCGCCCAGCGTTGATCTCAGCAGTTAACTTTAGTTTCCATCCTGTTGTGGTTAAAGTTTTTCATCCTCTTTACGGGCTTTAAACCACAGGTAACTAGGCGTAGCATGTATGCGACCGGTCGGAAGACGCACGCGGCCTCCTTTTCCTGCCCAACCTGGTCTTACGCAGAAAAGGATTATTTCGTTTGCAGAATAAGCCGATCCTGCTCCTCTTCAACAAGTTCGACCTCTTTTGCCGGAAGCTCCGCGCAAACACGTCGCTCACCGAGTGCGACTGGCTGGAGGACTACGACCCGGGGGATCACTCTACGGCCAGCGACCGGTTCCGAGAGGATGTGGAAGCGCAGAACGCGTATATGTACATAGAGAAGAAGTTCACGGCGCTCGTGGAGGAGCGCAATAAGCGGGCCCCTCAGGTGGAGGTGCTCGTATATAAGCTGTCGGCGGTGCAGCAGGAGTCGGTGGATATGGTGCTGATGCATTTGCCGGACATAGTACTGTAAGAGATCTGAGCAATTAGCGGCAGCAAGCCGAGTACATGGATTGTTCGACCGTTAGAATGGTTTGGCACACCGATTTCTCTACCTCTAGTTGCTTTGAGGTACGATGGAAGCAGCTGCGGGACTCTGGACTTCGAAGTTACACAACCATCCACCTCGAAAATGTGGTCTAATCATTGGAGTTTGATGAACAAAGCTGAAGCTCCATGGTGGCCGGGGCTACGTATGTATATGTACCAGCATGATCGAGGCCACTGATATGCGTGGTCAGACTCACTCCAAGAAAGCTTGTTGTGTGGATCCAAATTTAGACAGTCACAGCAAGCGTGAACTCCGAAGGTACATCCGATCGGCCCGGCCATGCCATCCATAATATATTGTCCAAGCTAGTTAGCTGTGATCGCGAGATATTGACATGATGTCGGACAATCGACAGCTAGTAGTCCAGCTGCGCGCGCGGCGCCCCCCACCCGGCCCCTGGCGCTAATTGGTGGCCGGCTGCATGCCAGAGGGATGCATTGTACTGCACCGCAAAAGGCTACTGTGCCACCAAGAAAATGTGATTGTTCATGCGCGAACTTCGGGAAGTTTAAGTTTACGCGTGTCCGGAGCAAGTTGCACCCATGCGCGCCGTTCCATGGTGCTTAATTAAGCTGAATGGACCTTTTGACCCTAAAGTTTCCGGCCATCCCGATATCCACAGAAATGGTTGATTTATCATCAGTGAGGGCCGGCGATGTACGTGCATGTCCGTCAAACTTGCTTGATGTTATCAACGTCTCATACCTGCATATGATCAGGCATACTACATACCGTGACACTATCAGCGTGCGGTCACCGTCGGACAGGGCGGCACAACCGCAAAGGATTTGCATCTTGGCATCTCGACATAGACGTAGAATGCTCGGACCCACCTAGGAGGCCGGCCTGCAATGACTTCAGGCCACTATCATTTCAGAACGACATCAAAGTCATTAGTGTACTAGGAAACTCATTAGTGTACCCTAGTATTGTCCTCTTCTTATCTGATCATCTAATTGACCAGCGTTCAGCGTTCCAGGAAGCTCTTGGAAGCCGTCATTGAAGACCGAGTATGCGCTGCAATCAAAAATTTGGACGTCATGTTGGAGCAGAACAAGAGCAGTACTTTCCTTCTTCTGTGCACACACAATGAAGCCTCTTTACACCGTCTAAGGCCACACGATCGAAGGTTGCTACAGGCGGTTGCCATCGCAGAAATAAACTTCGCTTTTCTGCCGACTGCGGCCGCCTCAGACATTCCTGCCTGGTTAGCTGTACCGCGGCTGAAAGCAGACAAACTAGCGGTTCAAACTTTGCCAGCATCTAGTAAGCAAGCGACGTTGCCAGCATTGAAAAAACCGCAGGAGAACCAGATACGCGATCGAAATTCGAACGGGCGAAGCAATAGAAACAAGCAGCTTGATGGTGTTACTTGCAAGCAGACCGTCTCATCAATACGGAGAGGGTCTGTGTCAATGGTTCACAACTTGATGCCAGTGCAAGATCCCCGCATCCGTGCAATAAACCGGCTCTCGTTTCAAGCTCACCTCGCTTCGCCCGGTTTCCGCGTCCCAAGGTTTAGAAGGATGATCGCAAAGCAAGTTCCTAGTATCTGCAGAGAAAACGAAGAGTGCCAGACAAGTCAAAAATACTGGCGCCGTCTTAAAGGTACAGAACACTTTTCGTTTACCGACATGGCTGGCACAGAAGCACGATCGAAGTCGCAATCCGTTGCAACTTCGGCTCCGAGACTCAAACAAAGGGGACTAAAGCGCATGAACAAAGACACCTCTGAAGCCTTAACTCTTAGTCGGAGCCCTTCGCTGAACTTCCGATCCAGATTCTCGTCGACCAACAAAACACAAACAGCCCTCTGAGCTGTTTAGCCCCGTGGGCGGACTAATCGGGGCGCTAAACAGAGTCAACTAACCAGAGCGCTAACTCTCTTCGTCATGCGGGTGAAGCCAGCTGGCGAGATGCATGTCAAATCGACTTTCTTTACCTTCCGGACGTTTTGATACTCGTTGCTGGACCTTCTTGCTTTCCGCACCTTGCTTTCAGACCAAGGCGCGAAAAGTGAGAAGATAGAACGGCGATCTGTCGCTTTCGGACCCCTTTTGAACCGGGCAGGCGAGGAGGTGGCACTTTGTCTTTCAGATGTGAAAGTGTTGGTGTACCCAACGATTAAGAAAAAGATTGAGAAAAAAGAAAAGATTGAAAAATGATTGAAGGCTTTTTGACTACCTTTGCAAGCAACTCGACCGACTTGCTTCTGTGTTAGTCCCCTCGATTCGTCATCTCAGCCAAATTAGAGTTTGCAATTCGATGCGGAAAGGAACCGTCGCGATGAGTCTGATATGAGAAGCTCACATATACAGGGCCCAGGTCCCACCGGGCAAGAAGCGGACCGAATATGCACATGGAAAGGAGGAGCGCCCACGTCCGGAGGTGGACGGAGAAGAACGCGACGAGGAGCCAATCTGCAGAGGGGAAGCGCGCTGTCAGACACCATCTTTAAAACCCCGATTGTAAAAAGATGTTGCTCCGTGAGCGACCTAGATTAAGTCTGCCCAGCGCTTTCGTGCGCCGTGAAATTACGATTTGCGGCGTCTGGGGTCGCCAATTTTCGGTGTGAACGTGTCAATGCGAGACAGTACCATTCAGGGGGGGCTCGAACAGAGGTTCACCCCTTCGACCAGCAAGACCCTACCTGTCCGCTGGGTGAGATTGGAGCGGCGAAATATACTTACTCTGGGTTACTTCTTGACTACAGGTCAACAACCAGGTGGTTTTCGAGAAGGCGTCGTACGTTAAGCTGCTAACTGAGATCCCCAATTACATATCGATTACTTTTGTTGCATTGAAGCAGGCGTGCAATCTGAGTACTCTCATCGTGACCCCAAGCATACGTCTGACATCCTTGTTTCCGGAAGAGTCTACCGAGACTTATTTTCTCATCCAAAAACGCAGCCTTCAGTTGTCTGAAGGCCAATACTGCGTGACAATCCACAGGTGTTTCCCCAAATCCTCTAGCGATAACTCTCTTGCAAGCAGCAATTATCTAACGAGAAAGTGAAACAGCCCTGAAAACAAAGATGCAGAAAAGGTGATTGCAGAAGAAACCCGTACCAGGGGCCTTTAGCTTCTCCCGCAGGAACCATGCAATTGTCCGATGTATCCGTGGTGCATCCGGAGCGAGTCGAAACCTCTGCACAAACCGAAACGGGTATTGGTTGGCTAAACAGAGGGTTAAGCTAACCGGGCAGGTTCTCCTCAGATGAGGACGCCAAGAAAGAAATTGGGATCAGTTGCCTTCGCACTCTTTTCGAGCTCGTAAAAGCGAAGCAGATTAGTAAAGGCTGAGAACTCATCGATCACGCCTAATCGGCGACCACTCTGCGTCTTTCACAACAGAAGTCGGTCAGGTTTTCGTTTTATTGCCAACCCGTAACCATCACGGCTACATGTTCAGTGTGCATTTTCGGGACGCGCAGATTATCATCAATTGTATACCAATGAACTGTCCTCTTCACTAGACCCCGATTGATCTAGCATTGCCAACGCCGAGTTTCAGCAGGACTATGAGATACAACCAACCTTCTCTGTTCACCAGAGCTTGCAGCAACCGTTTTTACAGAGCGCTGTCTTCCGGACGAACGGGGGAACATGATTGGCACGTAATCTCTCGCATTTCCACAGCAGTATGTGAACGTACAGATCAAAGAAAGAGGGGCGGATGAAAAATTCTTCTTCATGAAAAATAGAAATATAATTGAAATGTTACTGAAACATGTGAAGCCTTTCAGACGCGTTGCGCTTACTAGGTCTTCGTCTTCATCCGGCTCGGCCGGAGTCGGTGCGGGCACGTGGAGGGGGGCAGCTTGCTGAGGGGGTGGCTTGGGGACTACCATTGCTGTGATGCAATCTGGAAAAAGGGGTCGAGATATAAACCTCAGAAATGGGCCGAGATATAAACCCCAGATATGAACCCCAACCTTAGACCCGAATGTTCAAAACCACGTCGTCCAAAAAGGAACACCACGTGGAGATCCTCCGAGCGTAAAACCTTCGACGAGTCAAATCAAGGAGGACGAACAGATACAGACTGGATAGAGGCAAATTGCTGGAGGGGTGTCGGAGTCGACTGCGCTAAAGAACGCCATTCACACTAAATCCAAGATGTGGTGACTTGTAAAGTGTTGACCCATTTGCGAGTGTCAACCAAGGAGGACGAACGAACAAGATTGAAGGGAGGCAAGTTGCTGGGGGGGCCGCTTGGGGACGACCATCGCTGTGATGCAATCTGGAAAAACAACGGTGCCAAAGTTCCTGAAAGCGAAACCCAAGCCTCTACAGGGCCAGGAGTCTCCGAGACCTTGAAACCTTCAAGTCGAAAGCTGTACAAGATCGGTGATCTTTTTTGAACATAAGAACCTCAACCCTCAGAACCAAGTTTCTACGAGGTCTACGGTTCTCGATACTGAAACGAATGAGGCTTCGCCTGAGGTTCGACCCAACAGTGGACCAGGACTCAGTTATAAAAAGTACACAACGTCCTAACTTGACGGAGCCCAACAAGAATGCGAAAAACTGACACAAGTGTGCAGACTTGGGGTCACTAATACCTACGTAGACCGTACCAGGGCTTTTCATACTGGATTACAAGAGGAGCAGCGAGACGTAATGTGGCCGTTGCATTGGAAAAGTCAAAAGGGCGTCAGAGTGGCCGGCTCATGAAAGCAACACAAAGAGCCATGACGACCATACCAACTGCACGACTGTCAAACAAACACAACTGTTTCTCCCCAGAGATCGGTGTTGGAATCCTGGACGCAAGAACTGCCAGCATTGGTGCAGATTTCTTCCGACGTATTCAGGCATTTGAATGAACCAATCTGGAACCTATCGGGCAGCCCCTGCCTGCATTGAGGTCCAGCTCATCCTCGGCTTTCGTTTCAAACACACGGTAGCAAGTGCTTCAACTCACCCCCTTCCTTGAGGTTGAGTGGCCCATCTGTGAGCACCTTGCCCCCCAGTATCAACTTAAGCCGGTCCACTGTGACCCTTGTCAATTCCTCCGCAACGCGCTCCTTTAGTGACAGTAACTGCAGGAAAACGAAGTTTTGAGGCTCACTTTTCAGAGTCAACTGTCAGGCTCAGTTTTCAGGCTCAGATTTTGCTTTTGGGGGGCTGTGACGCTGATCTGTTCCTCCATTATGCGCTCCTTTTACTGACGATAATTGCATGAAAACGAGTGCACACTTTGCACCCTTCGCAAACCCGTGTAATGTGTGCCCAGTTCGATATGGAATGTGGTAAGTCGCATTGTCCAGATACTCAATTGACCAACTTTCTGCAGACGTCTTCCCCTCTCTGATCGAATTCTGCCCTTTTTCTCTCGCTGCAGGGACCTACTCGTCAAAGGAAACCTGTGTCAGTGGCAGGGGCAAAATTTTCTGCAGCGCCTGAAGAGTGAGTATTCTCCCTCGACCAGATGGATGGAATGTCAAATCACCTTCACAAATCTCACTTAAAGAAGGTCGCTACTCTGGTGACCTTGGTCCATTTTTCCTACAGTCCTCAATCTGCTTTACATGTGGAAACAGAGCGGCCATGGGATCCCACATCAAAGAACATACCCGAAAGCAGGAATGGCAACACAAAGTTGACACAGTTTCAGAAGAGTGCTAGAAAGTGCAATTCACTCACTGAAAGTATTTCCGGCACATCCACCTCCCGGGGCTTCGCTAAGCCCGGGCTCCGGATCAGGACCGTCGGCATCTTGGCGGTTTTCGTTCACACGTAGATGCTCTCTGCAAAGCATATTGTCCACCTCATGGGATCTTTCAACTTCAAACATTGGATCTTTCAAATGGTTTGAAAGATATCAACATATCAAGGTAGAAGGCTCACCAAACCTTTTGTGTTGTAGAGCAGTTAACAGGATTGCAGGGAAGCGTCGGGCAGCAAGATGCGTCTGCAGCACTCATGCAAGGTGGTGGTTGGAAGAAGAAGAACTGTCCTAAAAGATAGTTGTTTGTGAACGGTCCATCAGACGTTCACATAAACAATCAATGGGCATCTTTAAGTCCAGTGGCATCATTGTGAAGATTGTCATGCACAGATTGCCTCCCTGGCTCTTGATATACCCCTTCTGATGAGACACATTCTTGTGACATCTGTAGATTGGCTGGTCTCTTGTTGAACAACTGTAAGCAGGAGATACCTGAATGGCGCATATCATCAGCAAAATAGGCTGCTGGAGTACGCATAGGAAAACCAACCAGAATGCTGCTGGTCCTGATGAGAATTGACTCACCAGAAGGATGTCGCACAGCTCTTTCACCAGATGTCATCCAATTGCAGCTTCCGGACGCGTACTCGAGCTCAGTCCGCCAAATTGTCTGCAATGCTGTCAAACCCTCCGACTCACTGTTGCAAGATCCTCGCCCACTCCTACTTTCTTGGATCAATTTGGAGCTCAGAAGCTGGCGCCACGCTTGCTGATCAGAATGTTGTCAAGAGCATTGCCATTGATCACATTGAAATTTCGAACAGAGAAAGCAAGAGACTGCAGTTGAAATTAGGGTTCCACTTTCCTGCCAAATCGCACACGAATTATGTATAGGTACATATCTTTGCAAAACAGTTTTTTCATCGACGGTTTAGATCTCACAGAGGTGAGATATGGAGGCGACAGTGCCGTTGATCTTGTTTCCCGTTTCCGGAGGTTCCAAGTGAACTTTTTCTGTCATGCAGCACATTTTACGATCTTCTCAACTCGTGGGCAGATGCTAGAACCAGGACTCAGGAGGTCGGAAAGGTTTTTTGGAGGAAGGGCGGTTGGAGGGCGCCCTCCTGTTGTCCAGAGACTGGTGCAGGGCTGGTAACCAGCGACGGATCTGTCTGGACATCGTCTTGGCTCTGCAATTCTCCCGAGAGTAGGCTGCAGCGCTTAAATCATGGCGGTTTCCACAGTTTACAGTGACGAGGGCGCATTCTTTGGTTCAGGGAAGAGGAGGTTTTTTGATAGGAGAACAACCCTGAACACCTTCCTTCCTCAATCAAATGTTTCGTGGTTGGGAGTTTCTCACGTTGGCCACTCCCGCGGCGAGGCTGAGATCTACATGTTTCAGGATGAAGGGTTAGAGGACCCAAGTAGTCGGGGGCCCCCTGGAGCCTTCCAAGGTTCCAGGGGGGGGTTCATGATCAGCGGGGATGCGAGCCTGGTCGAGGACAGTGAGGAAAGTGGCGCTCTGAGGGCTCAGCGCCTGGGTTTCGTGCACCACAGGCAGCCAGGCTAGGGATTCGCTCCCTTGGTGGGGGCTATCTCTTCACTGGGGGAGGATAATTGTGCCAACAATCATTCCTCGAACAGTTCCATTGCACAGGAGGCGAGCGGGGTTTGGAGGGGGTTCTGGCAGGGGTTGACCCGGCGCAAAGGGGCGGGGCGCAGTTTGAATGGCGCACAGGGCTCATGGCCTGCATCAGCGAAGATGTCAGCAGTCGCATCATCTTCATTGGCAAAGGCGGGGGTTGCGCATGAGATGAGGCTCTCAAAGGCAGGGCTGTCTGTGAGGAGGCTGCCTTTCAATGAGGGCAGGGTTAGGAGCGGAGTCTATCTCAATCCTCCCCAGGAGCATGGTTTGTCGGCTTCTGAGTCGGGGTTCTACATTAACCCAGGCTAGGGCGAGGGCCCCATCCTCGAATGGGGTGGGGCGATTGGGGAGGATTTCAGGGGGAGAGAGAAGACCGTTAACAGGAAGGAGAGTCTGAGGGTCAGCGGTCAGGGTTTGGGATTGAGAAAGGAGTTTGGGGAGGTCAAGGGGAGGGTAGCAACTAGAGAAGGGAGAAGGAGCGTACGCATCCAGCTTGGTGTGGCCTCTCTAGATTTGTGCATGACGGAGGATTGGTACAGGACACAGGACAGTGTACAGCAGGCATTGACTGGTCTTCAGAGTTTCATTAACCAGGGTAGGCAGGAGGTTAGCAAGAGCTTAAAGAGCCAGGAAGACATCGCAGTTACCGAGAGGCTAGCTAGCGCAATTACAGTAGGATCGATCTTTCTAGCCGACCAGATAGAAGCTGGCGGTCATGTTCTGACGCAGAATATTAGCAAGAAGGGCGCGGTTTGGAGGGAGAGGAGCAGATTGAAGAAGGAGGTCAGGATTGCTCCTGCTCTTCTAGGGGGTGTGACCACGGCTGCAAATTGGAGTGGCAAGATTGAGGACGTTGCGGAAGGGTTCAAGGGTCACGTGCAAGGGGTGAAGAAGGCCGTGGCGGCAAACATTGGAAGAGTGGCTCAGGAGGTATGGATCTATACCCTGACGAGCTTTAGTGCTGTGGATGCGATGCGTCCTTTTTATTTCGGGATCGCTGCTTGCACAATTGGATGTTTAGACACTGCCCTTGCGGTCCATGTTGATTTCAGTCATTGAAAGAGAACAAAGATCAGGTAGGTATGTTAAGCCTAACCCTAATTCTGCTTTTCTTGGTACTGAGGAGTTTGAGATGTGTTGCCTGATCTATACTTTCTTTTGAGCGTGTTTTGCTTGCTCTGATGGTTGCAACACTGACGATCGCGAGCGGGCTTCGATTTTGATTTGCTGAATTGTCGGGATTTGGCCTGTCGCACTTTGTTTTCACATTCTCAAGCTGTTAGTTCTGTTTCTTGCTTGTCAGTGCTCTGCATGAAGAGTGTCAAACATGTGTTGTCCTTGCTGCGGTTTCCTCTCTCCTTTGAGTCCTTTGAACACCTACCTGAACGTTCCGGCCAGTTCTGAAGCAATTTAGCTTAGCAAGGCTCCCTTGTACATCTGTACAGCTCAATTCTGCATAAGCTACTCGTTCATCCAATGTCTGATTGCCTGTCTCTTGCTGTGCATCCAGACGGGCCACACAGAGAGGCTTCCTCGCGAGATCGTTGGTCTCGGCTCCATGACCGTCGCCTCTTTCGACGCCTTCGCGCGTGTGCGGGATGCGGCCGAAGATGCGGCTCGAGAGGTCCTGACTGAGGGCAGTACTGTGGCGTCTGACGTCGTCGCTCTCAGGTGAGTTGCAGGAAGTTCTCTCTATCCCCAGGATTGTAGTTTTTGCATGTGTCTGTTGAAGATGAGTGTTTGGCCTTGTCCCCTTATACCATTAGAGTCCTGCCTGCTTCGTTGTTGGAACGTGTGCGCTGACATTGAGGTTCCTGCAAAGTGCCAACGGTTGGTACATACGTTGCGGGCTCGTAATGCATTCCTCTGGGGCTGCAGCAGCGTTTCAAACATGTTCAGCTAGTTCTTTTGGTTTGGAAATTCGTGCAGAACTCACTCAAGTAGAACGAAAGAGTAAGAAGTTGTGAATTGCTTTTCGAATTGATGCCATGTTATGAGCACTGAAGTAGGAGGCCTTTTTTTGTAGTCTTTGCTTGTCAGTTATCAGAGTTTATGATCGTTATCTGCTGATCCTTATGAACATTTGTCGTTCAGACTTTCCCGGCTTATGACCAGCTTGTACTTCTTTCATGCAGCTCCGTGCATGCAGGTTCGACCTGTTACATGCACTTCCTTAACTTAAAAGGAGAAGCATCTTTGAATCGTTTTCGAATTCGACATGTCTTCTTTTCAGGTATGGCCAGCAGGCTGGCGCTCTGGCGAAGGAGTGCTTCGAAGGAGTGGGAAACATAGTGGATGCTGCGATTGCTGTTGATAATGTGATCTGGAAGCTACAGCCCGAGGTCTTCGCCATCTCCTTCACAAAGAAGACGATGAGGCACGTGGTTGGAAGCCATCTTGCTAGGATCTGTGCTGAAGAATACGACTGCTTTGCTATTGGATCCACCTAGTGTAGACAATACCACACTGTAGTTGCATCAAAAGTGTAGTTGCATTAGTTCAAGTTGAAAGTCTAGGTTTACTTTCGAGTATGTTCGTCGATAGGAGTGCGTTTGTAGCTAGTCAGTAGAGAGCGAGAGAATTTGGAACACCTTGGAGATTCTTCAGTTGGCCCAAGTTTACCGTACTAAGAACGACACGTATGGCACGTGACAAGCCTGGGAGATTGGCGCAATGCTTTTACTAAGATTTCTCTATGTTATGGATCTCGTTTGAGCATGATCAACTCAAATATCTAGTAGGTTTGCTTGTTCTCAAGAAACGTGTTCCATCTTTGGTGATGTTGGAAGCTTCATGCAAGGCGGGGCGGTGGCCCCAGCTGTCAATCGACTGTCCGTAACCGCAGTAGGCTCATGACTGGTACTATGCCTTGAGTAGCTAGGCGGCAATTTAGGATGTGCGTTCTCAAGCCGCTGAGCGTTTTTAGGTACATGTATAGCCACTCGCTCAGCCGGGCGGGCAGCTACATATGGCCAGCAGCTAATTCTTCGAGTGCCGGACCTTGGCCGGTCACTCAGTGCTCTGCATTGAGTGCTGCATGCTTTGGTAACATAATACCGTCCATGAGTCCGTGGCCGGAAGCCCGGCCGCCTAGGCTAGTGCAAACAAACTAAGACAGCCGCGCCGACGTACATGCATATGCTCATGCAAACTAGTTTGATACTTGTCTCAGGACCGCATGTATATATACGGCATGGCATCATTGACCCCTATCTAAACACGAGCTACTAGGCTAGTCGTTTGCGTGTAAACGGATACTATACAAGTCACTCGATCAAGCGCCATGTCACTGCATATACGTCCCGGAGTTCAATCTTCGAAGCTTGCATCAACATTTCAAAAACTACTCGTCATGAGTTACTGGTGACTTGCCCAGCTTTGTCACTGGGCGCGCCATAATAGGGCACGCGCCGGGCACCCAAGCATGCGCATGCAGTCCGGCGTCGGAGCCATCTGATGTAGAGACAACTTTGTGCGGCAAATAGATGGCTGCACTCGACCATGCACGCAGCATGGGCCCGGCTGCGCTGAGTCTTGCCTTTGGTGCACGGCCGCCGATTGCATGTAGGAGTAATGATTCGATCAGCCTCACACTCGATTCAAACGGTGGATCCAACGATGTTCAATTGACTAGAAATGAGGCATGAGACGCTGATTATGAATGCCCATCCAAGTGGGGCAGGCTCACTCGTTTCCATCCAAGTGGGGTAAACTCACTCGTTTATGTCGGGTGCTTCCTTCCATGATGAGGGAAAACGCACACGCGCCACCGAGTTGCTCGTGTACCGATTAGGCACATGCTTTCCACCAGCGCTGAACCGAGTTATGACAATGGCTTTTCTAATCGATGCATATGAAATGTTTGTCGGTGCATGCGAGTCGCGGTACTGTTCAAGCCGGCAGAGGTACATTCAGGTCAACTGTCTCCACCGAAACGGCAAATGTCAAAGAAACGGGCAGTCTCAATGCCACCCGCTCAAGCCAACCCACCGTCGTCCACCCTCATCCGTCGCAACCTCTGCAGCAACTCCTCCGCCGTGCTTAGACTACTCGTACCACTAGTTATTTCCGCTTTTCGACTTTGATGCACAGCACCATAACCCTCCATCTTCATAGTCGCGGCGCTTGTAACCCCAAACGAGAGCCCAACTTTTTTGCTGTTGGCGGCACCCAATCCGTCTTCCTTCAACCGCCGCAGAGTGGACATGAGCTGCTCGTGAGCGGACGGAGGACCCGCAGCTGCGTTCGGACGGTCCGAAGCGGACCGGACGAACGACTCCGGTCGGACAAACGGACTGCCTGACCGATGATGTTGAAAGAGACTATAAACCTGCGGAGTGGTCGCGGAAAGGAGGTCGTTGTTCCAGATATGAACATCTTTTGAGAGCCACAGCCTGTGATTTTGCACGCGATTGGATGGTTCCTCAGCGGTGATGCTTCCTCGCTTTCCATTGACCTCCAATTACTTGAGGATTTCGAGCTGGGCTACGCAACCCGCTCGCTTGCGGCGTCTATCACAACAGACACAACGAATTTTTACGTGCTTACGGGCGGCATAGCCATCTTGCCAGACGCTACCCGACAAGAGAGAAACGAGTGAAACGTACGACTGAGGTTGATTAACTCCGTCGAAAACCAGCAGAGTCGGCTCAAGAGCGGACGAACCGTCTGCCCCATCTGCACTCGGAACCTGACACACCTTCACTTTTTCCGACCAGCATAGCCGACCTCTGACAGACTTGCCCTGATTTAATCTCAAAGGCTCAACCTTTCAAATTCTTAACAAAAGAATCTGGCGCCTCTGCGCCATGATCATCTGGCCAGACCAAGTTAACCCTCTGCCGAGCTCTGAGGGTGGTATACACGGACTTTTCTCCAAGCACGACGGCCAGCAAATCGCACTTCAGTCGCCTTAGCGAGAGGCAACCCCGACTCGTCTGATACCAACGCTATCGAAACGGCTCCAGCAGTTGTTCTCAGGTGAAAACGGAAGGAAAATGTGTTTACACTGCCTTAACGGCAGCCCTTTCTCCTCGACTCTATCTGGATCGTGGACTTCGGATCTGAAAGGAAGACTCCGAAAGAGAGAGCTTTGAGAAGGTGAAAGCCTCCATATCTCTCGACGGGGTCTTACCCGTCCCTGTGCGTCCGCCACGTTCTCCTTCTCTACAGTCCGCCGGTACTCGCTGCCAAACAGTGGCCCCGGAAGATCATTCGCGCGAGCCTTGTCACCCTCGCATCCCGTCTTCCGCCCCTCAAAGCGCGCCCTCGACCCCTCCTGGCTTCCATACGTCTCCTGACTCCGGTTCGTATCCCGCCGTTGCCTTAGCACGCCCCCATTCACCGCTTTCCCGAGGGGCCCCTCGTCTGCCTGTTTTGCAAACATCTCGTTCAGCGCCCGTTCCTTTTCCAGCATGTCTCGGACGCCCGACATCGCGTCCGAAGGGGGATCTTCCGTCCGAAACGGTCCTTTAGATCCCAAACTTTCTGTACGAGTGAGACCTGGGTCGTGTCCCGCTGCTTTCTTCTGGTTGCCAGCGAATCCGCCCGTAAGCGGCACTTTGCGGCCGAACCCTCCGCTCACCGGTCTGCTAACCTCCGGCCCTCGGGACGTCTTTCCGTCCCTTTCCGATGTCATCCCCGTCCCCTCTGACGTCATCCCCGCCCCCTCTGACGTCAGCCCTGCCCCCAGGTTGGACGCCAACTCTCCATCTACTGCAAACCTCCCAACAAGCGGAGCTTTCCGCGCAGGTCTCTCCCTATCAATTACGCTTTTTGACCTTTCCCAACTGTGCACACCCCCTTTGAGATTCCCGCTTGACTCAGCCTGGTGGTGCCCAGTAACACCGCTGCTGGAGTGCGGTGCGTCAGAGGCAAAGAGCGGGTTGGTCGCAACCCAAGGGCCCCGGTTGAGATTAGGTTTGAACAGGGGTGGGTGCTGAGGAGCGGCTGATTCTTTGCGGGTGGAGGAAGCGGCATCGAAGCTGCGGAGATTGTCGTCCCATGCTTGCTTTCGGACCTGCAAATCAAGATCGACTTGATTCCGATTACGTTTCTCGGACACACCTGAGGAGGAGTCTGGCAACGAAAGTAACTCCAGTCTCTCGACTGCAATATATGACCAAAATGAGCAAGGTCAGAATCCTAAGAATCTAGTTTTGGAAGGCAACAAGAGTCCAAGCACTAAAAGTCTCTGGATTGTTGAGACGACACTTGCAGGTTGACATGCAAAGGCTCGGTCCCCCAAGAATAAATATTCATTAAAAATGGAAAGCACTTGAAAGATAGTCCCCAAACGAGATCCTAAGCAATCAGACAACTAGCATCAGACCTTCTGTATACAAAGAATCTCAATTCAAGCGACTCAAAAACTACGCTTGGACACGGTACATCTGAACATTGGACATTTGAAAGTTTGACAAAAACACGTTGATGCATACCTGGGCCTTAGCCTTTGACTTGTCCAGCTGCCGCAGCCACCGCTCCCTCTTCTCGTGCCACGACTCCTCACTTTCCGTCGCAACCCTTCCGCCGCCATACCCCCTCCGCTGCTGAAATGCAGGGTCCGACATCCGCACACCCCCCCCAAACTCCCCTGCAGAGACACCCCCCCCTACAGGAACGTCCCTCCTAAAAGCACTGCGCTCCCCCTCTCGCACAACCCTTGCGTGCGGCAATGCGTTGACCGACTGCCGGAGCTTCTCCTCGAACTCAGCACTCTTCCGGAGGATGCAATCGATGCAGGGCGCGGCGAGGAGCGCCCGTTGTTTGTTGAACATGGCCCGCCGGACGGGGTCGGACAGAGCAGCGTATGCTTCGGACACCCATTTGAACGCCTCTCCCGCACGAGCGCTGCTGTTCTTGTCGGGATGACAGTGTAGGGCTGCAGCGAGGTGACCTCATGCTTAGGTAGCAGTTCTCTTGTTGGACAGCTTGGTAGAGGGACGAAATCTCCTCAAATGACTACTTGCTGGTACGTTTGAATCATTGCCACAGCCAAAATGTGTATGTGTATAAGCAGTTGATGGGGCAAGTTATGGAGCTTTCTGCAGGGCTGCCAAATCACAGGGCATGGCGTGCTTGACCAGAAGTTCCAACCGCTGTGTTGGGCCCCGTTCCTTGTTTTGAAAAAACCAGTTCTTTGGAACAGTACTCTGACCAGACTGGAAGGTTGGCAGAAAAGCTACGTGTGGGCGATCGGAGTCAGGCACAAATGTTATCAAAACGAGTTACAGGGTCTGGCAAGCAACCAAGTGTGCATTGCAAGTTATCCTTGTAAATAGAGAGTTTGCCATTCATTAGATCAAGGGTTTCTTCAGGGCTTGTGAGAAGGGGCAATTGCGCTCAGCTAGCGCAGAGATTCAGGTTTTGGTTTTTGGTGAACCGCTAGCTCAGGCTGCAAAATTGGAGAAGGAGCTTGCTTTCTTTGCCTCTAAGTAGTGCCGCACTCGATTCTTCATGGCTGGATATTGCATGCAAGGGGCACTCAAGATCAGCAATCAGCAGGCAGCAACTTAAGCAGTTCCGAACCGACAATCAAGTACTCTCGTTGAAGCATGATCTGCGCCTCATGAGATGCATCTCAGTTAACACATCCATCAATCTCTGTATTGCTGTAAGCACACTTGAGGAAGCAGGAATTGCTGATATGCGGTATTGACAAAAGGTATCAAGCAACTAAGCCAAAAAGTTGCTTTCACGAGTTAAGCAAAGATGCATCAGCTCTGAACTAATCTGCAACGCCGGCCACTTGTTACGAAGGACACCCCACTAACTTCAGAAGCAGAGCCACGCCCTCCGTACTTACCATACTGCCTGAACTTCCTCTTGATAGCTGCATCGTCCCCTTCCGGATCCACTCTCAGTACCGCATACCAATCACACGCCAAATCGTTCTGCACGCCTTGTGTACACTCGCAACCACGCTTTACCCCCACCTTAACCGCGCTCATAACCTTGGCAACCGCCAGAGCCTCTCGCGCCCCTTTCGTGTCTGGGAAGCGGTTGTCAACTTCCTGCAGGATGGCCAGAGCTGCTTGCACTTGCCCCGCCGCCATTTGCACCTCTGCTTTGATCAAAAGGGCATGGGCCTCCTCTTGGGCATCTGGCTCACTTGAAGCTGCCATACTTGATCTGGCACGTCACCAGAGGTCAAAGGCCCTTTTGAAGACTGAGCAGTTGAGTGTGGAAGTGACTGTTTGACAAAGTTGGAAGTGCCCCTAGAGTGGAGGTTCGAAAAGAAGTGGATCTAATCAGGCCCCTCAGCGGTGTGGCTTGACAAACCAGAGCTGCAAACTAAACATGCAAGCCGGTACCATCATTGACCGCAGAACTCTCAAAGAGAGCGCTGATCGACTTTTCCTGGGCAAAACACGGCTCAACCTCAGAGCTCCAAGCTCTCAATTATGGATGTTGGAATAGCTCGCCTACTTTTCAATAACAACCCTGTCCCAGATTTCGAGCTGATCAGTCCGGGCAAGGCGGCTTGAACACTGGCATGATTGTCTCAGGATCTGTACAGTTTCAGCCTTCCTGAGAACGCTCCCTCCTTTCTGACAGACTACAGCTCACAGCACGATTGGTGCTAGCGAATCAACCTGAGCAGGGGCATACGATCCGGAGCTCGAGATGATGAGCAAGGATCAAACCAGCAGTCCAGTGCATGGCGCTGCGCGCAACACATGGTCCAAACAGAAGCTCTTCTTGTCCTCTTCTTGTCCCCACTGACCCCAGCTTGTCACACACAGAAGTTTTTGAGTCACGATGCTCGGATGCTCCCTTTCTGAGTCTCTTTGCCCGCCAGGCCACCGCGCGCCTATTCAAATTCAAGTGGATCCAACGTGGCAGCAGTGGCATGCTTTCAACCGTCGATGGTGCCAGTCTGGCTCACTCAAACCACCCGATAAAGAGAAGGTTTCCCGCCAGCTGGGAGCTGTGTTCGCAGCAGACTCGAACGCGTCACCAGAATCTTTCAAAATTCGAGTGCAGCAGCCCTTCGTAAGCAGGGGGCGCAGGCGGGCGCAGAGCTGAGAGCATTGATTGAACTGTGGAAGAAGGAGCCTCTCAAGCGGGGCGAACAATTGACCTGCAAGGGATTTGTTCCCTACCGTATGTCTTGGAAGTGACAGTGCTGCTTCTGGAGGGATTTGACCTCCTCTATGCAAACAACGCAATGCTGCGATCCGAGGGTCCCAAGCTGAGCTCGAAACCTAACCACAACCCCTCTTCTAGGAATGGTCAATCTGTGGGGACTCAGGAAATACGTTCAAGGTTCGTACGTTTGGTAACACAGAGGCCCCTCGTCTGGTGCCAAAGCAAGAATGCACGTTTGAGCTTTTCAAAAGCCTGCCATCAAGCTGGACACTGCCCCTCATTGAGAAGTACAGATCCGGCGCAGTCATTTGATTCAGCATTACTAGGTGTTTCAAAGCTGAGGCCCATGCGGGGCATTGTTTACAACCCTGTCAAGACCAGCAAAAGGTCCACGGCTGTGATGGTGAAGCATGAAGATGCCGCTACCGGGCAGGGGATGCAGGATAATGTCAAGTTTTACACGCACACACTCTGTCCGTACGCTCATCGGGTGGCCCTCACTCTGATTGAGAAGGGTAAGCCTTGCGCTGCTGCCGAGTACTTCTGACCAAAAATTGCTGCATTTTGGTTCTGATTGTGCTGTTTTTTGGGGCCAGCTTTAGGGTTGGGGCTGGGGCCTTGTCTGAGTTGCAGAAATGTACGTGCTCGCTATCTGGGAGACCACTTGTCTGCGCCTGGTCTCTACTTAGACAAGGTTCGTGAATACTGAGCATTACGTGTGGTGTTAGGTCATGAAGGAGGAACTAACTTTTTGCCACCACTCTAGTCATTGTTCCAAGTTCAAAGAGGAAAAGATCGCAGGCCGCTTTCTAAATTTTGATACCGTGCTTCCAGAAGCCCGGGTTAAGCATGAAGAATGCCCACTTGTTCTTGAGCGACAGTACATCTTCCAAAATGTGACATACGAAAGGTTGACAAGCCTGGCATCAGCACTTCTACTTTTTCTGGAGGGAGAGAAGACAAGCTTGGCTTGGTGTATGTGCTGACATTACTGGCACTTCTGAAACAAAAGAGTAAGATTTGATGCGAATCAGGAAGAACATCTGGTCTCGTTTGCAACAACATGTTATCACCGAAGATCTGATTGTGGCTTGGTAATATTCAACTAGAACCAAGTGCTAACTCACACCAGGGCAGGTGTGCAGGCTGAGACTATTCACATTGACCTCTCCAACAAGCCGGCGTGGTACCGGAAGGTCAACCCAAGGGGCCTGGTACCTGCACTAGTACATGGTGGGAAGACTCTTACGGAGAGTCTGGACCTTTGCCAGTATGTGGAGGAGCAGTTCCCTGGGCCGGCGCTTGTGCCGGCCACGACGGAAGAAAGGAGAGAAGCGGAGCGGCTGATTGGCCGCTGCGATCAGTTTGTGTCCGCGGTAAGTGGCTGGGTTTGGTGTTGCTCAGCACGGCCGACAAAGATTCATGTCGAAATTTAAGTGCGCGTCGCGTGGTTTTGTTCGGTTCTGTTACGTAAGGACTTCCTTGACCTGATATGCTGAAGTTGAAGATTGCCAAAAGGTCTTCATTGTACAAAGTGATAATCCTGACCCGCTTATTGTTCAGCCGTGTTCGTGCCGCTTCGCAAATAAGCAGGTCCCAGTCTTTGCTGACTTGCGAGGGGATTGACTGTCTGGTCTTACTAATGCCTCATAATTCACTTCAGAAAGCTGTTCTATCTTTCTGTTGGCCGCACTCACCGTGTGACACAAACAACAAATGCAAGTGTGGTGAGACAAAACGTGCAAGAACTTCCTTGGGATCACCCGTACATCACTGATTGGAGGTATCCCAAGAACGATACGCAGCCCCACCGAGGGGACCAATCATATCGTGTCCCATCCTTTGGTTTGAAATGCGGTTTGACTGTCTTAAAATCGTAAGATTCAGGCCAGCCGTCGATTAGAGTCTTCTTCCTTTGCGCCGCATGTGGTTCGAATCACTTACTGTCCGCTATACCTACTAATTAGGGTCCAGGACTTCAGTGGTTGACCCTAGCTGGGTGGGATCAGTAGCCAGCCTTGTCACTAACCCATCGTTAATCCGCTTCTGCAGGGCCTCCAGTTCCTGTCTGATCCAAGCAGCGGTTCCTGGTCTCTTCCCGGAGGTCAGATCCCAGTTAAGAAAACGGGATCGGAGGTAACAGCTTTTGAGCGCGAGCTCGTCTGGTTGGAGGAGACCCTGCAGAGGCATGGGGGCCCGTTCTTCATGGGCGTCAAAATAACGCTGGTGAGTATATGGACGTATTTCTGTTACCTGCCCTCTCCTCAGCAAGTTGCGACCGATTTGGGGTCTTGTACAAGACGAAGATCCGACGAACGAGGAAGCAGTAAGCAGTATCTGACGGAGATGTTTACTTCCTTGTCGACCTGTCGGTTCTTCTCGGGTTCCCTCCTCATCCTTCTTAATCTATCCTTTCTGCCTTTTCTTTCTGTTGAAAGTGCCTGGCTTGTGCGTCGGTGAGGTATTCCAAGGTTTCAGAAGCTGTCGTCCAAGATAGAGCTGCTGGTTCAGAGTCGACCACGTTGTAAGGGCGACTGAGGCTGCGGCTCAACCGCCTACTTTTTTGTTTTTCATATTTACACGTCTTATTGAGATCTTCATGTTCTCAAACTTTACTTCTTTTCGGCCCCTGTCTCAATCGACTTGAATGTCTGAAGGAGGGTGAGAACCACCTTGGCATTCTGAGGCACAGATGGAACGGCGCTTATGTTTGAGACTGCAAGCAGACTTTACTGAGAGCAGATTATTGGCCAGTGGTTTCATCACTTCAGCCGCGTCCTTTTTCCCCTTAAATAGAAGTCATTCGCCGGTTGCTTTCATTGGTCGAACATTGGCCGCCCCGTTTCTGGAAGTCTTGAGGCCTTTGAATGCTCCAAGCGCCTGCATTCCTTCGTCATTTGAATGCTCCAAGCGCCTGCATTCCTTCGTCAAAAGACCGCTCCGCATTTTTCCAGCCTGCTCATCCTTTATGCTCACGAAAAATGAATAGCATGCCAAGGCAACTTGAAGCTCCGACTAACACTAAAACTCTAACCCAAAGATAACGTACTCCGCACCCCTATCCATCTTATACCTCCAAATCAACAAACCCGTCCCAGTGCGCTTACCTTGGTCTTACTTAACTTGTTGTCATCTTTTAATACTTGACTTCGTTGCTGATTGTGAAAGATACCAAAGGATCCCAGTTCACGTTGTGGGTTCTCATTTGAGATGGATCTGCCACCGGTCACTAGGACATTATGACCCTTCGAAGTCTGAGTTGCCGCTCATTTTGCCCGCAGGTCGACCTTGTATACTTCCCCTTCGTCGACCGTTTCGCTCTTGCCGGCCCCGCCTTCGTAGATTCTAGCGTGTGTGCTCTCTTTGGGAGGGGGGCGCTCCAGATGTTCTTGAAAGGAATTCGGGAAAGAGACTCGTACCGACTCACGTCAGCCGCTCCTTCGGATCATCTGGCAGGTTTAAAGAAGTATAGGTCGTTGGACTACTTCGATTATGTGTCAGCGTCAATGGAACGACCTTGTCCATAAGCCTCACTTTTCTCGGAACCGGTTTGATAATCAATGCTTCCCTATTCTGTTTAGGCATGCATTGACGGAGAACTACTGTGTTGCCATCTCTAAATTGGATCATAATTAGACGGCCTCTGCCTCCGATGCTTGATCCCGCAATGCTTGAGCCGGCACCATGACCCATTCTGCAGTAGTGCATATGTATAGGCTGATGTAATCAGCGCAAAAAGAATGCAGGTCCTTATAGGTGCATGTTACGGTGAACCAGTGCATGATTTTGCTCAGTGGGACTCCGATCAAACATACGTCTGATAAAGTGAGAGGGGCATCGATGATCATTCTTCATGCTAGCTTCGGGTTGCTTTACAAGCAGAATCCAGTAATAATGATGCAGTTCGAAGCATCGGCCTCCAGAATCTCGTTTAGTCTCTTACCTGCTTGTCGCACGGTACGTCGAGTCCAGTGATCCTGTGATGGAAAATCTGCACAGTGCACTTCATTGCAATTCTTCTTTGCAAAACGGAACTGCAAAACGGAAGCGGAGTCATCTTAATCCCCTCCCTGATTTTACGGCGGAAGATAGTATATTTATTTTCGACATCCCCCGGTTATTGATAGCTACCGCGAGCATGCACCGGGTGGTTCCATAAGCTACACAGCCCGCCGCAAGTGGGCTGACATCAGCCAGGGTCCTTCCCCGACCACCCAGGTCCGCTCCATGGAGGATGCACGGGTTGCCAGGTGGCAGTACGTAATTGCAAGGATGTCGTCATCCCCGCTCCCGCCCGGTAGGGAGGAGCAATTACATACCGGTATCCATTCAGTGAGGTCCGACCGGGAGTCGGTGTCAAACGGCCAACCTCATGGTGCAGACTGCACGGCGACGTGGAAAGGGGCCCGGATGGTGCACCCCGGGCAAGCTGAATCTGTTCGGGCGCCGCACGGTAGCTACTAGGTACCGTACATGTATGCGCCCGCCCGGAGTCTATGGCGGGGAGCGATCCCTCTGGCATTCTACAGACTGCAGACTACAGAGTACGGTACAGGCTACAGGCTATGTACAACATTCCAGCTTGTGTTCAGCATTCAGGAAGGCAGGAACATTGGCGGGGGATTGGCGGTTTCTGAATCTTAGGCAGGTCCTTATTTCTCAAGGGAATCTAGGAGTCTGTGAGGAGGAGTCCGTGCTGGTCCGCTACTTTGCCATCCTCTGCAGAACCTTGAAAGGGCGTGCAAGCTGCCAGGCGCCGGGCTTGGCAAAGATTCTGGATGCAGCAGAACGGGCTGAAGATAAAGGCAATGCCGCAGAACGGGTTGGGAATGTAGGCCAGCTCGTGAGTTATTTCTAGAAAGCTCCTCATATGAAACAAGCTGGGGGACGGAACGAGTCCACATCGCAAACTGCTTCAAATGTGAGTGGTGTGGACATCTCTTGCGACTCTTCTCGCGCTTTTTCAAGCCAGGCAACTTTGGCTTAGTCAGCATTGGAGATTAATCGATGATAAAAGGGTTTCAACGAGAATGTGATGCTCGTCAAGTCTAGTTGAGGTCTCTTCAATGTTGGTCTTACCACAGTTCTCACCATTCTCACAAGGCGAAGACGCTCTTTCGAAGGGGAAATGTGTCTGGATAGTAGATCAGCACCGCCTTTGATTATATTGATAGAAGAAATTAAGCTGATGAGGGTTTGCAGGATGAGACCTAAAGCAGAAATGGTTGATGTCAAAAGCAGAAACTAAGCTGCCTCGATTCAGAATGGATGCCAATGTCAATTTCAGAAGACTCATCAGAGTTAAGTTGCCGAAATCTTCTCAACACCGACACCTTTCGTAGTTGCAGATCAGATAGGTCTTGCCTACACAACATGTTTTGGGTGGCTTCGGGTGGCTTTCCAACTTGTAGTGGAAGGCATTGGAAGACTGTGGTAGAATGGTATTATCTATGGCGTTGAAAGGTAGTAGGGGGACAGCCGATCTGAGAATCCGGACTCATCAATAAAGTTTGACATGTTGTAGTAACCATCGTGTCCTTCTAGGACGTCTTCTTTTGTATCCTCTCCCGCAAGTCTCAGTAGTTCCGGTGGCAATGTTCCATCTTGCGACTAGATGCCAGGCATCCTAACACCCTGCATTAACTTCCGCAGGTCTGGCATCCAACAATGGGTACTCCTCGGAACATTCCCCTCGCCCCACTTCTTGTCACCTTGCTGGCACTAGGGCTGTTCACACCGGTGACCCCATTCACACTAGCCGACCTCCAAGTGGATAACCTTTCCAGCCAGACTGTTCTCAACATAAGCTATAGAAGCTCCGGAGACACCCGCCTCTCAGGGCCTATTCCCACCGAACTTGGGGGCCTGACGAACCTCACAACCCTCGTGCTGACACAACACAACCTTTCCGGAGGGATCCCCCCCGAGCTGGGTAACCTAACCGGGCTCCAGTATCTGGACATCTCAAACAACAGTTTGAGTGGGACTATTCCACCGCAGCTAGGGCGGTTAACCAGCCTAACCCACTTTCAGTTGAGCGTGAACCGTCTTTTTGGGTCGATTCCTGCCGAGTTAGGCAACCTGGTTAATGTAACCTATTTCGAGCTCAGTTACAATGGACTGTCGGGCCCCATTCCTGGGGCGCTTGGCAATTTGACCCGCCTTGTGGACTGGGAAATGCACGACAACAATCTGACGGGGCCTCTTCCCCCAGAGATCGGAAACATGGCTAGCTTAACCATAATGGCATTGCAAACCAACCAAATCAATGGGTCACTGCCTCCAGACATAGGAAAGCTGACGAACCTTGAGAGCCTGTCCCTGTATCAGAACCAGCTTTCCGGTCCGCTTCCGGCGGAACTTGGTAATATGACCAGTCTCAAGTCCATAACCCTCTGGAACAATAGCCTATCGGGGCCCATCCCATATGAGATCGGCGGCCTCCCAAACCTCCAACAAGTCTTCATGGAGAACAACACCTTTTCGGGCGACATTCCCGCAAGCATCGGTAACCTAACCCGCTTGTTGTTTCTGGGTGTGTCGAATAATTCGCTCTCCGGTTCGATTCCCCCATCACTCGGGAATCTGTCATCCGCCAGCTATCTCGGTCTGGGCGGCAACAAACTGACTGGATTCATCCCCCCCGAACTGGGCAACTTACCAGCGATGCAAAGCCTGGACTTCAGCAACAACAACCTGACGGGGCCGATCCCCCAAGAGCTTGCAAACGTCACTTCGTTAAGCAGACTTTTCTTAAACGGAAACCAACTCTCCGGTTCGCCCCCCCCGCGGCTCGCATCCCTTCCCAGCCTGGTCTCTCTAGACCTGCGAAACAACAGTCTCTCGGGGGTGATCTCTCCGGAGTTCGCCGCTAGATTTGGACCCGAAAACGTTCTACCGGGCAACCCATTCCTTAGCGTCGGGACTGCACCGGGCCCCTTGGCGCCCCCCCCCCTCATTCCAGCCCCCCAGCCAGCTGTATCTGCCCCCCCGCCAGCTTTTTAACATCTCCCCAACCCCTGGCGCTATCCTTGCCCCCTCGCCAGCTGTCAATGCACCGCCCCCATCAGTGGTCTTTACCCCCCAGCCAGCTGTCATGACCGCTCCGCCAGGTGTCGCATCCCCCCTGCCAGCTGTCAGCATAACCTCGTCAGCAACCGCCCCTCCAAACTCCCTCTCTACCACCCCAACAGAAGAATCTTCTTCGGGGGGATCCCCGGTCGTCATCGGTGCCGCTGCGGCGGGCGGCGCGGCCGCGGTTCTCGCGGCCGCCCTTGTAGGGTTCTGCCTCTACCGACGCCGAAAACGGAACCGAAACCAGAATTTCGGTCCCATTCCCCTGGCGCCAAAAGCGGGGTCCCCGAACGAATCTGGGCCGTTCGATCAGCCCCCATCGACGAGCAGCGGCGGCTCCCGTTTCTCCGGCGTGCCCCCTTCCCAGGTGCTTAACTCTATCTATTTCTTCACTGTCATGCGACAATTGTTCCTAGAACTTTCGTCTTGGCTTCCTTCTTCGTAAGAATGTCATGCCACAGTTGTTCTTCTCTTCCTTCGTCTTAGCTTCTTCATCAGTATCAACAAATCATTCTGCACAAAGGGACATTCGTCTTCATATGCCGCAGGGGTAACAGCCCGATTAGTGACTTTGCTAGTGGGGCTATGGCTTCCTTTGAGAAGAGTAAATTTGTCTCTTTCGGTGGAGAGATTTGGAGAGACCCCCGTGTCTTATTCCGTCCAGTCATGGCTCCTTGGATAGTCTTGCATCGTCCCACACGGAAGCGTAGCGTAAAACTCGACACAAGCTCTGGAGCTCCTTTTAGACGTTCTTATCTCTGTGCACTTGCCAACAGATTGCCACCTGTTCCGGACCTCTGAAGGTTGCAGTACGCTGAGTCACGTTCGCTCTTGTCCCCTTTCAGCGGCACCTCTCACTGGACCAAGATTGGATGCCTCCAATGCTCACTGCATGCCAACAGAGTGCCCCATAGCGTTCCTGTTCTAGGCCTCTCTAAAGATCGCTCCAATCTGCTGAAACGCGGACGCTCTTCATCCCCCTTCAGCGCCACTCCTGACTGGACACATTTTGGGTGCCGACAATGCTCACTGCATGCCGATCAAGAGTGCTGTAGCGTCTCCGTTCTAGACCTCTTTAAAGATCGCTCCCGTCAGCTGAAACGCGGACGCTTTTTAACCTCCTTCAGCGTTACTTCTCTTTGCACGAACTTTGGGCGGCTACGAATGGTTGGAGTGAAGCGAATGTTATGGGCAGCAGTTCCTTTGAACTGGTATTCGATATGCCTCCCGACCGTACGATCGTGGTATTTAGCGGTCTCTGACACACGTTCGCTTTTCCCCTTTTCAGCGTTACTTCTCACTGGACGAACTTTGGGCGGCTACGAATGGTTGGAGCGAAGCGAATATGGTGGGTAGCGGTTCCTTCGGAACGGTCTACCGGGGGATGCTTCCCGACCGTACGATCGTGGCCATCAAACGGCTGGATCAACGGCGCCGTGGCCGGGGCAGTGCGGTGGAGGAGCGTTCCTGGAACGCGGAACTGGCCGCACTGAGCAAGGTAAGGAACTTTCTCCAATTTCCTTGAGAAGACCTTCAGAATCCATTCAAAGAAAACAATCAGCTTACTGGGTTACCTGGCTACTGGAAAAAGAAGTTTGGACGTGACATGAAAGGGCCGCCGATTCGTTCATTCCGAGCAACTGTCGTTCGTTTCTGAAGGGTGGTGAGGAAAGGACTTGATGGGCACAGCCAATTCCGAAGGTCTTACAATGGATCTGAGACTCGGGGCCGTCAGAATGGTAGAAAAGGGTTGCGTTCAACTATGTATCCGAACTGATTGTCTGATTTATATTACTGCAGCGTATTGTTCAAACCCCTGTAAAGATGGCATGTTCCCGGCCGTGTTTCTGCGACGTAAAATAGTCTCCTTTGTCCGGTGTTCTAGCGATTGCGTACGCTTCAATCGACATGATGATGGGAAAAGGCCCGAAAAATACCGACTTCGTTTCAGCGCGATTCTTCCAAGCAGGACCACCCCTGGAGAGGAATAGATGGCACGGGGCGTGCCAGAGGGAATCCTTGTAATATGCAATAACCATTGCAGTCGACCCAAGCTCTGTTGGTCACACTGAAGGCATCCGTCGTTAACCATTACACCCCACCCGTTGTGGTTCTCTTGAGAGTGAACCTGACACGAATATCTGGTCTGCTTCAAGGAGGCCTGCAATCAAGGAAGCCTGAAGAAAAAGCGTGTGCGATCTTCGATTCAAATCCAGAAGCTTTGTCCAACCACGGTGAACTCCAGCACTTTCTTTCTCTGTTTCTCGAACAGGTCCGCCATAAGAACCTGGTCCATTTCATCGGGGCCTGTAACGAAGCCGACGAACGGCTCCTCGTCTTCGAGTTCGTCTCGGGGGGCAGCCTCGACCAGCGGCTCCGTTCCGCCCGCGAGAGCGGCATTCCGTTCCTCTCGTGGACGGAACGGATGGCCGTCATCCAGGGGGTCTGCCGCGGCCTGGCGTATTTACACCACGACATCTCCCCCCCCCTGCTGCACCGCGACATCAAAGCCTCGAACATTCTGCTCAAGGGGGGGGGCTCGAACGTAGCGCCAAGAGGGGGGGGCTCCGACGAGAACATCATGGGGGGGTCATCGAACACGGTTTACGAGGGGGGGGGAAGATTGGAGGCGTGCATCGCGGACTTTGGCCTCGCGCATCTGATGGAAGATGCGGAGTCCGGGCGCGATACGACGTCAGCTGTCAAGGGGACGCTGCCGTATATGGCACCCGAATACTTGCAGGTGGGTTTGCGAACTCGGTTAAGGCAACCGAATTCCTGCGTTGTCTTAGTGCCTCGTCTCGTCCGTCACAAGGGACGTCGTCTGTGACGTCATCCGACTTCGGCGACCTTTGAAGGGCGACGTTGTACCGGGCTTTCCTTCCTGTTATGTTGCCCTGAAGGGGTGGTTACAGGGTGGCGTGTTACTGTTGCAGAGTTTATCAGACGCGTACATTACCCTGTTGAAAGTACCTGGTTAGACGCCTACTTTCACTTCACGCGGTTGCAGAGTCGAACGCGGCTCAAAAGGTCTTTCTCGCTTTTGGCCTCCCTTCGCCTCCTGTGCTGTACACTTCTTGTATCACCGAAGCTGACCTGTCTCCAACCTGTCACCGAACAAAAACAACCGTTCCACAGCCACTCCTAAAACTCGTCTCGTTTGGCCCCATGGGCAACTGAGTCGTGGTTATCAAGGCCTGATATTATGATTAGAAGCTCCTTGAATGATAAGGTGTGATCAATGGGCAGATACAAACTGGACACCCTAGCCCAGTCATCGATGCGCTCCGCACCCGGATCCACCCCGGCCCCAAGCTAATCCCACCCGTCCTTGGGCGGGTCGTTATGTTTTGAAGACATCGAAAACCAACTTATTTAAATTCCTTTCTAGGGTGGTTCCAGTTTCTGTCCACGAAGTGCGACATCTACTGATCTTTCTGCGTGCTGCGCTGGTTCTTGAGGTCACGGCATACTCAACACGTCACTGATAGAAAAGTCACCCTTTCTGAAAGTCTTTTCAATCCGCCCCTTACGCAACCGCGTCATTCTCTGCGGGGCGGTTCCCAGTTCCTGTCCACAAAGTGTGACCTCTACTCGTTTGGGCGCGCTGACGGCGGAGCTCTTGAGCGGCCGCGCGACTACGGCATACTCAACCCGTCACTGATAAGAATGCGTTCCTTTCCTAAACCTCTTTCCAATCCGCCCCTTAGGCAACCGCGTCATTTTCTTTGTACGGCGGTTCCCAGTTCTTGTCCACCAAGTGCGACGACGTCTCCTTTCGGCGTGCTGACGCCGGAGCCACAGTCACGGCATACTCAAGCCCGTGAATTGTTCAAGAAAACGACCCTGCTTAAAAACTCTTCTCCATCCGGCCCATACGCTTTCTCTGCAGGGTGGTTCCCAGTTCCTGTCCACAAAATGTGACGTCTACTCCTTCGGCGTGCTGACGCTGGAGCTCCTGAGCGGCCGCGTCGTCACCGCGCGCGCGCCCGACGCGCGCGCGCGCTTCGAGCCGCTCCCCGCGCGCGCGGCGCGCCTCGTCGCCGAGGGGCGCGGCCTCGCGTTCATCGACGTGGCGGTCTGGGACGCGTTCCGCGTGCGCGAGGCGGACTGCTGTCTCCAAACTGCGCTGGAATGCCTCCGGGGGGATCCCTCTGCGCGGCCCACGATGGAGCAGATCAGCCTGCGGCTGAGGTTGCTGGCGCCCGAAATGGGGGGGTCGGAACCGCCGCTGCTTTCGGGGGAGGAAAGTGCGTCGACCATATGGCCGCGAAGTTCCGTGGAGGGGAGTTCGAGTGGACAGCTGTCGAGTGCGGCCTGGGACTCATTACCGTCGCATTCGATGACGCAAGCCGTGCCCTTTCAATTCCTCGATGGAAGATAGCAACTCGATTCGAGGAATCGAATGTGTTCTGAATGTCTGGGATTTTGAGCGTCTGGCACGTGCAGCTCAACCCGCCACTAAGCTGGGTTTGCAGACTAGCATACCGTTCGCCTCAGAGGCCGGCTGGCATATACTTTCATGGGAAAGCGATAAAGGGACTGGTACAAAGGGTTAGCATGACGTAGTCGGTTTGTTGCGCTTGAAGCTTTTTGGAGGCGCGTGCTTCAAGAGGGCGTCGTTAAATCCGCCGCGCGGCGGGCGATCCGATAGCCCCGTAATACGTCAGCTGGCGATTCGAGTAGCTTTACTTGGGCGGACCACGTGATCGATCTCTCAGCGCTACGAGCGCGCTGCAAAACCCGCTTGGCCCCTTAAACTCGCACCCAATATGTTTTCGACATAGTGTTCAACAGCTACGATGCAAAGAAGTTGGGGATTACAATATATTGTCAAATTCCAGAAGCCTGGTTCGCATGCACCTCATTCGTTGCAGATTGGCCGCCGTGTAACACAAGTCTTAAGTTGGGTCCGCTGTTGAAGTACGTGCCCAACTCGAGACGTATAGTTCGACAATGCCTTCTGTAAAGAACAAAGGTCATACCAGGCTACCAGTCATGCGAGCGGATTCAGTTGGAGCACAAACTTCAACCTTGATGAAAGTCAAATTATGGCGTCATCATATCATATGCAGTCCGACGGACATGCATATGATGCGCTGCATATATAGCGCTATGGGCTCGGCAGGCCGGCTAAGTTTTCTTGTACATGCAAGACGATCATTTAGAGAATTATAAGTTTCATTAGGTCACAGTGACATGTGCAACAAAAATACTATGCATCGATCCAATCATTTGCATCACTTCAATGCACGCAGTGTCATACATACTACAATGATTTTGCCGCTGCATGCCATGTCGGGGCTCACTGAGCTTACACGTGAGCCCGCCGCCGGCTACCGTCTGCATGTTGCTCGACTCGATCACTGAGGACATATAGGATCTTCGAAGTTGCAGGCCGGCGCAGCCATGAGTCATCTAAAAGAAAAATCAACGATCCGACGCCCTAGCTTACTAGTTATATTCTAATGATTATATCTTAGTATTGAACGCCTGGTCGGCGCAGCTCAGTGAGCTGAAGCGCGGCCAGCTGGGGCCAACAGCGTGCCTCGGACTCAGCACGCTAGGCTCTAGCTCTGTCCACAATGACGGAATGTGCTGAAGGAATGATCGCGCCACATGATGCCTTACTGAATCTTCATCATTGCCAGCGCATGGTAAGCTCATACATGCAAATGTTTCATATACGAGTTAGCTAGTTATGAGCTAGGCAGCTCATCCGCTCAGGCACGTTGCCCACTGTATATGCAAGCTAGTTGTCCGGGTGGTCATGACCGTCGTTCTCTAGCTACTTTCAATGCCGTAGCCTCTAGTTTTATTCATATATTTCGTCCGTCAAGATGCGAGTGCGACTGTTTGACGTGCTAGTGGGGCCTAATCTCTCGGGTACGGCGGAGAAATTTGGGGCCCAGTTCTAGGGCCAGAGTACGGCTGGAACGGAAATGGCGACAAAACGGAAAAAGTGCATCGAGCGTTCCTTAGGGGGCTTTTGCGGCTTAGGAAAAGCACTTTGTCAAGGCGGTGCTCGGCGAGTTTGGACGGTTCCCCCTAAATCTTTTGCGGTGGCAGCGCACGATTGCATTTGTGAATCGGGTAGAGAGTTTATATCGAACGACCGTCTTGTCAAGGCTGCCTTCGAGGAGTCTAGAGAGATGTGGCGTTCGGGTCGAGGGGGCTGGTTTGCAGATGTGGTTAGATGTGCTCAGGAGCTGGTGTCAGACGCAGCTTTGGCGCGTGGCTTTGACAGGAAAGATCTCTCCAAAACAGCGGAACTAGCTTATATGCAAGATTTGCGTGAAGCTTCGGGGACTCGTTATTGTACGTACTTCGAGATGGTGAAGGTTGGCTACTCGTTCGAGAGGTATCTTGAACTGTTAGTTCACTCTCCCGCGCTGGTATCCTCTTTAGCGAGATTTAGAGCTGGCTCACACAAGCCTTTAGAAATTGAAGTGGGTCGATGGAAAGCCTGGTTTGCCTCGAGAGGATAGGCTTTGTAAGCTGTGCGGAACGGGCGCAGTTGAGGATGAAGTGCATTTCATCTTTGATTGCCCAGCTTACAATGACATTAGACAGGCCTTTCAAATAGCGTTCGACCATAGCGACTGGAGAAGCCTGAATAGCTTTCTCAACCAAGAGGACCAGTTTGCTGTAGCTAAATTTGTCCATTTCAATGTGCACATTAAGACGCTCAGAGATCGTAAGTATGAGAACCGTCGACTAAGCATGTCATGGCTCCAAACCGACGTTAATAAACAATCAACAATTAATGTTTCTATACTATACGGTATAGCCACATGGGCCGTGGGCCTCCATGGCAAAGCATGATACATTCGGGTTGATTTGAGTTACGATTGCCTAGCTATTCTATCCGACATGTTTGCATGTCGAGTGCCCGTCCGGCCAGAAGCCCAAGTCGAACTAAATTTGAGTGTCGTGTCGATTATGCTGTCCGTTGGGGTTGCAGCAAACCCCAAGAAAAACTCGTCAACACGGTTGTCGAGTTAGATACTTAAGGCTTTTTGATCCTTTTGCAACCCGGATCATCTGATCAACAATCACCTGAATATTCTCCAGCGGCTGCAGCAACAAGTCGACTGATTGAACAGTAACTTGTGACGCACAAAGGCACAAAGGCACACATCAGGTTGTATCGTATACCACTATTTGCAAAACGTCCATAGCACACGTGCAATCTGAAAGCTGGTGCTAAGCCTGGCGACAGCATGGACCAATTATGTACCTCGCCCAAAAGCTCCTAACGAATCAGAGGTCCCCTGAGATCTTTCGCTATAGACACCATAAGGACATGCCATCCTATCCCAAAGTTCAGCCAGCCCCGAAGAAAGATCATCAAACGTCCTGTTGCACATCTTCAGTTCACTAGACAAACATGCCCGTAGTCACAGAACCAATTTTCGACGGCTCTGTTGCCCTAGCCAAATGCCAGAGTGTGGCAGGTGGCTTCCACTGCGTCCTTCCATCCATCAGCTCTTGCCCTCTGGTGCATCTCCTCGGGAAAATTCATCCTGCATAGGTTGGAATAGGCTATGAGCAGCAAACAAAATTTGGCTGATCGAATATTGATCTGCTGCAATAGCAAGTCATGACGAACAATGCCTGCACCCGACTGCAATTGATGCACATCCTCCACAAACCCCGAGCTGGAGGGTCTCCCTTCCTGCAGTAAAGTCCCACTGCAAGTAGAACGCACTCTTACAGAGTCTTCCAGACCACTAAGATTTGACCAACAGCTTAGACAGCACTAAGAGGAGCTTACTCTCTTCCGACAAAGGAGTCCACATACTCCTTGTAATCCTCCTTGTCCTTGAAGTACTTGCCCCTTGGCTTCTTGGGGGGGAAGTCGGCATACGTGACGTATCTTGCCCCTGCTCAAGGACAAAGGAGACGGGAACTCAGTACAGATCTCCGTGGTAGCAAATTGAGCAGCACAGCTAGAGAGACAACCACCGTTGTTGACGAAACGTGTACAGACTAACCGTGTACAGGCTTAGCCCTGCGTTAAAAGCAGAAAGAGGCGCTAGGACCAGAAGCTTCTAGGCAGGTGGTCGAACTAAAGATGGATAACCCATTCATGACACAACTCTGAGAGACGACAACTGCATTGCCCCTCTGCACGAATAACATCAACGGATTTTGTTACTGGTAACCTCCTTCAAAACCTACCAAGACAGTGTGTAGAAAATACAAACTGAAGATGGACAAATCCATGTTCTTGAAGAACTACGCTCATTGAGGCCCCAAGAATCTCTCACCATCTTTGTACAGCTCGGGTGGCTCTTCAGGCTCTGCATAGGGTTCTCCGTTCGCAGGCCTCCTGCAGAGAGGGTGGTCCGGGGGGATGATCGGGGGTAGGAAAGGGGGTAGAGCCTGCTTCTTTGGCATGTGGGCTGAAGGCCCAGGCTGCATTCCAGAGTCCCCACCAGGCTGCATTCCGGAGTCCCCACCGGGCTGCGTTGCAGAGGAAGCCGCACTTGGAATAGGAGAGGCCCTGACCGTCCGCGGGAAGAGTGGTGCAGGCTCCTGAGCAGCAGCTTGTGCACTCGGCTGCTCCTGTGTAGCAAGTAGGAGAACAGAACACAGATCAGGTCAATATGACATCTGCAAACTCGACATGACTACCGTCGACCATGGAAGGCAAGGACCAAACAACAAAGCGGAAGTCTCTGCAAAACTGGGCCAAGCAGTTCATCTGAAACAACGGTTTCTTCAACCGAAACACACACACACACACAAGTGCCCCGTCATGAGGCAACAAGCAAAGAGGGTATCATTTTGCACGGATGCCCCCAATCTCGCAGCAAGGGGCACTGCACCTTCTGCCCCAAATAAGCCTCTCCGTCCACGGATCTATTTGCGGGCGTTAATGCATAATGGGGGATTGCGGGAGTCCCACAGAATTGCATCAACCCTCCATGCTATCTCAGCTTGATTCCCAGAGTGCATGAAAGATGCATACGCTGGTGTTCAAACGATAGTTAGGTTTTGCATTGCGATTTGAGCCACAGCAAAGAGTTCTGTTGAAACGACACCAGGGCTGATTTCCAATGGCTGCCGCTGAGAGAAATGGCCCCAAACCACTTTGAAAGGAGCTTGTCAGCATCAAGAAAAGAAATGAAGACCATACACTTTTGAATGTTCGAAGTAGCCCTTGAAAATCGTCTCTCAAGCAATAAAAGACAACTAGCTGTGCTCAAACCCTGCCCAGCCCTTCACAGAATAACTGATCGGCTTTCCAATCAAGTGATTTGCTGAGATTGCTGAAAAGGGGTGGAGAACCTGCCAAGCAATTACGAAAGACGAGCTTGATGTGCCTATCCGGCATTAACAAAAACCCTGGTCCCGCGCTTGACTTTCCATCAGATGTTAACTTGCAAAGCACATCTTCCCACTGGCATCCAAAATGCTGCAGATAGGCAAGAACACGAGTTTCTGCAGACAACAGAACGTCAACTTGCAAGTCGCTCTGCTGACATGCTACTTTCTAAGATTGACGAAGAGACCCCGTCCGCGACCAACCTGTATCTCTATGACACCCAGAAAGTTCCACAATAAGTGTCTTCCTGCACACATGCTTCTGCCAATCATCAATTCTGCACACCAACCATTGGTCGGCCTGGAGTTTGGTCACATACAGTGAGTAACGTGAAAACCGGGAAGCTCGGAGCTGAAACGAGATGGTCGATGTTTGTTAGCCTGTACGCCTATTCGCTTACCCGGGTGGGGATGCCGGGATCATGTACGGTACTACTCAGGGCACTAGTCGGAGACTACGGTACGTTCGGTACCGTCTGCCGGTAACGCCCGGTACAAAAAGGAAACGACCAAATGCATGATGTGACGGTACCTAGCTGCAGCACGTGTTTTGGCAGACCCGGCCGCCTGAGAGTAAGCCCTAAGTTCCAAACATCGGAAGTCTGGGAAGTGCTCAGAGGACTAGCCTAAGTTATTCCGGCAGCCCGACAGTGGCAGACCCCAGAAATTTTAAATCTCAGCCTCGAAGAGCGCTAGCTAGCTAGCTTGTATAGCTCGCACCTCGTTCAGCAGGGGTCTAAGAGTTGGAAATCTTACATAGACAGTGGACAAGCGTGCCAGCTGCAGTTTTGAAAGTGACGGCCATTTGCGCCGCGGCCTGCATAGCGCCTGTATGCAGGGTTGTGTAGGACAGTGCAAAGCTGTGAATAGCATGCTTGACCTGGCATTCCAATAGCCATACACAGGCCATATAGTAGTACTGCCCGACCATGGCAGCTCCTCCTGTACCACCTCAACAACCACCAAACGTGACGTTACGCCGTCTTTGGGAAGCAGGAGATTGGGACCTGAATGCCCTTCGAGGC